TTTGCTGTTTCTGTGATCGAGAACCGCTGTCGGCTGTATGACAATTGTAATCTGTACAATTAGTCAATATGTCACTTTGATAAATATCTCTCTATAAAAAGACCAACCGCAGTTTATCAAGGTGGAAGAAAGTACACTTTACCCTTCATTTAAAAACAAAAGAACATGCAATGACTAAAGATTTCAATTGAACGAAGCTGTTAATGGTATAAACTGTTTCGGTGTTTGAAAATATCTTGCTGTGTTGTACCAAGCAACGTGTATTGTGATTTCTTATTTGTTGTAAGTTACTGGTGTTAAAAAGAGGCAGAAACCGCGTTGGGAATAGCAAAAGGCAGAGGGAACACGCGCCGTGAACAATTTATATTTATTATGACAGTTTCTGGGAATACAAAATTGAACTTATTGCTGAAGATGATGTTGATGTTGTTCCCCAACACACAGATGACGGATAATCGGGACATGAATTATGGGTGGTTTATTAAAAACAGACATTGTTTCCAACATAATAACAAAATGAACAATCGTTAATGGGAGAAGACACGCGGCTCGATTTGGAAGAGCGTTAATTGGAAGTCATAAAGTGTTCAGATATTGGCAGAAAAGTGCTTTACTTAATTAACAAGGACAACGAACTGTAGCTGTCTTCCTCAAACTGGATTTGTTGACTAAACCGTATTGAATACCAGTAAAACGTCTTTTCTCTTCCCAGGGGGACCTCAACGTTTTGATGACTTGCAAAAAAAATAAAAACGATTTAAAAAATAAATAAATCTATATATAGACAGAATAAAAACAAACTACAAACAAAGTTGTTTCATTTCATATCCACCATGTTGGCGCCAAAAAACTGTCATCTTGTAACGACTTGTAGATTTTGTCATTAGCAATATTTTTAATTCAAGAGTTGATGTTTAGATTAGAACTGTGATTGAGTACATCTAAATGTTTTTCAAATGTTCAAATGCTGATCCATCATAGGAAACTTTTGTTACTAAATTTGCCGTAGCTATCTAGTATTTGTAGTACTTTGGTCTGAGCCTCGGTTTGAGTTTGCGCTGTCATGTATCGCGTATTAAGATTATAATGTAGGTAATATGTACATGTACATACATTTGGTGAAACCAGTAGGGTTAGCAGTTGGTTGATGTGTTAATCGCCATTATATTAATGGATCCTATCACATATGACACAAAACTTTCTACATACAGATTTTTTTCTTCTCCAAAAAGATCTGTTCATGATTTTTTTGATTTTTTTTTTATATATATCAAGTAAATGTAAACACATTTCTAGAATGTCTATTGACGCTCTATCGTGGGGCTAGGTAATTCAACGTTCGCTTTGTTTTGTTTGTCATTTGAAAAGTACATATTAGATCTTCCAAAAAACGTATCATTAGATGTCTTTGTGTCTGTATATAGTGCTTGTATAGTTGCGTAAACCGGTAGGTTTCAACTCTCAGCCCCTAGATAACGGGCATCCGTGGAGTGAGGTGACAGTAATTATTGGTGTAAACGTTGCAGAGCTGCGACTGAATTGTTTAGGAATGACATGGTAAACGTACACACTTGGTGATGAAAAAGCCTACGGCACGTGTGAATATATATTAGTATAGATTGTAAAGCTCAAACGTCTACCAGATTCCGGTTATTACAGATTTTTTCTCTCTCAATATATTGACGACATTTGGGAGAAAAGAAGATGGTATATATCACTTATAGTTATCACGAATATTTTGAGAAGATTTATTCACGATCAGTACAATTCCCCAAATGAAATAATATTTGCGTCCATTTTTTGTGATTAATAGAAATCATAATTCGTTTCCTCGATATTCCGTGAAAAGTGTTACTCTCGCGAAACGAAAGGTTTTCACACCATTTCGAATACACATACTATACATGTAATATCCACGTAGTTCAGAATAAAATGTGTAGATAGGTTTATAGTATTCAAGAAATGTGTCCTTCATTATCAAAATTTCGTTTACGACAAAAAACAACAAAAAAGTCCAAATCTTGTACATATGAAATTAGCAGATAAAAGTACATTTTTCTCTTCATTCGCGTGACAACTTCCAATGTTGCCGATACTCATTTATACAGCTGCATATTCATTGATAGTCTCGATATTGTGGGCATTGTTTTTTTTATTGTAAATGACTGTTACAATAGTAAACTAAAGCAACTCTCATATATTTCTGTGGGTCTTTCTAAAGTGAAACTTATATTGTCAGTGTACGGGCCCATTCTTCTTTTATAGATTCAGTTCCTAGCATCATGGGGCCCCTCCTTGCGTGTCAACGCAGCCTTCCCACCATCGATATAACCGGTTATTATATAATCCCATCTACGTGGTTTAGAGTGAAATGAAAATTGTCTTGTTTTAGCATCTTTTTATCTTGTCAGAGATGATATGTCGTGTCGGTTCTACATCAGCCTGCTCTACGTTCCCGACCCTAAACAGAACGCCGTAATTACAGTTCTCACCCGAGCTTCCCGCGCTCGAATAGCGTGTCGTGCAACAAGACGGAAGCAGCCCCGCAGGAAATATCGCTACTCTCGTGGGTCCTCGAGATATCAACTCAAATATGAATGCAAAGCCTTATTATTGATTACAGCCAACCTGTTTTTTTCTGAATGTTATTTTCATAAATGTCTTAATTTAAATATTAAAAACATCTGCTGGTGTAGAGATTCACATTATTGTCCATGAAAAAGTGACAAAAATTAATAATAAAGACGAATATTAAAACGAATTCCAGATACCAGATGTTTGGGGGGAAAAAACCCGTTTACAAGCAAGCAATGCTTTAGATAATTGTTTTGTTAGAAAAAGTATTCATGCCACGTTTGTATAATAAGATTATATTAATCGAACAGCATGTTATCATTTCCATTATTATGCTTTGATGAAGCTCGACAATAATTTGAAAATTAACACACAATCGACACGAAAAATAAATGTCCATAATATAGCGTTAGCTCTTGAGATGTTGTTCGTAAGGGTAGCTTTTCCATATCGAATATGACAGGCTTGGGATCACAGATAGCATGATCCAACTGGTCATGATAATTAAAGCCCATGCTTTTGTTGTCCAAAGCGATTCTTACAAGAAAAATACCACAACCTGAGAGGGTTAAGATATTATTTAAATATTTTGTTTTCATGATTATCAAAACTGGAAATAGTACCTTCTTATTCATGAAACCGGTCTCATGTTCAAGCATGGATTTTGTGCTTTAGCCGAATTTCATAAATTGATAAAAAATATTATTTTGTCAATGATTTGGGGGAAAAATGGAAGAGACTTAAACCCCAAAACTGTTATCGATGTTTACATTTGACGTTTTGATTGTTTGACAGGATTTAATGTAGGTACAATGAAGTGAGTTTGAGCACAGAATCCAAGCTTGAGCATGACAATGGTTTCAGGAATACGGGCCCCGAATCCGCTTGCATGTACATCTGGTTGAGATGTTTATAGAAGAAAACGTGACTGGTAACATCTTCCGCCTGTAGTTATAGAGATTTATGAGTAAAACATGTGCATGCAGTGTAAAACAGCATTTTCTGCGGTGTCTTTTTTTTTTTTTTTTTTTTTTTTTTTAAATATTTCGAGCCTTCTAAATAAGCGGTAAATAAGTACGTGCCAAATGATAAACTATGACGTGTTTTAGCAATAATGTCAGCACAATACTGTCCTAAAGTAGCATCCTATCCAAGACTAACGGCATCTTTGACTTAAGCCGCCGATAATGACTGATCACAAATGTGATCTAGTGCTTACATTTAAATAATAAATGTACCTATCCTTTACAATATGGGTCAAAGAAATAATATGAACGATTAATTCCTATATAACATAGGATCCTTACAAACGATTGTTTGAAGGATACGAGTAACTTAGAATTGTAAAGGGGGCAATGAAGTAATTCCAACAGTTATATATCAGAAAACATATATTGATTATAAATATTATGTTAAGGTCATTACGACTCTGCTCTCAAAAGTAAACCACGTAATCATTTGACTTTCTTGCCTACAATACTAGAGAAACTATTTGTCAAACAGAGATTATAGATATAAACTAGAACGCACTGGGTCCCCAACGTACTCCATGGTAATCACGAATACATCATTCTATATCATCAACAGAAATAACTTATTAAATTCAAATTGGAAACGCTTTTTAACGAGTGTCATAGGTACTATTTAAACAAATACCACCAGTGCACCCCAAACAGTAAATAAATTCAGATCGTGAACCCAGCCAGCATTTCATATCAAAAGATGGCTTCTGTGGACCTTCGCTCCTTTCTCTGTCTATTTTTGTTGTAGTACCGGATTGTTTATCTCTCCCGTGATAAGGATTTAGAGACAAACATGTAGAGAAATCTACTGGGAGTCGTTATCTTCGACAGACAAAAACTCCAAATAAAGATTACCCTCAAAAGCAATACTGACGCCTTTCATCTGAATATAAATGGTTTTAGATATCGATATTGATCAGTCTATAGCCCTGTTACGGGTTATCTTGAAAAATGACTTCACTACAAGAAGAGGTCAATTTATATATATGTTTGACGATCAAAGGTTCACGTCACGTGTCGGGGGATTTCCCAGCACGGAAATGGTTGAATCGCTTTGGAGATCTAGTTTTGATTGTCAGTTGGCTGTTTTGGTTGAGGTGTCCTTCATTCTTATCGAAAAGGAACAATTTAATAGCATCCTAAAACAGTGTTTACCTTTAGGCCTAGTTATGTGTATTTCGTCACAATACTTCCATTGACATTTCATGTTGTGACGGCAGGCAAGTAAACATACACATTAAACGGTCTCTCTACTAACGGCACTGTCCCGCAGTTAAAGTCTGTGTATGACTCGTCTTAAAACCAAAAGTAAATAGTAATGTGTATGCCTTTCATTCACCCGACATAAACATCTATAATGTATCAATGCGCATGTCCGTTATCAAATATCCTTTTTCGCTTCAGCACGAGAAAGATGAAGTGTTCGAAACAGGCGCCCTCTTGCGGGAGATGTGGGAAGACATGCGTTTCAGGTGGGAACCCTCTAAGTACGGAGGGATAGCTACTATACATATCCCGTCAACAAGCGTCTGGAAACCGGATGTAGTTCTCCTCAACAAGTACGTCGGTTCTGGTTTAATTAATTCCATAAGATCAAGATGAATATAAGAGCCGTTTTTAATAACTTAGGTTTCATGCATGTAAATTTATGATTTTTCAATAGCCTTATTGAAAAAGAGTTTTATGTTTCAACACTGAGACAATGGAAAGAGGTTGATCTTAATTTGAATCTCACAAGTGCTCAAAGTCGCAAAAAGGCTTTAACATATGTTCAAAGTTTTGTTGAAAATGTTGTATTGGTATTTGGTAAATTCTTTTAACAACGCTAACATAGATTTTGCGTAAGTCTCTACGTTTCGATGTATATTTTTTATACGCCACATAATGATGACAGGTTAATGGTCTTGGAGAATCTACGTGTAATAGCCTTTGTTGTGTTGAACGAGAATTGTGTACTTATAAGTAAAGTATTATATTATCATTGTACCATGTGTATGTATAGCAGGTAAAACAAGCAGATAGTTTTTATTTTACTTATCTTAGCAGTACATCAACACAATATGGCCATACAGGGCCTCTTAATAATCTTAACGGCCCAACAAAACAATAAGGTCATACAGGGCCTCTTAATAATCTTAACGGCCCAACAAAACAATAAGGTCATACAGGGCCTCTTAATAATCTTAACGGCCCAACAAAACAATAAGGTCATACATGACCACACGTTTGTCTTAACGACCCATCATACCATAAACAATATGAACGACCCATCATACCATAAACAATATGAACGACCCATCAAAACAGCAATATAATAAGGTCATACAGGACCATGCGGCAGTCTTAAAGGCCGATAGAGACAGCACAATACGGTAGTCTTAACGGTCCTCCGGCTCAGATAAGGTATAATAAGGTTATACAGGCCATAAGGTAGTTTAAAAGACATATAAACGCAATTAGGTCTTACAGGGCCACACGGTAATCTCAATAGCTTATCAGCAAAATAAAGTCATGCAGCATCAATACAACAAGCTCATACAATGCCATTCTTTTTGGGCAAACTTAACGGTCTACCAACATGATGAGGCGTAAAAGCTAGAAAAGTAGTATAATGTAAGTTTGCCAATAAATAAAACAAATTAGATGTATCTTGATAAGGAATAGTTGTTTAACATGTGCTGGTTTTGCCTTTCCAGTGCCGATACAGACGTAGAGACGTTTGACCCACTGGTAGTGGTTTTCCATACGGGAACTGTGATATATATTCCTAAAGTTCGCCTCCGGGCTAAGTGTCCGATGGACATGACAAAATTTCCAATGGACACCCAAACATGTCGGATACAGTTCGGATCTTGGACTTATGACGTCACACACGTCAACATAACACATTTCACATCAGAAGAAAATGGTCTTGATATACGAGACGCTAAGCCGAGTAAAGAATGGAAAATAGTGACCACAACAACTAAAAGAATCGACCACAAAAACGATTTCGGGAATGAAGTGTATCCCTTAATGGAATATTCGTTCATTCTACAGAGAAATTCTGTGTACTACACGCAGGTTTTCATACTTCCGGCTGTTCTGTTGGCGGTTCTCGTGCCCTTCACATTTCTACTACCGCCGGAATCAAGGGAGAGAATCACGTTAGGTAAGTTGAACTATGTTTTTTTTCTGCGTTATGAAACGTTGCCGATCAGTTCATTGTTGAACCTAATTCATAAAGAACTGTAAAGGTTTGCACCAATATCACATTCTCTGGGTATTTCACAGAGCTCAGAAAAAATAGACATCGAATATATTACGGTTTACTGGCCGCCTCAAAAGATAAACAAGAGCTGTAGTCAGTTTATAAACGTGGTAAGTGTTCTCTTAAAACAAGTAAAATTCGAAAGGCGGTTTGTCTGATGGTGTATCGGTTGCCCAAATATATCACCTGTACCCATTTTGAAATCATTTGAGATCGTTTGTCCGAAAATATGAGGTTGCGTTTACTTTTCTCGAAGCTCAAAATAACGTATCATTACTTTGCCTTTTGCTTCTCAGGGTATGAGAATTGTGCGAGATTATGTTAGAAGATAAATGACTTGTTTGTACAAATGCAATAATGTTGTCTAAACGTTCCCAACTGCTTTAGAACCGAAGATGTCATAATTGCAAACTTGTAAAAAGGTGAAAAAAGCAGTAGCAGTGTTTGGTCGCTTTTTGCCCCAGAAACGTTAATTTGGTTAACCGTTCATTTTTTATGGCACTGCGCATGCCAGACAGAGTAATGTAATATGGGTCACGTTACACGAGAGTGCTTGCACTTTAGGTGGGAAATGATCGGGAAATGAGGGCTAGGCGTGCCCAATTTGAACTTCCTAAGTTGGAAAGTGTGAAAATCATTCACGGTAATGACGATGGAATGGCTTTTTAATAAAGTCCTATGATAATTGAAGAAGTTGGAGGACTTTCTTTCACAAAATGTCCAGTCATTTAATTTGCTTTGTTATGTATGGTTTATTTATATCTGTCATATCATAAACTTTATGGCCACTGGGTACATCAGAACGTGGTATCGCCAGACAAAGATCTATCAAGATATAAACGTCTTTCTTAATCTCCTAAGTGTGCGTCAAACGATTAGACTGATGTTACTAACATACTGAATGTCGAAAACTCACCCGTATACAAATCGGCGAGGCCATTAGTTCATTTGTCATTCATTATGTGTTATATCGCTATTTCAATCATTGTTCGCGTCATACTTGAATTCTTGATGAAAATGTTAACGTAAATTCACTCTAAAATAATCATCACTCGTAGGATGAGTAATCTACAGTACCCAGTAGGAGATGTATCTTGTACGTATACCTCCGTACTGCGGGAAACCACACACAAACGTTGACATGCAGCCCCTGTTGCGACACTTAGGGAATCTAATTTTTTTTAAATCTTTGATCTTTCCTGTCTATGATGTCACCTTAGTGTCTAAAGTCAACCGGCTGTTGTTAAAATGAAGGGACCGAGTGACACGCAAGATGTACCACTATTCCGGTTGTCCCCTGTGATAAAGCCGACTTTAGATCTACTTTACTGAGTTCCTCATAATAACACCATATCTTTGACTCGTTGAATGTTTACGGTATATTGTCCTCGAAATTGCGAAGGTCATTTGAAGTCGGGCACACAAGGAGGCACCTCCGATAAAGCAAACTAGGTAGGAAAGAAGAAATGAAGATTCCAACGCGTGTCAAGTTTGGTGTCTCCATCGTCCCCTTGACTGAAGACACGGTAGAAAAGCCAATGATTCTGCAGGGCCCCCACATTAGTAGCCTCTTCGAATATCATGCAGTGGAAAACAGCATTGTTATTATCACCCTATGCATTCCAGAGAAAAAAGAAACCACGCAGTCTATACTTTTCACAAGGGTTTTTTCATCAATATCAATGGGAATCAACGAAAATAGAGAAAAATAATACCTATTGCAATATGGGCAACATTTGGTCTCTAGGGCAGAGAGTACCGACTCTGCAGCCCCACCCCACCGTCCACCCCACGAATGTAATACCATTTCTCGGAACCAGGTTTTGATGTACCAACAACTCTGTGCAGGAAACTATAAAGCGGGCATTTGCCAAAATAACTGGAACAGCGGCCATATGCAATACATGAATCATTCTTCCAAATGTCTTTCAATGAAGCAATTTTGTAAGACTAGATCCGATATTGGTTTCTAAAAAAGTTGATTTAACACAAATGTTTCTGTTTCAAACTTTGATTCTCTGTTTGCCATAAATTGTTTATGATCATTGCATAATAGCAAAATCATCGTGTTCTACGCTTTACGTATAATTTTGAACGGGGCTGATTGCGTATTTAATTATGTTGTTCAATAAACGTTAACAATCGAACTTGCATAACGTTATAATTCAAATAATTTCGATCTATTATATTTCAATTTATAAATATATAACCAAGTGCATGTATATGTCGTTAAGATTATTTCTGTAATATATTCTAAAGTTCTGATAAATGAACCAATATTTCAGTCCTGCATATGCCGCATCGGTTAACGTTGGCAGTGCTATTTAGCTTAATTTTCTTCTTGCAAGTGAACATTAAGATTAGGTAAAATTGTACTGATTTAATCGTTTTTTATCCTTTGATAAAACCATATACATACATTTGCATTTGCAAAATGGCTAAATTGCACAATAAAGAATAGGAAAATCAAGAGAAAATAGCAAGCTGATTGAATGAAATTATATTCTGGTTACATGCACAGTACATTATATAAAGGTTTTGTCCTTAGTAAGCAGCACTTTACCTCCCTACAGTAATAAAATATCAAATGAAGAATTACACTAAGAATTGTTGGAGGAAGGTATTCCCTTAGTTTAATCATGAGAGTATAGATAATGTCTGCAAACAAAGAAAAAACTAACGTGTTTTCAGATGTTGTCAAGTGCATATAAGTCTTTTTGCAGGATAATATTTATAAAGATCAACATTTAATGGGGTACGTTTAATCCTATCTAAGTCAGTACAATGGTAAGTTCACAAGACCCAGTTTGGCAGTGGATACATTTTTGGCAAACTGTATCTAATATCAAATTGTTATAGGTGCATTTACCTGTGTCTGAGTTAGGTTCACCTGTCTCATAAGGCAGTCCGAGGCCAATGTTGAATAATAGTAAAAGGCTATGACTATATATTACGATTAAATATTTAACCCTATACTGAATTATGTATCTTAACAGTAGAAGTCTTATATACTGAACACTTAATCTGAATATCATTACACATATATACTGAATGCTACATCTGAAGAGTACTATGCCTTTACTCAGTATTCAGTCTGTATAGTATAGTTAGCCTGTTAATCAAAACTACATGTGTAAGTATTGCGTCAAGAGCAGTGGTTTAAACTTTTGAATGTATACGTTTACATTGTATTTTACTTAATCAGCCGTATTCACATCTTCAACACTTTTACCAACCACGACATTTGAATTCTGGGATAATAAGCGCCATGATATAAACGAAAATAAAGCTCCCATGATATGTATAAATTCATAGTAATATGTCGGTATCATATATTGCTTTCTTGTTTCAGGTTCTGTTTTACTGCTCTGTATCATTGTCCTGTTGATGATGCTGCAACAGTTTCTCCCCGATTCACACCCTAACATTCCCACAATTGGTAAGTCGAAAACTCATACACACTTTTATTTTTGTAGCCCGAAGTGCCGAATTTGAATTATCTACCTTCATGAACTTTAATTTAGTGACGATGTTTAATTGCTTTGCTTGCTATCAGTTATCTCATTATTACATCATCTGATGACGCCGATGAACCAGGTGCTATGCTACCTAGTATTTGTTTGACTTTAGTGTTTCTTCATCTAGTTTCGCTTCAGGTAATTTTCAATTTCTGCCGAGACGCTAAAATAAAATTCCATGCGGAAAGTCTACTAACTAAAAGCGTGCGTTAATCATAGCGCTAAAATGTCTCAAAGCAATTACTTAACTTAGTGAAAGGTTGAAACGCAACATAAACCAAAATAGCACTTTCCATTATAGGCGTAAAGTGAATATTGGTTTTATTTGTAAGGAAGCATATTAAGACAGCATAGTGACCTTATACCTTTTACCACAGAGAAAACTATATATGGATATTGGCGCTTCCAAATAAAGTTTAAAACAAGGTAGAGTAATTGCTGGGTTGACGTGCGGTCATGATTTAGAAAAGTCGAAAAAAAAATGCAATCGTTGGATTGAAATATAGCCACGAGGTCTTCCGAGAGAAGCTCAAGGATTTAGTCAAGTTGCTCTTCATTAGGCTATTTCTAGATCGTTCCGAAGACCTGGACAAATCAATCTTATAGACCATAAAAAATATCGGGAATCTCGTCTTAACTCAATTGTCTGGAAGAAACACGTTAGAAATAGGACATTTTACTACTAAGAACCAAAGTCATTCAACTCTCATTTGCCGCTTACTCTCTCATTTATCTTTTCTTCCCATCCGTCTTTCCTTCCTATCATCCTGCCTTCCCTCTCTCTCTCTCTCAGTTCCTATCTGTATCGTTCATTCTAACTAACTACTTACTACTCCACTGCTCTTTTACTAGTTCTTACCTATCATCTTCCTTTCTTTTCTCCTGATCCCTTACACGCCCACTCTCCACCTATTAAATTCCTATTCTATAATCTATCTATAAACTTCTCCTCCTTCCCACGTGTCTCCACATTTCACCTCTCCTCGTACTCATCTGTCCCTACCCAGTTATATTCCTCCCAGTGTCTCTAAATTTTACATCTCCCCCCTTCCAACACTCCAGACCCTACCCTATCATATCCCTCTATAATCTCTTGATCCCTACCCGTCCATTTTCCACTCATTAACTCCATATAGACTCCCCCAAACACCCAAATGTCTCTAAACTCAACCCCAACCCCAGACCACCTCCCAAAACTCCACACTTTACCCTATCATATTCCTCTCTACTTTCTTGATCCTTTACCAGCGCATCGTACACTATCATAAACTTCCCTTCCAACTACTACACACGTACCGCCACTACTTTCTTGGTCCTCTTGATACTCTTCCCGTCCTTCACTTTCTTAATCTCTTAATCCGCTTCTCGATATTTTTTAGTACCATTCCCCTGAAAGATTCCCTGCCCACATTATGTGTCCATTCTCTCACCTCTTATCCTTCTCCATCCCTTTCCCTCGAATTTTCCTCTGTATTTTTTGTGGGTCCTTTTAGTTGTAATTGATACCGTTGAATTCTTCTGTTTAGAAACATTATGTTGAAATAGCCGATATACCACAGAATACTACAAGTGGTATACACTTATTCTTTGCCGGTTCCCAGCTTCTGTGCCCATTAACACATGTCTGTTGAAAAGGGAAAACACAATATACTCGTACCTTCAAAACATTGCATCGGCACCACGTCTGCTCCTTAGGTCAGCTTCATCAACGTTATCGATCTGTTGAAACGAAAATTACTTTTTGTAGAACAAAACACGCAGGTCTGGTACATAGTCAATGAGTGAATGGTACGTAGTGGTACGTAATATAAGAAAACCTATTGCTCTTTTAGAAGAAGAAAAAAAATACAAATTCCTTCAATTTATTTTGGAAACGCTTAGGCAAATTGATTTGGTTTTGTGAGGAATGCAGTTCTGTCGATTGAACAAAAAACTTTTCTTTTGGGTTGGATCTAAGATAACGTTATTGCTGTTTGAACGTCTATAGCACTGAGCGTGTGTATTTGAACATTGTGAAATTCACTAGATTTGCGCTCACTAAGCACACTATACAGACAAGTGGAGTGTTCATACGCTTGGTAGTCATAACGTGTTACAATGTTAAACCTTCAAAATAAACATCCTAATTATCTGGTGAAACTTGCTAATGGCGATAGTAGGGAATAAGTGAACAGTAGGTGTGCGACAAATAGTCGCTGTGGCATTCGTGACTTTTAACGTAATAGTTGATATGTTTCCCTCCTTAATGACATGATGTTCCTACATTATATTTGTTTTTAATTGAATTTCATCCTATTTCATGCTTAAAATATATTTCCCTTGCTCACATTTCCCGGTTTCATTGGTGTGAAGTCATCAATTCTGCGTCACTTTTGATTGTTTCAATGCTTGCATTCCACAATTACCCAATAGCGATTATTTAATAAGAAACATATAATATTCAATAATATTATATATGTAATTCATTCTTATTATCAGCTATTAGACAAAAGAATTAAAATACTGTTCATATATACCAGGAAAATGACATTGTGCAGTGAACATGTCACTTATGTGATTAACACAGGAATTACGTAAAGAACTATATATCTTCATCACACATTTTGGCTGATTTTTATGTTTTTATGGTATAATTTGCCGACAATAAGCTTCTTTTGGCTCGGATTTTATCGCGCTAGGGGTCTTAATGTGGGAGGAAACCGGAGTACCCGGTTAAAACCCACGTATTCGGTTAGGTTAACCCATACCTTTTCACGTCTGATCGGGGAATCGAACCCCGGCCTTGTTGGTGAAAGGCGAGTGCGATATCCACTGCACCGCCCGATCACCCTAAACTGAGTACTGGTCAATTTCAAGCTTAAAGCGAGTATAGTGTTGAACCATGCCACATCCCCATAAAGATAAAGATGGCCATCACAAAGACAATCACATCCCCTGTTATCTACTGGCACAATGAATAATGCTCAAAGTACTGTAAACAAGATGACATGTCCTTTTGTCGATTTTCCCAAGTATGACATTCATTTGATGTAGCAGGGCGTCAAATATGGTTAATGCATGCTAGCCGAATGCTATGACACTTTGTTGTGGGTCTACAAATCGATACGGGTAAGTATAACATCGACTACACAGTGGTGCCCTCACCAGCATATCGTAGAGGATGATGACAAACAAATGGCTTCATAATCTGAGCTTCAATATAGTGCATTCCAAACAAAACGAGTAAGCAGCAATTCATACATTATATAGAGCATGATTTATTATAAAAGAATTACTTCATTGTTTTTTATTTAATTGAAATAATATATTAATTTAAGGCTTCTGTGATCAACGTTAGAGATAAAATAACCATATTTTTTTCGCGTTATAAGGGACTAGTTACACAAAAATACAATGATATGTACATCTGATATAATTGCTTTTTCAATCACGCAGAAAAAAGGCGTGCCAAAGTTCTGCATTATACAAGAATTCTCTCGAGAGACAAAACATTTTCAAGATACACATTTTCATACAATCCAATAGAGTCAATGAGCTACGACTCGGTGTATGATATCGATATTAGCGCATTGCGGCCTTGCCGGTGTAATACAGCTGGATGTCAGCCCCAGTTTGTGCAAGTAATTCTTTCCCAAGGGGAATATTATCTGACGAAGTTCTATCTGGCTTTTAAATTTTTTCGTAAATAAAGTTTTCTTTCCATAATTAGATGTCGGGTTTTTGTCCATTAACACGAGAAAAAGTGCGGTGCGATGACGAGGAAGATCATGTATCGCAAAATGGAGGAACTTGGCAGTGACACAGTTGAATATTCAGTAACATCATTTTTCTCCAGTAAGGAAAAAAAAGTGAAGAAGCTACATAATTTATAAGTGGTAAAATGTCAAAGTGCATGTTTGGAGAATTTCGAAAAGTAATTAATCGATCGGGAAATAGTGTTATCAGCATCCGTTTATCTTTACCTATTAAAGGAATGTGGATATCTGTATTCTAGTATAGTTTCTTACTCCAGGGAGGCCAAACCCGGTTTTGTATGCAGTCAGCACAGCCTGTCAATTTCGTTAAACTTGATATACCAGGTGTGTAATTGGCGTATGTGCCAGACTCCATACTGAAACGTTTTCTGAATCACAATGACGCGAGAAAATTTTCAGTTTATTCTTGCGAGTTTCGTCTCAATAGGTTTCATCTGCATTTGATAAAGTTATCTTCAAGGTCATCTCTTAAAATCCACACCCTAAACCTACATCAAAATGTAAAGGCTGATTTCTGTTAACTTTATGAAATCAGATCCTACATACTTTTGCATCGGTGAACAACATATCTGTCGTGCATATTTTGCTGTGTGACATACGGATATGACTTTATTGCATTTACAGTATAAAAGTTTCTCACTGTATTATATCAGAAGTGCTTCTACTTAAGTCACTCTACATGTGTAACATACACGAGATATCGATGTGAGGACGTGACATCAATTCGTTTTGAACTAGATTTACATTGCGGGTGTCGTCGATGAAGCGAATGACGCTTCCCCTTTCGAAACGTCTAGGCCCAGTTGTTCAAAAGGTGATTAGTTTTATCAGTTTTTAGCGCAAAAAATAATTTTAACAACTTGGACCTGGTCTTATTCTCTTTGCATTTTTCAAGGGTCTATATGTAATGATACTTTTGTTCTCTTACCCTGATTTTGTTGATTTTGAGATCGAAGTATGGTTTTGTTTACACCTCGGTATCATGTTTTTGGTTGTGCAATGTAGTACAATACAATGGCGGTTTAATCTACCGATCTTATGTAACATTGATCTTGGGAATTATCCGGATGCAAACGTAACAAACTGACTCTTGTGAGGACAACACAAGTCTTCTTACTCTTGATAAAGAACCCATACGATCTCAAGATCATATACAATATTGTTGAAATATTTGTCATCCGTTGAATAGCCGTACTTCGAAAACCGACCCTGTCGATATACCCGTAAGGAATTTAATTTCTATTTCACATTTACCGTGTATATGCACCGTAATGTCTTTCTTCAGCGTGTATTATCTATTATCTATTATTATGTGTCACCTATCGTGTATATGTGTCGTAATATTGTGTTTTGCTGTTTGCATGACAATCAAATTACGCGAATTCCTCGAAAATATGATTTTCAATTATTTTTTTGTCGCTGAAATATACATTTGTTCCTTAAATCAAATTGTCTTTCGCTGATAGTTTTAGTAATCAACTTAATATATATATGTCTCTGGCGCTGAAACGTTTATAGTACGGTACTTTAAACACAAAACAGTGATTGTGCAGCTCTTATATTGACAAAAAGTATTTTCAAACGCAATCATCTCATTTCTTAAGCCATTCGAATTTCACTTTGAAAAAGTTGTAGCATTTGGAAAGAACAACTATAAACTGGAATTAGTTTTCATTTTGTAAATAACGTTTAAAACAATTTCCAAGCACTTTCAATTCTAGAGGGAACCTTTTATAACATAACTTTATATTAGGACAATATTTTACTCTATAAAAAAACCCAAATCTAATTTTAAATGTATTTGAAAAGAAAAAAGATATTCAATGCAAGAAATCTAATTTACAATTATTTGACAGCATCGATAGGATGGCGTTTATTCCTTGTATTTTCCTAGTATTTGTAGTTGAGGCTTTTCAAATAAAGTTTTAATCATAAAACTGTGCTTTAGGGGAATCTAATGCTTTGTTTATATCACCGAGTAGAATGAATTGGTGTGCGAACATTTAAAAGTTTATAAATCACAGTAGGAACCAGAATCTTTATTCTGTGGAAAGTTTTTGTGGAATTGCATTTTCTGTCATAATCATTCAAAGACATTTTCATTGGGTTTTTTTAGTGTTGCTTTTTTGCTTTAATCTGACAAACAATAAATGAAATTATTCAATATTTGATTTTAGCCTATTATTTTGATGAAACATGTCAGGGCTTTCAATAGGCTCTTGAGAGTATGTTTTTGACTTCATGAAAAAGAGCTTTGATTCTTTGATACGAAATACACGTTTATCTGACATTTGATAAACTCTCCAAATTATAGGAACAGATATTATTTGACATCTAAAACTGTTAAATGTCAGGTGTCAACTGATCACACTGGTTGCTAAAGCCACTGACTGCATGTGCGTGTCGGTGCTGTATTCACTAATGCTGTACCCAATGATCACGCGTTTCGTAAAGGCATACACAAATCTAGCAAATATAGTTTGTATCCTGGTAGCTTTGCTGTATCAACGTAAATTTGATGTATCCATCTTATACATGTTTTTTTCTGTATCGATGTATTCATGTATGTTGCTGTATTCACTTATCGATGATTTTTTGCTGTATTTACGTTTCTATGTATATTTCTGTATTCACCTAACCGTGTATTTTGCTGTATTGTTTTTGTAACCATGTATATTCGTTGTATCCACTTATCCATATAGCTTTGCTGTATTGATGTATTCATTATTCGATTGGTTCATGTGTCTTTGTTTTTCTTACCACTTACCCATTTATCTTCGGTGTATCCATCAACCTCTTTGTTTTATCCACTCACCAATTTTTTTGTCTTATTAACTAATCCACATGTTTTGCTGTTTTCACTCACCCTATGTATTTTTTGTGTATCCACAGCCAGCTACTACATTGTGACGATCATCTGGATCACCTTGTCTCTACTGACGTCAATATTTATAATCAATATACAATCGCGAGGACCAAGGAAGAAAAAGGTCCCCACCTATCTCAGACAGGTATAGTGCGCTACTTATACAATTTCTGCATTAAATTGCAACTTAAAGATATCTTATGCATAAAAACTCTTTATAAGCATAGACAGGACGCGAAAATTGGTAATTAGCCCAAAATGTTCATATGCATTTGTTCATGACATTGTAATCTGAGGCCATTAATGATATTACGTTTTTAAGAAGAAGATGGCTGGTAGGTGGTGATGGACGAAACAAATATGGTTTCTAAAATCAATATAACTTCATATGAAACATTTTCAAATTATTGATTTGTCAATATTGAGTTTTCAATATGAAACTTTGTATCGCTTAAGCCACTGCAATTTAACTGTTAAGCGATGTTAATATTTCATAGAACAAAACATTCCTATTAATCTTGAATAAACAAATAATATATCTTATTGCGGGTATTCATAAATGAACTTAATATCTCAAATTAGCTTGTATATATATGTTTCGATAATTGGGGATGACGATATGACCTTTTTTCTCTATCGGCAGCTTTTTCTGCGAGGACTGAAGAGGGTGGTGTGCCTTGGCGACGACACCTACTACCCTTTAGATGAACTAGAGACTGTATCAATGCGCGGGCTCGACCGAACTATGGACGGAATTGTTCGACAGGAAAACACTACGCAGTCAAAGATGGAGCGTGACGTAGAGGAAATATTACGTCATCTACATACGCTTACAATACGTAGTACCGTCCTGGAAGCGAGGCACGAGATCAGGAACGAATGGCACCAGGTGGCGTTGGTCCTCGACCGGATTTTCTTTTTCCTCTTTATCTTGACATTCCTTCTCTACACATTTGTACTACTCGCTTGAAGAAGGAAGGAAAATGTGTAGTATATGTTTACAGCTAAAGCTTTTGTGTATGAAATCCGCGCCATTTTCAATAATTGATGACGTTGGATGATTCGATTTTCATTGACATTGCGAGAAACGAGAATTTTTAATGATTTTCATACGAATAGAAAATTAGTTATTTGCATAAACATGTGTGTTAAGGCTCAAAACTTTATGTTATCGACAATCATACACGTCTTGGCAGATGTGAATATCCTTAGGTATAATATGCATTTTTATGGAATAGACATCTCGACCGATCGCTGATAGGGAACGCAACACATTTTCTGGAGGAAAGTGTATAGGGTAAATATTGTGATGAGTCCAAAATTATATAATGCTGAATGGTTAGTGCTTATTGTACACTTGTTCCTATATATTGGATCATAGACTTGGACAATTACATTTAACACACGAACATGTTGTAACAGATGTCTCGGACAGATACCAGTGGTTGTAACCAATGTCTGTCGCAGATATCAGTAATTGGATGACTGGGTAAGCACATACGGTCCAGGGTATATGATAACCCACTTTTGACTGTACTTGTTTGTTATGTTAAACTCAAGAGGCAAAAACAGTCTGGAAGCTTTCTATTAATACGGATAAGGCCGAGTCAGACATTGGATTTACCGGGTAAATTGTTGATATGTAACACTTAATGATGATATCTTTCTTGTTTTATAAGTCTTGTAATATTTTGTATTATCGTGAATATTAAGAATGAAATAGAATGGTTTGTAAATACTGTCACAAGAACATGTATATTGTAGTGTTTTTGTGAATCGTTGGAAATAAAGAAAAATTATAGAAAATATGATTTTGTTATGTTTTAATGTAAAATATGTCCCATGAGATCGAGCAGACAATAGTACTTTGTTCTTTGTTTTGTGAATTAGAATAGATATATCAAATTAAGAATCTGAAATCGTTTATATGGTTATTTTTCTTATTGCATGTTGACATAAGCCGGATATTTAACTGTGTGTATGATTCTTTGTGGAAACTTATAATGTTCATGAATTGAGTTTTGCGGCAATATTGTATTCGTGGAAACTGAATCAACATATTCAACATGACAATGAACAAATACTTAAGTAATACATATATACCCAATAATAACTAAACATGAATGCCATGTTAACGTCGTCATTTTTATGACATCATAATTGTTACGTTGAATACCACTGACCCTCCCTGGGAGATTGCTGTTCTATTAATTGATCAAACATACACGATACATACATTATTTAAACTAAATGCTGAATATTAATAAGTGCAATTGAATTTTCTATGAGATGAAAAAATCCAAAAATAATAAATATAAGTATTGAGCTGCTTTCAGTTGGCATTCATACGCAATATGAATGCCAACTGAAAACAGTTCAATGCTTAAATATACACGGAGTTTTCCCGGGTTTTTTTACCCATGGACCAACCTCTTCATAGTTTTTCCTATTAGATATTGATTTTATCAATTTAATAAAACTGATAGCTTTCACACTGTGACAGACATCAAAAACAATATTTGTGATAGGGGGAAATGTCACTTTTATTGACCTATCAGAAGAGTAATTTCTGTATTCCGCATCAAAGCCTATTATCTGTTTTGAGTAGAACAAGTGGTTGTTTTGGTATATTTTTGCCCTCATAACATCTGTTGAAACAAATCTTACGAGATAATAGCAGGAAACGGTAGAATTCTTTTGAACAGACCATTCGAAATAACTTGACTGCTGTTGGTACTTTACAAATATAAAAAAAAAATGGTATTGTTCCGGAGTCGGGAAATTCATTTGGAATTCATCGAGAAGAAATTAACTCTCCTCTATGTAATGTTTGTTTTATGTGCTTCTATAATCAAACTTAATTTAGATATATATTCCGTCAATAAAAGAAAATAAATTTAACCCTAAATTGATTACTAAGTAACGTTTATTACCCGCGTACAAAAATTTAAAATACAATTATCGAACCAGGGCCCGGATTCATGAAACCATTCTCATTCTCAAACTCAGATTCGGTGCTCAGGTCCAATATCTTGTTTCCGTCACAAAAATATAAAGATATATTTTGTAATATGGAGGAATGTTGGAGAGACTTAAAGCTGTATTAAGTTTTCAATGTTAACACGCTTTGACCGTGTTACATGATTTAAGCGAGTTAAGAGGACAGTTGGCTTGAGCACAGAATTCATGCTTCAGCATGAGAATGGTTTCATGAAAACGGGCCCTGAAGTCATCCTTAGGTACCGAATTATATTCCATAGGCAATAACGAAACTAACACTGCTATAAACTCATATAGGTGGTTCGAGTTGAAACCTTTCACAACACACGGAATAAAGATGACGTAAACTAGGGCTACACATAACCAAAAACAGATTTGTTCCACCGATATTTCGAGTTGACAAAATATGTGTATGTCATAAAAAGGGCAAATGTTACCTGCAATAAACTTTTCGAATCACAGCTGTTGTAAATCTATTCGTTCAGATGCGAAATTACTGTTTTAACGCAAGATATGTCTGATTTGTGAAGAATTATTTTTCAATTCAAAATATTCCCAGTAAGCGAGTCGGTTTCGAAATCAAAATTTCAATTTATTCCTTACAATCCTCTCTTGATTGATAATATATATGTAAGTTGAGATAAAATTATGATTTTTATTTTCCCATCCGTGAAATTCCCTCGTGGTAGATCAACATGCAATTGTTAGACAGAATATAGAGACAGCAGGTGATTTGTGTCTAAACGTCAGTATTTAGTACCGTTTTATTTATGTACATAGATCAAAGGGAGTATCTCTGTGATCTTGTTTTATGTGCTTCTGTATAACAAAAATTTATATATTCCATCATAAGTCGAAAAAGTAATCAACTGGGCATACTGTCGCAAAATGTATTGTACTCGCAATAAAAAAATCATTCTTACCTCAGAACCAAGTACAAATAAACAAAATGAGTCGAAGAAATGGTAGTCGAACTAGAAATCATCTAAAAGTTTTTTCTTAATATTTAGTTTTCCTCTAAGTTATTTTAAAATCTTTTGATATATTAACATCAGGATTATCGTTTTATTAAAATATTTATTATGATATACCTTTATATTATCGTGTTTAAACAGCACACACAGGTTATACTCTGCTATGTTTTTTGTCGATAAAATAACAAACACTTCAATTGTCGAAAATGAGCACTTATTCCAAATGCCAGAAATCAAACATATGCATACATCTTTGTGTTCATTTTTATAATAATGTGTACAAAGAACCAAAAAAGATGGGGCTTGCTTCAAAATAAACGCCATTTGTAATTAAAAGATGTACAACAATGAAACAAAATTTAAAATTAAGATGTGCACAATAGTACATAAAGGTGGATACAAATTAGGGGAGGAGGAGGAGGAGGAGGGTAACTGATTTTTTAAGGAGATTTTTCAAAAAGTCAGCATGGAAAAAAAATGCACAGGTCACGTGACTTTAGTACACCAAAACATCACTTGACTACTTCTATAGGGATGGACTAGTTTAAAAAACGGAAAGTTATCCTCCATTTGGTACCAACAAAATATAACAAATAAAAATATCATATACTAACCAGATAATAAAAATTACTTTAAGCATTGCATAAATACAATTATAAAAGCTGAGTAAGAATAACTGACGCATGTTACATCAGAACCAAGAAAATGATACGAATTGGTACCCTTTAAGCACGACAGTCAAATAATAATATTTGCATCTCTCCCTTCTTCAGATTAGTAAACTCTAACTGCGTACATATTAGATTATACGCAATGAAAGAAAAGGCTCGGCGGGTTGATATCTGTTTCAAATATGGCGCCGTTCAAGCTTCAGTGCAATAACTGTTTGATGACAGCCATTGTTTGGTTCCTTCAACATCTAGAAACGTGGAACATATTCGGGATCCATTATGTCTGATTACACAACACATGGATGCTGGCAAACTTCTAATTCCTTGGATGAACATTAAAATTTCTTTGACGGTAATGTAAACAATGGCGGCTTCCTTTTGCGACGTTCGACTGCGTCACTACCAGAGAAGTGTGTCAATGCGTGTATATAACGACCGTTATAAATGAATAAATATGTTCGAAGTGCTAATAGAATTACTTTATAAAATCTAAAAGCAATGAAAAGAAGAAAAATAATGTTGTTCACTGCGTACTTTCTAGATGTACCCATATATCGATGCAGATTCACTGGAACTATATTATCCTAGCAACCAAGGCTACCATAGTTACCATCGTAGCAACCCGCTTCGAATGTTCATTTCTTTGTAAAGCATTATAACATTATTTTTGTTGTAAGTATTAGGATTGATCTTCATTAAACGTCGAAGAAGTGGTATTTTATGGAGCCTGGGTCCAATTCTGGATGATTAACATGAATTTTTACACAAATATACAATATATGCAGCTCTGTGTACACATATAGGTAAGATTATCTAGTTCAGCTAATAAATATATGTATATATATGTTTTAGCAATGGCGATAACCTATGCTTTCACTTAATTCCTATTATTTGAATAGACGTTTTTTATGTGTGAAGAAAGTATCTTTCTATGATACTGTGAAATCACTAATTTTCGTGGGGTTTTTTGTTTTTGTTTTTTTGTAATTTTGTTGATAGCATGGGTACTCTTCATCCCCGAATTCATTATCCACGAAGTAATTACATATTTGACATAAAGCTTTTCCTCATATGAATGGGGTACTTGTAATTAACGAAATTTTGACCCTACGAAAATATCTGACTTCACAGTATACTCTACTGTGTGATGTATCACTCTCCTTATTAAAAAATATCATGGACATGAAACGAATCAAAGTTTCAGCATGTTGAAAGAAACATTGCGAATTTCACTGAAAACGGCAATTGAAACAATTTTACTGTGGGATGTGTGTATATTACTCTCGTTCGTGATTTAGACATTTCATGAACATTAACCCATTCACCCCTAGAGTCAACAAGATCAAAGAATGGGCAAGTCCTGTTAAGGTCATAGGAGTGCATTGATAAACGGAAGTAGGAAGTACATCCCTAGTTCAAAATCCAATGTAGTGAGACAGTATCACAATTTCCGCATATTCTAATGTTTAATATTAATCTGATGAATATTGTATGTTTATTATTGACAGAACAGTGTTTTCTCTCAATATTAAAGTATTTCAAAGCAATTCAGGCATTAAGTCAGGTTTTTTTCATCAATGAGCCACATGTATCCATTTTTCTGTACTTCAGGAAACCAGCTACCCATTTCACTACTGTTTTTCAAGAAAGATAACTCTTACCTGCAATTACAATGTGCATATGGTTTTATTATAAAATGTCAATTTTTAATCGTTTATAGATAATTTATTTGACATTATTTCAGCGTTTATTAAATTGATATACATTAATGCTATGGCAGTATCATTTTTATTGATATTATTTTGCAAAAAAGTGTGTCTATCATGTTTTTTTTCCAAAAGTCACTCCTTTGTAACAGCAATCGTTTACAGTAAACAATAAAAGCTGTCACTGAAGGTTTCCATTATTTATTTTTAATCTTTCAGGTTTATTTGCTTTGTTCGTGATTATCGGTATTTTTTATCATCAAGACACGTACAAAATAATTCGAACCAGATAAAATATAAAAAATAAGTTATAATTTTAATGTCCTTTATTTCTGGTTCAAAAGAGTCAAAAGCTTTCATGGTGCAAATATAAATGATTGCTATTATTTGAAACACTTTGCGCTCCTCTTCGAACATCTGATATCATTCCATGAGGTCCACAGACGAAAATTCCAAATTTTGACCTAAGTTAAAGACAAGAATGGAATAAACACTTAACACAAAGTACAACACCAAAAGTATTTTATAAGAATAAAACACTGTTTCTTAAAACAGAATGCAACTTAATCTGGACAATAACAATAAAACAAAGGCTTTGGCTTGGGTATTTTTGTTTAACGTTCTATTAGCAGCTAAGGATGATCATGTATGTGTGCCAAAGACAAGGCATGTTGGAGTACTTGCCTCCTTGTGTTGGCGCGGATACTATGCCGACATTGTAGTGCTATCTCACTTAAATACCATGCCGAAGGCACCAAACACAGCATTCCATCCGGTCACATTATACTGACAACGGGTGAACCAGTTGTTGTCAATACCCTATTATTTTTCAGGAACTTGGTATGTCCCAGCCCGGGGACAGAACCCATTGCCTTCCTCACCTAGGCGAACGTTCAACATTAGGCTATAGCAATTAAGCATTAAGCTGAACAAGTCTTTTACATATATGTATATTAACAAACAAATCATGTTTACAATGGTCAAGCTCTGATCACCAAATAATTTGTCTAAGAGATAAAACAATGATCTCAAAATATTTTCTGTAACAGTTTTAGTGTCAAAACATTATCACCTAGACAAATAAAATGTGTATCCGAGTCGTACAGTGAAAACAATGCCTGACAGACTAGCATCTCCCAGTGTAGACATTGGTGTCCAAGTGTATAGCAGCTTACACAATATACAACGTCTGGTCTAGGGTGTTAAAGGGCCCCCTAGAGTTATCATTACGATAACTCCGAGATAAGTGTTGGTTGTTATCCAGGAAAATCTCTACCTAGGCTAGACTGTCATCTATAAATAAGGAAAGTGACTGTTCCAACTATTTCCGCGAAATTTCCCCACTGAAGATTATATGAAGCTTAACAACGCTTGTACAAGTCAACTTATATCCGGTAGCAGAAATCATAAGAAGACAAATTACTAAATTTCTCCCTGAAAGCAAAGTTTATTGTCGCATCCGATAATTATTTCTTATTATTACTCCTTTTTTTAAAAGGCCATGAACAGTCTAGACTTAATTTTTTAAGCTTAAATTGTTTTTATTCTCCTTGGGCATCAAGGTTGGAAGCCCTAGACTGATTATATGACGAAATCCGTTATAAGAAACGCGGTTGACGCTGTAACTTTGGTCCTAGTTTGGAAAAAAACCATGTTTTTATCTTCATTTCTTCTACCACTCAAAAAAGAGCTCAAATATGTAGTTCATTCTTAATATATTTACTGAGCGAAAAAACAACATCTGCCCTTAAAAGCGTAAACTAATACAATTTCTTCAGCGTCGACCTCAGGGAAATTTCTCTGAAAAGCAACTTTAACAAGACATGAAGAGCACAGATGTTTCCCATGCAATGTAGGATGATGAGTGTGATACCAACCTTGAATGTCGTTTGAAGTAGCTATCAAGTGTGGTGTGCCATACAGGTCGGCCAAACGTGGTTCTACCGTAGGTGAAGCCCTCACCAGCTAGTGTCTGTAAACCAAGTATTATATCATATCTTCTTTCACAAGATGTTTTGATTGTTGCCTATCTGGCTGGAAAACCATATTCCCTTGTAACATCCGTAGTAATCTTGGGCGTTGGAGTAGATAAAATGGCCATTTGTTAAGCGTAATACCTTAAAACTAGTACAATGCATCCATGTAACCACAATGGTCAAACTAATCAAAATCATTGGTTTGGTTTGTTTGTGTTTTACGTCCTATTAACAGCTAGGGCCATTTTAAGGACGTGTCAGGTTTTGGTGGTGGAGGAGAGCCGGAGTTCCCGGTGAAAAAACACCGGCCTACACGGCGACTGCACCACGTAGGTCTCCAACCCGCGACCCAGTGGTAGAGGGATGGTGGTAACAGAATGTCAGACGACTTAACCACTTGGCCAGCGCGGCCCCAATCAAAATCAAAGCAATCCTACAGATTTACCAAAAATGCAAATATTGACCTTGCTTATATTTAAAAAATGCTTTTAGCAGTGATGGCCTGCGTTATGAGAAAGAGATCCAGAAATCGAATCGTCTCCCTGGTGGAGCTACAGTAAATGGACAAGAAATATCAAGTCAGAAAAAAGACGAAGAAATAGGAACCCTTTTTTTTTTTATCAACGATACAACCGAGATCGTTGGGCCTCTTATCTCTTTAAATCGATCACCCCACAAAATAGCATTGGAACAATTGGTTGCCATGGAAATCGGAAAATGTATCCCTACCTGTTTCAGTGGTGATGTGACATAAAACGATATCTCAAGAAAATCAGGAACATTTTCTTCGTAACACTGAAAGAAAACAAATGAGGTATACAATTAAAAGGATATTTTTCGCGGTCGGAAATTCTCCAGTTTATCGCGTTGAAATGTAAGTGCAAAAACATACATATACCAATACTTATGTACAGATTGTGTGGATTATAAATTTCAGAACCATTGTTAACTCAATAAGTTTAAAGAGTGACAACGCCAACATTTCCACACGCGAGAATTTCCACTTTTACAGTACATGTATTTCATATTTTGTTTACAAGTGTACAACCACAGGGACTCATAAACGGCATATTACTGACATTGTCATACACAAAGAAAAAAATTCTTACAAATGCGTGCCCACTTCGCGTGCAATATAAAACTCTAAATTCTTTAAATCATCGAATATCTTCATAATTGATCATCAATACATAGTGCAAAAAATACACAGCCCAATAACGAGTTTTTAATAATAAAAGACCAGATATTATACCATAAAAATGTATTTGTTTAATGGGTTTCCGTCATACAACCATACTTTCATTAATGGACAAAAAACCTTCATGTTTGTAATTCCAATGTACTCAAACGCAATGTCTTGCGGAACTTCGTCTCCAATAAAATACCATGTGCCATTCGCGCGCATGATGCAAGTGTAGATGATGCCCGTCATTTGTTATTTCCGATGTACGGCATAATTTTAAAGGCATTAAACGTCCAAATTAATGCCAGCATGGCGTTCTTATGTTTAAATTAGGACCACGGATAGGACCTCAAGGGCGCCAAACAGATAATTATATTTATATTTCCACTGCACAGAGCTTAGATGTTTCTACTGGGCCCAATGTATGTTATTTCCGTATAACATACATTGGGCCATCGTGACGTCGCTATGTTTATGACGTCATAACTGTAACGTTGGAGATTGCAGTGCTCCACTGTCATCTTGTGGCTGTTCTCTGTCTGGATTTACCCTGACGTTGAAACGTGTTCAGACTAATATTATGTCTTTATTTCTGCGTGAACTGTAAGTTGATCAACATAAAATGTAAATATAAGTTATGGTTGTCATTTTATTTGACATGCATCAGTGTGTAACATACCTTGACTTCCCTATATGTAGGTAAGCCAATGTATGTTACACACCAATGCATGTCAAAAATATGACAACCAATCTTTAAATACACCGCGTTCATTCCTCAAAAAGGAAAAATACGGAAACATGATTCTTTAGGTATTCGTCTAGAAATACTTTAGACAACTGTAAAAAAACGACAAAAGTATATGGCGCTTTGGGTGAGAACCCGTATGTAAGTAGCACAGAGGGAACTTACTGTATATAGTGCTCACTTCGCGTAGTGTTTTTTCCGGTTTTAAGTTAAAATGAAGCTTAAATTATTTGGTATGAAGTATTGTTTGGTATGTTGTAATAAATTAGTAGCTATGTTTATTGTCGTTTGAAATTCATGAATCCATCAGAAAAAACCGACGTTGGTACGGAAATTTCCTTCAGTAATAGTACCTTAGGCAAAACGGTTATAAACAAATAAACGTTGTCTTTAACTTTCGACAGTAGTTTTAACCCAACGAATATGTGTTTAAAGTAAAATTGATATGATGTCCAATGACTCACGTGGTGGTGAAGTTTGACAAACTCTTCCTCGAATAGGGATATACTAGTCATGTCCCGTACAACCCATATCATGTACAGCCGCCGACACCGAAGGAAGGCATGGTCTTTGTTTCTGGATGAAAAAAGTAAAGTATAATCGTTTAACTTTCCGTTCTTTTGGTATATTGAGTCAATAACTACTGTAAAAGAGGAGATGTTCGCGATATTGAAACAAAAACTTAAAGAGTCATAACGCGAAAGTTTCCACACTGTGATAAGCTTTAAGAGACATAACGCGAAGGTTTCCACACTGTGATAAGCTTAATGAGTCATAACGCGAAAGTTTCCACACTGTGATCAGCTTTAATTTCCACGTGTACAGTATATAAGACTTGTATTTTCAAACAAGTTTAAAAAAACGGTACGAAATTCAAATCGCAATGATTTCAGGGTTATGATCTTCAAACGAAAAAAACATCAATTACTTCAGTTAGGAAAGCATTACTGAAAAAAAATCCTGATTTTTTTCCTTAACTCTTAAAATGAATAATCGGGTTCAAGCAACGTTTGTGCGACTTGGGTAAGAAAGCACAATTGTCTTCGATTCAAGCATCATATCTGGCAATCAAATTCTTTCGATATACGGCTTTTTAAACATTGTTTGTGTTTCTTACCTTAGATATTGTATATAACCAATAAATGGCGTAACACCTATACCGCCGGCTATACACACAGATATTGGATAACTGGTGACGTTTTCCAGGGGGCTAGAAAATGGACCGTCCACGTACACACACTTATGAGGTCTGCAAAATGAAACATATTCATGAAGCACAATATTTCAAGGTTATCTGATCTTTAGAATGTCATATGTCTTTACAAGTTCTGAAAATTATTACAAACATGTTATAAAGCTGATATCAAAACGTGGCATACCATACTTGAATGTTGAAAATTTGTTCAGAAGGGTAGACTTGCACTTCAGTTAGGAATGTATGAATATGACAATCATTACTTACAGTGTAATATTAAATACTGTAACCTATGATTATATTCATGAACTACGATCAAAGATCAGACGAACGAGACAGTCAGCACACAAACACAGCCCAGTGGGGAAGTTCCGGGAGAGTGCTTGTATAAGCTTTGCCTGTTGCCCAATTCCCTTTAATAAAATATTTGAAATGAAAATGGAGAAGTTCTCGTCATTATTTTCGGATACATATTGATGATACTGAGCATCTCTCAGTGGGTGTCAGTTCTTCAGTGATATTACCGTGTTATGTGGTCGTCGATATGACGTACAGACATGTAAAGAGGAGGAGGAACGTCCGCCCGTTATTTATGCTGACTACCAGAGCAGGGTAATTTTGTTGACACGAACAAATGCGACTACATCTCGAACCAGACTCATCCATCAAGTGATTACAGCGTAAACATATACCGTCTCGACCATCGCAATTAGGAAGCATGCAAAAGTCACCTTACATGCACACAGGGACATGCATCACGGGCACTAAATACAGTCATAATCTGTCTAACTTTGATAGCACGCACTGGACCAGCAGCCCGGCACAGACAGGCAGTCAGAGTGTACCGAACAATGTGTATCGCCAAAGACGAGATGGAAAAGGATTGATCCAACAAAGTGCAGCCCCTATATATAAAATAAGTATAAATTATTGTTGCTATTCATGGCATGATATGCTATTAATTTCATTTTTTATTGATCAGACACATATTATTCAACTGTTCATTTTGATAAAAAGTAACATAAAGATTTCATGGTAAAAATACGCACCATAATATAAACAAGAGGCCCATGGGCCTTAACGGTCACCTGAGTCATACAGTATTTATTTTTGTTGTTGAAATATGTACCAATTTGAGTAAAAAATTGTTAAGTATAACGTTAACATAAGTTTGTCAGGACCATTAGCTGATCATTCCTAGACCGATTTTCAGTTCAATCGGCCTATTAGAACTTGATTTTAAGTTTGAAATAGGTATTTTCAAAATAGCTGCCATGGCAGCCAAATTGTATTTCTGATCGACCTGAAAAATAACAAAACTTTGTCAGGACCATGAGTCGATCATTCCAACCAAGTTTCAGTTCAATCGGCCCAGCAGAACTTGAGTTTAAGTTTGAAATAGTTTTTCAAAATGGCGGCATTGGCGGCCATATTGGATTTCTGATCGACACAAAAAATAACAGCACTTGGTCAGAGAGATGTCAGTAACCTTCCCATGAAATATTAATGAAATCCCTTTGCCAGAATTTCAGCTTAAGTTGAAAATGTAAAATGTTAACGGACGACGCACGACGCACGACGGACGACGGACGACGACGGACGAAGATGGATAGCAATAGGTCACTTGAGCTAAAGCTCAGGTGACTTAAAATCCAGTGTATCAAAACAAACAAGGATACAAAAATGATAGGAGAATCACCAGTTTGATTGATTAAGGGCAGGTGCCATATCACTATGTTTATTTTCTATCACAATACGCTGTGTTATTCCACTCTCAGATCATTGTATAAATACGCTGACTGGTAGATAAATATGAGTTATATACCACACATGGTATATAACCTACACGAGTTTTAATTGGTCGAGAAGATGAACTTTGACCGGGACGACTTTTTCCACGCGCTTTTTGCCACAATCTGTTTTGTTTACGTCGTCTGCTGTCAACATTCGACAAATGTTGGTGGCTTTGTGAGGTTATGTGGAAAAGGGAGTTATTAAGGCATTATTAAAAGAAGATGATACTTAAAGATTTGATCGCTTGTTTCAGGCAAAATTGCTGCAGACGCTCAATATCGTTTCGACGTCACACCGTCGCGTGTCCAGGTCGTGAAACCAAAACAAGATCTGTCACAGTTTCGGAAAATATTTCGTTCTCCCAACGTCCCGTTATCGTTATTTGGACGGTCTGACTATGGATGAACTGTCAATATAAACGTCAACCATAGAACCGTCACGAAGAAACGTAGGTCTATGGTTTTGGACATTAACAGCGATAATTTCGTCTTCGTCACTTGGCGGGAGGCAGACTTCGTACGATATGCTTACGCGCATATAGTCCGTGGTTAATTTATATAAATTAATGCAATACTGCTTATCCCAATATTTAAAGTCGTTCATCTATCATATTTTTTCATGAAGTCGTTGCCGAAGCATTAATTTTGACAATTATTAGATTTGCAAAAAAAACCCCATTTTTGAATATTAATGAGTGACTTTTTACATATGGGTCATATCACTACGCCAGCCTTGTCAACAAACACATGTGCGTATGTTATTTCCGACTGATCATGAGATTGTGGTAGAAACAGATCACACGACTCGTGGTTGTGGAGTATGGTATTTATTTCACTCTCGCAAGTAATTTTCAAAAGTTACAGAAAGACACTCGCTAAAGATCGTGTCTTTTTTAACTTTTGAAAATTAACTAACTCGAGTGAAATAAATACCATATTCAACAACCACTCGTTGCGTAACCTCTATATCTGCAACGAATAAGAGTTCGAATTTGTTCGGCATTTTCTGTTGCTTCCCTTTATTTACTACAGCAAAAAGACGTTATATCAAAACTTATATATTTATAATAGTTTCCTTTTTCACACAAACATATCGGCTCCGTTACCGATTGTTGATCCTCTGATCTTTTGACTTTGTTGAACAGGAAAATACATTTCCAAAGTCTGTATACAGATACAGAAATGTTGGGGGTTTCTAACACAGATATCCGAAAGGCCGTTAAGATTGTTGTCATTTATTGTGGCAAATCCTATCGCTGTATTTGTTCTTATTAAAAATATCAACTCGGTGTACTGAAAGAATTTATGAACCGATTCTTGCGCAGTCAGGCTTATCCTAAAGCTTGTATATTTCCCTTTCTAAAACTACCAAGATTAATGTGGTAATAAAATATGTTTAAATCGATCCATTCCAACTATGAACGACTACCACATGATGTGAATGTGGAATCAAAACAGAAGTGGGAGAGAAGCAGAGGAAATGAAATAAAGTTGGATAAAAAAACCCGAAACGAAATTGTAATGGAGACAACGTTAAGTTAAATTGAATACTAAACAGAAGAGCGGAAATGCGTGCATTAGTACTTGTCACCTTTTACTTGTTACTGTGTCGAGGGATGTGTTCGTCTCCTGTATTACGTGATTTTTCAGCTTTTCTACAACACAATTTAATTATATACAGAATAACACACACTAGTAGTTCTTACTGTGGCTGAAATACATCTAAAGGAATTTAAGACGAAGATGTGAGAATGCCTGGAATATACTTCCAATAAGCCAATAAGCATTTCTGTTACCACTTTTGATCAAATAAGCACCGGATACATATACGATTTATAAAGTTTGAGGGGTTCGAGACCATTATTGCTGACCACTTCCCACACACTGACCAGTGTTTATAGTTACCAAATCACCTGTCCAGTCTCCTGAAGTCTTTATATATACTCGGAAGGACCCCTTTTGTTTTTCATTCTGTGTGGAAAAAAACAAGGGGTGTTACAAAGGTATCTTCGGCACTTCGCAATATATACATATATATAATCAGATTAGTATTGGAAAAGACATATAAATATTAAACAAATTCGTTTATTATAACTTTGTTAACTAAAGCACAGATACGATGAGAAAGGTCCCTGCAGGAAGGGCGTAAGAATTGTACCTGCTGCCCTCATTGCATGATCGTAAAGCGACTAAATTTGGGATCTTATCTTTTCTCTTCTTTCTAAACAAATTTCTTCTTCCTATTGTCTCCCTTGACAATGCCTCACTTTTGGCCTTAGTTGAGCGTTCGCTCCTGTGAGGAAGGCTTTGTTTTCTGTCCCCTGGATGAGACATACCAGAGTCTGTTAAAATGGTAGTTTCTACTCCTGCTTAACGCTCAGTTAGGAGTGGGACGACTGGTTCGCCCGTTGTCAGTATAATGTGACCGGATCGGGTGTCCTGCTGGGTGTCTTCGGTAGTATGTTTCAGTGAGGTAGCACTATAAAGTCGGCATCAGTTCCGCGCTATCACATGGAGACAAACACGAACATATCGCAGCCTCCCAAAACACACACGCATACACTACACGCATGCATCTTGATGTTGATAGGACGTTAAACAATGTTATTATACCTCTACTTTATTTACTCTATTTAAAAGTAATTGGTTAAATCGAATATATCCCCACTTTTGCCTGACTGTGTTTTAGTCCTGTGTGTTAGTCTGGGAACTAAAACACACCTACACTCGGGTGTTTCCGCCGAGCCAATCAGGCGGGAGGTGGGCGGAGCTTGTTGCCGAACTCGGAACCGACGCACGAGGTGGGCGGAGCTTGCTACCGAACTCGGAAGCGACGCGCGAGGTGGGCGGAGCTTGCTACAGAACTCGGAAGCATGTTTGGCTCTACTGTGATCAAGGGTAGATGGGACGTGAAGCTATACAGCTTATGGTTTACAAATAATTTCTAGTTAAAACTATCTCTCCAGTGTGTATCGGTATAATAAAACGGTGAAAGTATGGGGTTGAGGGATATGGCAAGTTTCTGGTGTCCCTTGACCATGCCTATTTCCCTCGGCTTCGCCTCGGGAAATAGACCTGGTCTCGGGACACTAGAAACTTGCTATATCCCTCAACCCCATACTTTAACTGTATACTAAACCAAACAAAACCAAACGATGAGAATTTGTGAACTTACCATACAAACAGAAAACGGATGCCATTCCATGGTAGAAATTTCCGGAACTGATAGATATACATACTGCAAAAAAAACACCGTAACGCTTTGACAAAGTATAGGTTATTTTCATGTTGGAGATGATGCACATGTTATAATGACAATTAGCTATAGATCTAGAATTATATATTTTTCAATATATAAATCCGTTTTTTAGCCATAAAGTTGTGTTTGAAGAAAATGTTATGAACTATTTCGCATATTCTGACAAAAATAGACGGAGAAGATAAATATGAAGCACGTATCCATACAATATATCGTGTCAAAGGTAATTTAGTTAGTTACATCAAGATTAAATTTTATCAGTACAATTTTCATTGGAATCAACAAACCCTAAAGAAAAAAGCAACACACAAAAACCAGAATTAACAAGAACCCCTGGACCCCATGGACGTGACTTCTGCACAAAGGTGTCGGTCAGTAGTGTTCCAAATCAAAGTAGCTATATAAGGTAATAATACATTTCAGGAATTTTTAAAAAATAAACAAAGTGACATTGGAGCTATGATTTTGACAATTGTGACATGAAAAGTACACAGAATGATCTTGGTGTAATGCACTTCTTCCTCGATATCCAGGGGTTACGCTCACTTTCGCTCTCTACACCTCTGGAAGATGTCATAGTAAAATTGAAGCCACGCGGCCAGCTATTAGAATGGCCTCGACTTCAAAACCAGTCAATTTTAACGTTACGCGACCGACGGATTCGTTTTATATGTACACCAAAGGATCAAACTGGCGCACACTGAGCTTTCAATTTTGTCATGACATATGAGGGGTGCATAGAGCGAAAGTCAGCGTAACCCTTAGAGTATCGAGGATTACAACACTTAAACTCATTGTTATTTCGCGGAATACTCATTATGCAAATTCGCGAAGAGAATAGAGAGGTTAAAGTATTAGTATGTTTTTTTATATGGAGTATGTACCTGTTGTTGTAACTTTGTGCTTGAAGTTATCTAGATCAGTGTCATTCGAACAAAAACGCAAAATTAAGAGATTTTTATAGCACAAACTCATCATGTATTACCTGTCCAGGAGAAAAAGCAAACTGTGAGTTGTCTTTGTGAACGTCAAATTGGACGATGTCGTCTGCTATCATGTGCGCGTGCGTGACAGTCATCTTCCGAGATCTCCGTACATACCGGTATAGACAGTCGCCCAGGTACACCACAAGTGGTCCTACTAGCCACTTCCATGTCTAAATGAGCAAACAGAAGATTACAATTAACCTAATTTAACGCTTTGTGCCATTTCCATTTGAAATGGTTTTGGTTTTTTTCATTCAAAGCAATCATGAAGATATCCAAATTATTTTTTGAGAGATGCTGTATATTTATGAAATACCTGTGCTTTACCTAGACATAGTGATCTGACAGACGAAAGTTCAACTTACACTACAACCAATGTGGTCAAACTGCGGGTGTTCATCACACACACTTCCGGTTTCCGGTAAATATTCCGGTTGTGGTAGCGAGCTGTTACATCCGGGTGTGTGATTGCGTGTGTTCGTCTGCCTTCTGATAGGGCCCCTGTAAGATAGACATATAAGTCAACGAATCAATGTTACATATTTCAAATGATTAACAAAGTAAGGTAAAATATGGTTTCAAAAGACACATGCAATACTTCATTGCAGAACTGTTGTATAGTTCTGCTAGGTACGTGCTTGAAATGTGTACATATCTATACATATGAGACCCTTTGATACATTTACCTGAGTGTTATGGATTAGGGAATGTTTGGTGTTTCTTCTTTCATTTATTGCCGGAAAGAGAACGGCATGTCTAAACAAAGAACGAAAATCTTACCTGATGCCGTGGACCATCAAAAGGCCGAAAAACAGAGGGAAGAGAACTCGATGAACATACCAAAACAAATTGTAATGGTTCTTCCTGAAACGAAAAAGAAATAATTCAACAATGTAGGGAATTTAGAATATTGTCAAGCATCTTCAATCTTATTTCTGGACCAATGTTCGATTAAGTGAAAATGCTCAACTTCTCTAACGATTCACCCAATAAAAGCTTTTTTTTTTCTTCTTATTTTTTCTATCTACATGTAATTAGCCAAATTAGTATGTAATCCACAACGAACCCTGTTAGTATAAATAGTTGATTGATTGATAGGCTGGAACGTCCTTGTTCCGGTTATAACCAAGCCTATCGGATACGTTTCCTCAGATATGGGAACTCAATGAATTGGTATCCTAATCAGTTATTGCATAGCACACTTTAATCATAATACCACTTACTTAGTGTAATTCCTAATGAATGCGTTTGTATTTCGGTCTGTGGATGCGCCGCAGGAAAGCGTATTTTATTGTAAATAAGAGCACTATAGATGAAAATACATACACATACATTGTATGATAGGTATACATTATATACAAGTATTAAAAACCCTTTGTGACCATTCGCAATCAGAGGTATATTTATAGACACGTGGGGCTGTTTCTTCGTCTTCTGCAAGAAACAAAGACTTTATATACAAAAGTTACTTCTTCTACATTTATTCTAAATGTTGACAGCTTGTATTTTCTTTATTTTAAACACTGCTCTCGTAACACAGAAGTTTGCCCTTTTCGTCAGGCCATCCGTCCATACGTCATCTTAGTTAGAAGTTGCGTTAAGCTCAACAAACAACCACCAAAATACATATGTGGATAAAATGTAGGTCACTGTGACCTATATGTATTTTGCTTCCAGCTCCATTTCCATCAAGGTCATCCTCGATATCCAGGGGTTACGCTCACTTTCGCTTTCTGCACCCCTGGAATATGTCATAGCAAAATTGAAGGCTCGGTGCGCGCCACCTTGTTGATGAGACAAGAAGACTAGTTCGATCCTTTGAAGTACATCAAAAGAATCTCGCGGTCACGTAACGGTAAAAATTGACAGGCTTTTAAGTCGGGCGTTTCTCCTTTGTAATCTTCAAAGGACAGGTATCAGCCTAAAAAATAGTATTTTTTTTTTTACCTGAGACCAATCAAGCAGCTATCTTCGTGCCTTCAATTTTGCTATGACATATTCCAAGGGTGTAGAGAGCGAAAGTGAGCGTAACCCCTGGATATCGAGGATGCATCAAGGCATGAGCGAGAGTAAACGTATGTTTTACAAAGATTTTCTAGTTTCATACTGTTTTAATATGTAAAAATATCAACAACAAAAAGAGAAATTAAAAAAACTAGTTGGTCCTCAGATGGGAAAACATAGGAAACCTTTTGGTGTTGAAAATGCAGCACAGAGTATATATACATACAATTTGTAACAGTTGATTTCGAACTTTACATATCAGAGTCATGCATATTGTATTTCGCTGTATATTTATTCCGACACTAAAATTATTAGGTATAGTTGTCATTCTCTTACAATAGCTATTTCATTGCGATTTACATAATTGACGAACGTACATGTTAATTAATAAAATTACCCTTGAAAAAGGGTATACTTAGACATAAGTAAATATTTCGTAATGAGACGCATAGGGAGCGTTGGCTAATTTAACATTACGTTATAATGGACATTACATTAATGTGTGTTAATTACTGCTACGGTAATGAAATCCATCAGGGCATTACCCCTTATCTGAGACACAGTATCTTTATTAATTAATAGATGTGTACTTTTATCTTTTTTCTTAAGCCAAGTCGTTCAAATTCTGTTTAGCTTCACGGCAAAATAACGTGAAAATGATCATTTAGTATAGGTTCAGCGGAGCCGAAATCCAAAACTATTGCACATGTATCGAATCCAAAAAGATTATCTCCAGACAAAAAAAAAGTAAAATTTAGTTGTTTATTTTGTTATTTTGATTAAAATTCCCATTTTGAAGTTTGCTGTAACGACGCGTTAAGCTAACCTGACTTTGAGTAAATGTTGAATAAGTCGATTTACATGTTTTCCACTCAAGTCGGTAAATTGTGCATATTTACATTACTTAGTTGACTACATGCAACTTAGGAAATGGAACTCTTAGCTCATCTTCACAATCGTAAGCCTTAATGATATATTATCAATTAATGTGCTTTGTTGTATTAAGTTGCTGTGTAGCATAAAGGAAATGTTTTAGAGCCAATTAACACTTGTGCAATTATTTGTATACCTTAAACAAAACATATATACACAATAAACATATATCACACGCGCGAGTCACTACAGGACAATATCAGTATGCTAAAAACCGGGTCAGCACAAAACACTAGCAACTTACACAGTTAAATAGGATTAAAAATTGAATATTTATCTAGTACTAGTGAATTTCTATAAGTAATTAAGTGTGTAAAAACACAAATAAATGCAGATTAAAAATTCCATCTTTTGACGTTTTTCATGTCATGAAATTAATCTAAGTCATACAAAAATTATAAAAGATGATATGGTCTGGCCAAACTGTCACTTTGTCAAGTTTTGTATGTACAACTACCTATACCACTAATACGATTTGTCAAGTTTTGTATGTACTACTACCCATACCACTAATACGATTTGTCAAGTTTTTCATGGAAAACTATGACACTTTTATCGTTTTTCATGGCTCACTTAGGTCATCCTATTCACAAATTCGCGTTAAAGTTTGGATAACACAATTACACATTTTCTCACTAAGTAGGGGGAACTAAGTCGATGTATGACAAGGAGTTTGTCTGTTATAAAATAATGTTCAAATTATTTTCGGAAATGTATGCAATTATACTTGAAATATTTAGACATTAACTACAAATAATTATGTTTCGACGAAGATAACAATTATTCTCATTTAGTAATTCAAGTGGGACTACACCCTTCGAATACTGTTTGTCTACATTATTGTGTCGAGTTTGTGAATCTGTGTACAGTGTATTACAGGCAATCCATTTACATTTAGCATGTACCTGGATTTACTCTGCCTATTAATGCAAACTGACTAAATACACTGCAAAAATGATACAGTATATGTCGGACATATGATATCAGTTATAACACACCTGAACTTTTCTCACCTGAAATATTTGGTACTGGACGACACCATGCAACACAATGTGACAAGCATCAGCATTCCCGTTACTCCTGGTACTACATCAATAAAGCATTAAAGAACTGCATGATATATGTATTGTTTTATATTAGCAAAAACATTTTTAAACAAACATTAAGTTATATTAAAAAACAAATACTTGAATTAAATAAATGAAAAGAAAAAAGAATGGCAGGCTGCCACATTGCAGTGCCGAACTAGAGCGTCATAAAGTCGTAGTTGGATAACCCAACCTCCCAATTTTAGAATTTTTGAAAGACAGGAAACGAACAAGTATACCCTACGCCAGCCAATGAGGGGCGAATTTAGACAGAGCTCGACCGTGCGACAAGGCAACGGGAGCTCCAGCATGTAGAATGTGTGCTATAACGGGACACAGAAACTGGACAGATCTGCCGAAATTCAGCGATCGATGTTCAGACGTGTCACCAGGACACACGCTCCATCTTTACATACCGCACAAACGGCTTATATACCCTTATATTGCCGAGACCTGAATACGACGGTGTGTAGAGTTTTTATATTTAGTTTTTTTATTTCATTTTGAAGATTCTAAATGATTCAAATGGTTTGATACATTCGTTGCTTTATATTCTATAATCTTATTTAAATAGAATTGATATGTGAACGTTGTAAATATAGTTACAGAATAAAACGTAATCATATATAAAAAATCAATGAATTAAAATTACCTCCCTTGAATAGGAAGCGACTCGTTATACAAAATAAATCATCGCTGCCTGTCACTGACAGTGCATCAATAACTTACAGAAATTCAAAACTATCTTTAGCAAATATTAATAACAAATTATTTACTAAATATAATAACAGCAACAAGCTAGCGATGACATAAGATCACATACAACGAGACATAACGAGGATTTGCTTGGACAACAGGATGTTACGGTAATGCGAGTTATCTCGCTTTGCCCTTGGTATACACAGACCGCCAAAGGAAAGTAAAATACACAGTTATTTCTTATATTGCTATATGGCGTCGTCTGCTGTGTTTTAACATATTTATCTGGCTCCTTGAGCTCTGCGTGTTGTAAATTTTACAAAGTTTGACTTACCTGTGCACAGGATAATTAGGAAAGGGTCCTGTTGAACAAAAAAATCATAGATAAATATGTTTTACTGTAGAAGACAAGTTTTGCGTGTCTGCATATTGCAGATTTGGCTATCTGTCCTTTAATTATTAATCTATCTGCCTTGTAAAGTAATATCACGTACCATTACTCCGATAAAAAATAACTTGTTTGGTGGTAATTAAATTCATTGTGATGTTATGTAATATTTACGCATAGCTATAATTTCTGGTGAACATATCCTCATATAACAGATTTACCTGTTCTGTAATATAACTGGTAATGGAATTACTGATTTTCCCCACAGGGACCTGCACATTTGTTACAGCTATATTTGGACCTAAACTAATTAAGGTGTTCAGTGTAATTTTACACGTTTTAGGGGTTTAAAAATATTTTCGGTAAAAGTGCTAACCCCAATGATAATATATGCCAGTGTAAAATGACTCTGAACACCTTAGTTTAGGTTCAAATATAGCTGTAACAAATTCTCAGGTCCCTGTTATTTTTATGTCCCGACCTCTCACGTAATTATTATCTTGCCTGTCATATACGGATTAACTCACCTGTCCAGGAAACAAGGCTGCATTCAGCTTCCTGTGTGTAAAATCAAACTTAGTCGAGAAATTCCTGGCATTTGAAACATGAGCCACACAATGTACGACTGAAATAAAACGAAGGTTTTGGTTTCTGATTGTAAAAAAACAAACGCATGAAGTTGTCCTTCTTAATAAACATACTCGTATCATCAAGTTTGAAAAGATGCTGATCTTTAATATATACAAATAATATCGAGTGTTAAGGACTGTATAAGCCACATCGAGACTAATTGCTCAACACCTCAGGCACAAATTTTTAGCCAGATATTCCCCTTAGGCTATATTGCATTATAATGTGGCCTGATCATTTTTTTCAGATGACTGACAGTTTAAATATGTTGATCAGCATTGATAGAATATCACCTATATAAAGATATACCATTAGCACGGAATTAGATTCTAAGTCCGCGCCTTTAGATATTAGTACTATATAACATTATTATGTACTTACCCGCCAAAATTACAATGGAGTATGCACACACGATATGAAATCCTTTAACAGTCGCAAATATTTGTTGAAATGAACCCAGCTGAATCTAAAAAAAAAAAATGACGGCACTGTTTGATATGGATAAAATATCACAGATTTGTATAACATAACTAAGCATTTGTATTTGGAAATGTGAAATAATGATCTGTTAATACTTGAACCAGAGACCCATACATTATACCATCGAAGGAGGGTGACGTCTCGCCTCGTTCTGACCACTCCTGTGAAAGATGACGTCATGATTTATTCTGAAACCTCCTTAGAAGGATGATGTTTTGTCATATTTTGATATTTCTTTGAAAAAAGGGCATCTTACCATATTCTGACATTTTCTGAGAAGGGTGATAGTACTCCGACACATGGGGAGGAGTAGAAGGCCACAGTTCAGGTTGAGGACAGCTGCACTCCCACGGGAAATACACAACCACGACTAAAATTGTAAAAAAAAAAAAAATGTAATAAAACACGGCTCTTGTGGAGGTGAAAGATTATTACATGAAGAAAACAGCTATTCCAGAAGAAAATTTTGCAATTATTATTTGTTCTTTTTAAAAAAATATCAATATGCATCTTTCTAGAAAATCTTGTGACTAAAAGTGAAATATTAATAAATTAGAGGACAAAACTTACCATTGTCGGAAATATACCCAATGGGCTCGATTTTACTTGAATTATTCTTAATAAAAAAATAACACTGAAACGGAATGTTTTTTTTTAAATGATAGTATTTTTCTTCATTCTATGATACAAAAAAAATCGACGCAGGAAATAATTATAATCTCTGAAGGTAATGCAATATCTGTTTTCAAAATAAGCCTCCCCCTCTTTATATAAATAAAAAAATCCAGCAGCAAAAAAAGAAATCCTCACCAACTTCCCTATTTTTTTCAGCCAAGTTACCCGAAACATATTTTTTCGGCCTTACCATACAGTTGAACTCACCCCAAGTATTCGGTGGACATAGTAGTACTCCAGGTCGTATTTGTAGGTGTTGTATGTGTTCCGGAACAGGAGGGTACACAAGGTCAGCCACAGGACCTGGAACAATCACCTTTATAATTAAAGGATTAAGCTACACACATTACTCTAATTGTCATCCATATGCGTTGACGAGGAGCAATGGTGGAGACGGAATTCTCATCCGATTGAAAGAGGTAATATATTAAATTCAAGTTCAACTCATTTTGAACTGTTCAAACCCTTTTAATTGTTTACGATCATTTTACCAACTTACAAATACATCGCTAGTTAATAATGTCTCAATTTGGGCTGTTTTGTGCTTTAATTTAAGTAATGCAATTATTCAACCATTTTGTACCAGTTTTCAAAAATAAACCTATATGACGTGTTCGCGTAAAAGATGCTTTAAGCAAGACAGTCTTTATAAGTTTCTCTACAACTGTTTAATGTTCTATCGTCTAAGTGATAAATAGACAATAAACCAAGTAAGGCTAACGCTTCAAGAGTTCTTTTATTTAACTAAAACATAATCAGTTTCAATATCATTACTATCGTATGTGGCATGGTGTGACGTCCGCATATTGTTTACTTAAATATCAAAATGTAAATGATGAAACATAACAGCATTATTCCAAACGCGGTTTTTGTAACAATGACCTGAGAATTTGTTACAGCTATATTTGGACCTAAACTAAGGTGTTTAATTTTACACTTGTTAGGATTTTAGATCAGCTTTCGATAAAAGTAACACCTCAATGAGTAGCAAGTAGCTATAACATTGGGGTGATATTTTTACCGAAAGTTGATCCCAACCTCAAAAACGTGTTACATTACTCTTGACACCGTAATGTAGGTCCAAATATAGGTATAACCACAGACATAGATATCTAATCTAATTCCGTGGTGTAACATATTCTCCGGTAACTATGCTTTCTGCTTGCAACAACGTTTAATTGATGAAATGTATGTCACTCGTTGTCTGTTTTTAACAGATATATTGATACAGTCTGTGGTGTGCGTGACCCTTAGATATGTATAGAACGATAAAGCAGCACATACGCGGGCTCTTCAGAGTATCTGGTAATCTAATTAAATTCTTTACATGTACGTAGCTATTACATATGGTTTAATGTGTACCTACCTATCAATAGGATATATTACCGCGTGCATGTACGTGTTTAACAACTACAGAACATAACATGTACAGCTATCACCCTATGTGAACTTGGTGACCCCTGTCTCACAGCCAATGAATGTCGGGAGCAGCAGATGCAGCCTCCCGTGAGATCTGCATCAGCTATGTGGCATGTATAATGTATTAACCATGCATGCTGCTAAACACTGGGTAACACACCGCGTTCCTTTGTTAGCATACTAGTCAACAGTCAAAACTAGCCCGTCTGTTCTGATAAAAACTGTAACATAAATAAAACTCCTACGACACCACATAAAAATAACACTTTATGTAAAACCTCATTAATTAAAATGTTCATAGAAATCCAACTCGTTGCTTTAATTAAAATGAGTATAACCCATATTTCATTTATCAATTCTAATTATACAATGAAATGATGTCATTTGGGCAGCACGAGTATATATATATATATATATTGTATAATAACATATGTGTGTAATAGTGTGTTGGAATTACTTCTTTGCCCCATATAATATTTTAGGTAATTCGTATCCTACGGACATACCTCCATTAGGATCAAGTGTTATATGGGATTTTACCATCTANGATTTTGCCGTCTATATTACTTCTTTGACCCATATATATATATATATATATAAATACNTCCTTCACATGGACATTTAATCCCTTTTTATTATATATATACATATGAAATAGGTATTAATAAACTCATTTATCATTATGACATTTAAGACATTAAGAACCCTCATCGGTTCTTATCTTTGTTATTCAAACTGTGATATAGACATAGATCGTTTATGATTTTTTTTAAATTTGTCATTGTTGACTGAAACTTTTTTCATTATTTTGTATTAATAATTTACTTACCAAAATAGTGTATTTCAATCCATTATTACGCCACCACGTCCCAACGTTAAAAGTCATGTTCAATGTACAATTACACCTGATAAAGATGATAATTTTTCGGAAATGTTGACAATTATTTATATAATGATAAAATTGTATTATTATAAACCGTGATCCACGCCACACATTATGTTCTAACGTAAACGAAAGAAAGAAGACTGCTAAAGTAGCATAAGGAACAAAGACAAGATAAAAATAACAGCTTACGTCGACTTCCGGTTTAGTACGATGACTTGGGGCTACTGTATGTGATTTAATGGCTACTATGGCTACGGGCGTGAATCACTCGTCCCACACATCAAGGAACGGTGCACAAGTACATTGTACCCACTCTGTTTGGTGCAACTGATGCCGACGGTTTCTATCTCGGAGTAATTTAGGGATCGGCCTTCTTTCATTGTTGAGTGATGAAGGAAACAAAATATTGATATTTAATGAAGTAGAAAGTCTGATATCCCTCTTAGCTGCTCTCTCCCACTTACCGCCAGTTTTCATCCAAGCCTCCCCCTCCCCTTCTCCTCCCCCTCCCCTTCTTAGCCACAGTTTCACTTCTATCCTCAATCTTCCTTTCTCCGTTCAAGCTCAATTCCCCTCCAAGCTCCCTCACCCCTTTAGTCCCAACCCTTTCCCCCCATTCCTCTTCCAATTTCTAAATTGATAGTGATAAATCAGTACACATATTTAAAGTGTATTTTCTCAACTATATATTATATATAGTAACCCATAGGAAACATTTATTGTGACCAATACCTGTGGCCTAGAACATGCAACAGCCATACACTGTAGCGATTTAAATATTTTCTTATTGACTGTCGTTGTCATTTTGTCAATATTGGAATATTCGGATTTAAGGAAGATAATGCCGATAACCTGTTGACTATCATATAGCTGGAAGTTTTAGTGTCTGCTTGTAAAATGTACGGTTTTACCTATAACAGAAATGAAGTAAAAGTTGTGAAAAGTTCAAATACCTGGGTGTCCATTTTACTCAAAATGGTTTCACGCAGTTAAATATCTGACAATTATTGATAAGGGCCTAAGGGCAACGTATGGTGCTATTGCTAAATGCAGAGACCAAAAACTATCAATTGACGGTAAATTAGATATGTTCGATAAAGATATCAAGCCTGTCATGTTGTATGGTTGTGAAGTCCGGGGTTTTGTGATTACATGCTTTTAGACGTTTGCATTTGTAGTTCTGTAAATATATACTTGAGCTGAAAATATCGGCACCAAATTTCATGATTTATGGAGAACTAGGAAGATTTCCTCGGAGTATTAATATTAAAGTTCGAATGATTTTATTTTGGGTCAAATTGTTAGAACCAATACCTAATAAATTAAGTAATAAAATGTATAAGATAATTATAAACTATAACCCTCAATGGTCTAATTGTATTCAAAATATCCTTAATGAATGTAATTTAATACATATATTTGAAAGTCAAGATTTCCATAGTACCCAATGGTTGAAAAATACAGTTTTCCATACACTCAAATATAAATTCATTAATAATTGGAGAAGCGATGTTTTCAATGCATCTAAAGGGACCAATTACAGAATCTATAAACATGACTTAGTATAAGAAAAATACCTGTAAGATCTCCCTCCAAGACTAGCAAATGTTTATTGAAAATTTAGAATTTGTAATGATAAATTTCCGATTAAATGTTGCAGATGGAATAACATTCCATGAGAAGATAGAAAATGCATTGTTTGCGACCTGAATGAAATTGGAGACGAATATCATTATTTGTTTAATTGTAGTGATCACAAAATACTGCAAAACAGAGGAAAATTTATGTCTAGATATTATTTTGAAAGACCCAGTACTTGCAAGTTCAATACATTATTTAATTATGTCAATAATGAAGAATTAATTTCACTTGTAAAATTTCTAAAACACATAATTGAGCGAATTCACACTGTCCATTAACACCATGATTTATATGTAAATTGTTTTAATATGTATATGTAAATTCTCTATACTGTAACCAGTTTGTGAGAATAAAACTTGTCATTGTCACTTGAATTCCCATTCCGTGATGAAATCGCCATCATCCTCTTCAAAACCGTAATTTTATTAAAGTCCGTTCTAGGAAGTATGTCAGCCCGTCCGTTTTTGAACATTATTTAACTTTTCTTGTCGGGAGATCGGATGGCCGGACGAGCCCCGCCATGGGGTAAGGCATTTGGGTAAGTTCGACGCATTGAAATCAGCTCAGTTATGACGTCATAAAGCATGCAACGTCAGATTTTACCGCCAATTTTACGACTTTTTATGTGTTTACTACATGGGCCGACCTTGCCACGGTATTATTGGTGGAACCTGTTCGGGCCCAAATTGATATTTCAATAAATTCTTATCGTACAGCAATATGGTAGTGAGTGATTGGCTTGGCTTTCATGTATTATCATTTGAAGCTGTCAATGTGTTACACGTTTGACTGTAAAAAAGTAGCAATTCCGTTTCAATGTGCATATTACATATTTGACGATTAGTCTAAGTAAATGTATAGAGATCGTAGTTAAAACAATGAAATTAAAAAAACCCATTGTAATACTTCGATGTAACTGAAATTGTCTTTATATCGATATGTAGTCACAATAACTGTTCCATCTTGAAACACCGGCTTGAATATTAAATTTTGTAACTGTCACCGAGGTTTGACAGGTAATGATGCCAAATAAAATAACAGTGTCTGTTTGTAACTAGTTACAAATCGGAACGCGTTGTGAAAAAGTGATACGTTGCTGAAAAAGGGCGTTGCACTTTGGTTGGTTGTCTGAAAAATTATTGTTAATTTCGTCATAAATGCATTTTCCGTTGCTTCTTTTATGAGTGGTGATGCATAAATAATGTAAAGATTATATCCAGACATTCAAAAATGTTAATTATTTCGCTCATATTCTCAACATATGAAAATCAAAAGTTGATGAAATTTTAAATGATCTCTTTTTTGAAGATATCTCCCGGTAGAAATATCAACAGAACCGGGTTGATGACAAAAAAGATCTTCAGAAAATATCCGCATTTTTACTTTCTGTGCCTGTGGAAACTGAAATAAAAAACAAAAGTCTTGAAGCACCGAAAAAGAGATAAATGCAACGAACATCAGTTCCAGAATTTTCCGGTTATTTTTCATCCTTCCGGAAATAACCGATGAAGACCGATGATTGTGACGTGGTTGTGACGTCATGATATGATAATCTCTGAACGAAGTTTCATGCCTGTTAGTATCACATTTTATGTGATAGACTTTTTTCACCCAGAATGTATATTATTTTTTGTCTAAATAAACAAGTAATAAAACATGAAGATTGTTTTCACTATATGAAGATATTCATATATGGGTTGAAACCCATTTGTCTTTGCTTCAAGGATACACTTCCTGTTTCCCCACTGGACGTCTACTTCCGGACGATTTTTTTTAAAGGCAACGGGTAGAAAGGGGAGGCAGCTCTGTTTACGCACGCATGTGTTACCATTAAAGAGCTTCCCTATTATTAAAACTAAATTTAACCTTAATCTAATACAATCACTTTCAACTATTTTTATTTTTAAAACATAGCTGTGTCATCCATTGTTCTTTCTGTACTTTAACTGCGTTAGTATGGGAACATTACCTGTAACTGTCCCATATGTTACCTTTGGCTGTCTTATATGTGACTCTTATTGGACAGTCACTTATAAGACAGTTACAGGTATCTTATGGGAGAGTTATAGGTAATGCTGTCCCTATAATGCCCTACTCAGAACATAAAAGAACAATACAGGCAGCCATGTTTTGAAATAGCTTATTTCAATTAACAATAAAAAATACAACAGAATTAATTAGTTGAACCAAATTTATTCCAAGAAAATGTGTCAACAGACACAAAATGACTCCGCATATTCCGTATACTAGCGGAAAAAAGAAACTGTGCATGCCTAAAATGTGTTATAAAAATAAATGTATATGACGTAGAACAACAAGGTTTTCAGGGACAATTTATTTGTTATTTATTAACAGTTGCATTCCATTTTCCTCGTAATATAAGTTCCACTCAGGAGTGACGTAAACACCGCAGGGGTCAATACTGAGTTCACAAAGTTAATACCTCGTATGTCCACCGTTTGCCTGAATGCAAGCCTGGCAACGCCGACGCATGGAGCCTATCAGACGGTTCAATAATGCTGGTGGGATGGCATTCCAGATATGTACCAACGCTGCAGCCAAATCAGCCAACGTCACCGGTTGATTAGGTAATGCCCGTAATCTGCGCTCCATTTCATCCCAGACGTGTTCAATGGGCGACAGATCGAGGGATACAGCAGGCCAGGGAAACACGTCAACGTTCTGCTTGACCAGAAAGTCCATAGCGACACGAGCTGTGTGTGGCCTGGCGTTATCCTGCTGTAGCGTAATGTGACGTTGCTGCCCTTGCACGAATTGAACGATGTGGGTCCGGAGGATCTCGTCACGGTAACGTAGCGCGTTCAAATTCCCGTTTACAACCACCAGAGGCGTTCTCCCGTTGGCTGTGATGCCGCCCCAAATCATAACGCTTCCTCCTCCGAAAGAACGTCGTTGTACCACACACGCGTCACGGAAACGTTCTCCAACGCGACGATACACTCTGGAACGGCCGTCACTACTATCCAGGTGGACTCGCGACTCGTCCGTAAACAAAATGCCTGCCTAATCCCGTCGAGTAAATCACAGGTGCCTTTCTGACTAGTCCAGACGTGCTACACGATGACGTGACAGAAGAACTGGGCGGATTGCAGGACGTCGCGGATGGATAGCGCGTTCACGCAATCGGTTCCGTACAGTTCTCGAGCTTATTGGTAGCAACCCATTGATTGTCCGTGCAGTCAAACTTGCCGTTTGGAAGCGATTTCTCAAATGGACAAACCGAATATGGTTGTCCTGTTGACGTGACGTCACACGTGGACGTCCCGCACGAGGTCGATCGCCGACATCGGCCAAACTGTTGATGTCTTCTCCACAAATTCCGGATTGTGTTTCGATGAACATGAAAACGTGTAGAGACAACGGCTTGGCCCATACCAGCTTGAAGCATACCAATAATCCGGAGGCGGTCATTTTCATTGAACCTCGGCATAGCATTAATCACAAATTAAAACGTTATAATGCTGTTTTTACTGATTACTGGTCTCAATAGAGTGACCCAACAGTTGAAAAATAAACTTTCATTGTCGAAATGGATGGCTGGACGAGAAAAACGTGCAAACTGGTCAACGCCTATAGAGAGCAAACTGCACGGGAAAAACTGTCAACATACTCGGTCATGTGTGTAAATTTTCTTGTATATACAGTTGGTAATACATGTTTTATAACAATTCTCAGCATGCACAGTTTCTTTTTTCCGCTAGTATATATTCCAGAATTTCGTTTTTTAGAATTTTAGAGTTAAACACATATCTGCAGCATTTATGTTGAGTTTTCTGCTGCCCGAAGGAATGGAATTTTCCTGTTTTTCACAAAGCACTTTGATTTGTTTTGGAGATGACACTTAACTAGAACCTTGTACCACTGAACTGACATGACAGGTTTATATTAAAAATCAAGGTGTTCTATATTAAAATAAAGGGGTGCTATGTTTTAAGTTAGAGATAAGCCTCATACTGTACAATATGTGTGAGAGAGAACAGATCTCGGCCCTATTGTACAGATTGAGGCTTATCTCCATAACGTACAAATATTTTGTCAGAGTCATTGATCGTACTTTATTGTTATTTTCTTTTGTATTCACTGAAGCATATGTTCTTTTGTATGTTATTCATGTAGATGTTTTTAGCATGTGTGTATTTAAGTTTCAATAAGATTTGCTTTACTGATTCATATCATGATGCATGATTTACATATGGTCTGTCGTGTATAATGAAAAAACATAAAGTTCCCGTGTTTCGTATATTAAACATTTTTTAGAATAAAACAAACCTTTATAAACAAAATGACACAACACACTCTCGAATCAGTCTCAACCTGACCGAATTTAAATGTAGACATGCAAACCCGTGCACCTACAGAAATGCATATTTTCTACCTCCCCTCACAGAGTTAAATAACACAAGGAATCCTTCTTCGGCAGCAGCAGTCCATTTCACCAACAAAAGAAAATATTATGGAACATATCTGCTAGATAACCCTACATTTTAAGTCTTGTTATTTCTGACACGTATAACTATGGAACTGGGCATGGCAACAATCGGGTAGGTATCAGATGTTGAACTGGGTTTTATGGTCAGTCTTTTCTCCCTTTTGATAAGATAACACGAAGAATGATGACCTGCTAATGGGAGAAATTAGGGGTTCCAAGAGAAAGTGACTTTATGGATTTTATATTTAGAAGTATAAGGATTTTGTTCTATCATTATTTTAAAAAACTGCATTTTTCTGCGAGGCTAACCTATGGTATGGTTAAAATGCCCATTGCATGATCTCTAAAAGTTTTTAAATACATACCTGGGTTGTACGAATGAAGGGACTAGCGCAAGTCTAGTGACGAGCTCGAGGGTGTGCAAACAGAAGCGGAAGCCTCGTATGAGGGGGAGTACACGTAGCCGTTAACGGTCGTATTGTATGTCATTATTTCTCCTCTGCGTTAACAAGGTAGGTTAATATTTTCTAGCTAACTTCGTCTTTTCTATAACTTGAGTATACAAGTTTTATAACTAACCTCTTGTTAGGACATTGCTTGAACTAACTTACATTGTACTCATACACACCCACCCACACACACACAAACACATGAAGGTTTCAAGCAATATATACAGCACATAATTCGCTGACATACTGCTGTATACACCTGTACCTTACATGTATTATTTCTACACATATATATTGTATACACATGTATAGAGTGCTGTGTTGTTTATCTCCCCGTTAAATACAAGATAAGGCCATTATTGTTATATTATATAATGATATAAAAGGTCGTTTTCATGACCCGTCTATCGTAACTTTAATGTTACGTCAGATCCCCTGGTAATCTTTATCTTAATGTTCTAGGTATCACCGAGGACGTCGACACAGAGAGATGGCACACGAGCAAAATTATCTCCCAGGTAAATATTGTCCTGTATGAATCTGCATCGGTGGTTCTGTTTTATTAATAATTTTAGGAGCACTGCATACTTATATCATAAATTTAAAACAAACTGCCTACATTATCGTACATATATATGTTTACGTGTACATTTTTTATACCTGTGGCATGCAGATATTTGTGTTTTTTTGCGAGTGTTTATGTTATCTGTTTAAATAAATATAAGTAGTCTTAAATATTCGTAATTTACCGGTAAGCAAAAGTTGTATTTCGGTACAGTAATGAGAATTAAAACAATGCACTCATATAAAATTATTGTATATAAAAGATAAATTTATATTATTGCAATAATTATTGGTATACAAGTCTTAATGTTCAAAATAAAGTCAATATTATATCTAGTGTGAAAATTTGATAATATTTTTAATTTTGCACAGCACAATGTAAGTTGACTGATTAGAAAGCAATGTTTACAGTGAAAATAACAAAAAAAGATATATGCCTGATTCGATTCAGATCCGGCAATTTAGAAAGGGGGCGGGGTCTACATTGTTTTCATGCTTTCAACCGTTACTATATACTGCCCCTGGGTTACGTTAGTTCGTTTTCGTTTCTCCCTTAAATTGGAATATTTCGTCTCTCGTGATGAATACCAGATGCACAGTGACAACTCTTTCATATATTTCATGATTAAAATATAAGCAACATTTCTGACAAAGCAAAATATATTAAAAGGAAATTTGTTAATTGTCATTTCCCATCTGTTTCAAAAGCCAAATTTGACGAGTCTGAAGTGACTACATTCACCACACACACGGGAGAGGAGAGACAGGTCCTCCGACATGAGGGCCTTAGCTTAGATGTTAACTTTATCAGCTCGGGGTTCATTCCTGATGTCCGGGAAAACCTGAAAAAGATGAGGAAAATGGAATGTCGAGACGATGACGTATTCATTTGTGCATCTATGAAATCAGGTACGCTTATGTATACCTAATTTACGTTCATTATTAGAAATAGTACTGATAAACTGTAAATAAAGACTAATTATATAATACAAGGTATTTAACTCATTCACCCCTGAAGACACATTTGAACTCATCCAATTCAAAGGTTGAAATAGTTCATTATGAAATTTCAGGGGTGAATGAGTTAAAAATATGTAATGTATGCAATATAATGTATGTAAAAAATATAATTTTATTACAATGTAACGATATACATTGTAATATGAAAAAGTAATATTTGTTTTAATTTTTCCCTCCCATTTATATGTATAAAAATTCAATACTGTTACCTCGGTAAGTATATTTCATGGACAACAAATTTTGGAATACAGTAAGCCGGGATTCAATAAAAGTTATCTGTACTATCCTATGCGGTTATACGGTGCTTTAGAGCACAGTTTGATCAACAAACGCTTTAATACATGTTTGCTCATTCAAGTGTGAACTCCTCAGATGATATTTACATCTCGTATGCAAAAGCGAGTTCATACCTCTAAAAGTTGATATTTCACAACTTTGTATTCTGGCTCCCTTTTAAACATGTTCATGGTTTTTTAATGGTGCAGGCGGTATCTCTTTGTCAATATTTACAATAAAGTACAAAACAACACTAAAATGTCAGCCTGAACACTGCTTTTATTGCAAAACTACATATATATTGTATCTAATTTTGGTAGCATTTATAGATAATGTGTAGGTCTAGGCCAGGGAAACTGGGGGCTCCCCAAAGGGATAAATAACTGTCATACTATTCGGTTGTTGATTTTGGTAGCCGCTTCGTGGTCTTCCGACCGAGTAAATGGTTAACCGGCTAACCGTTGACAACCCTATTAATTACAAATACTAATAATTCGGGGATCTTATATACCGCTTTATCACAGCCCAGCTCATAGGTCTTCTCAAAGCGGTTCACAAATTATTATCAATGGTTATAGGGCCTTTGCAACCAGTCAATATCTTTCTCAACTCCCTGGGGAGCATACATTGGTTAAGAAGTCAATTGAACACCATGCTTCAAAGTATGACGTGTTCGAAACAAAGTTTACATTACTATATTGATGCTTTGTACAGGGACACACTGGGTATGGGAAATGACAACCATGCTACTGAAAGGAAAGGCAGAATACGAAAACGTATCCAAGGAGACGAGAATGATGGAGTTCCATTGGCCAGAAGAGTTTGACAGTCTTCCATCACCAAGAGCCCTTAACACCCATTTTTACCTGAGACTTCTCCCCGAACAATTAGAAAATGGCTCCAAGGGACGAATTATCTTCATCCAGAGAAATCCTAAAGATGTTGTCGTTTCGAATTTTCACCACAGGAGGAACATGACCATAGGTCAATTCAAACATTCCTTCAGCGACTTTCTACAGATTTACCTTGATCATGGTACAACATATATATTATTTTAGATAAAAAATGTAAATATAATTATCCACAGGGTATGATGGTTATTATTTCGAAATATTACAAGGCATTTCATGTTTATCCATATATTTGTCTATTCCAAAGTGAGTTGTTTTTCAAACAAATCTATCACGTATTTAAAAATAAACATGGATGATACACATATTTGGAAGCACTCGATAGATAATAATTAATTAATACATGTTATCATCTGTTGTGGATATAGATGCAAACATAAATAGAACTTTAAGGCGTGCAATCGCTTTACATTATTGAGTTCTAAAAACTACTTCTACAATAAATGCAATATTTAAATGTGTCTCCTTCTTCCATCTTTGTATTTTGAAGAGACATATTCAGGGGATTGTGTATTAAATATTATATTTTGTTGTATCAATGTACCCCAACCTCTTATGAAGAATGTTTCTATACCAAACATACATGCGTTAAGACTGTAGTATGTATTTAGAGATATTTATTTAAAAAAAAAATGTTATGGAAGTCAAATTGTTTAGCTTTGCATTCCAGGTTTCACTGTCGACTGGTTCAAGTACACAAACGACTGGAATGAAATTATTGCGGACAACAACAAATTACAGATTCACATGATGTACTATGAAGATATTATAAAGGTAGTATCGATATGAAGGGTAACATTCCATAGAGACTAAAACCTTGTAACAAAATGTGTAATTTATTTCTGAAAAAAAAACACAAGTTCGTATTTCGCTTTCTTTGCAATTATAAGTCAAACTGTTTACATTCAAAGAGGTTCGATAAAAGATTTCCAAGACTTTAACAATTTGATATATGAGACAGTCATCTTTGCCTTTTCCCAGGATCCTATAGGAGAGACCCGGCGTCTGGCAGACTTCCTTAAGGTAGATTATGACGAACAACTTATCAAGGACGTCAGCCACAACTGTAATTTCAAAAATCTTAAGAAAGCTAATAAGGAGGTCAAAGCCGAAGCGAGCGGAAATCCTAATCCGGAAATGAACGATTTTCAAAACATGTACAGGAAAGGTAAGTTAATATTTATACCTATAATTTACTAAACGCTAACAAAAAATGTGTACTTTCTAATTAATGCGAGCACATTGAAAATGCTGGTTTTAATTTTAGTCCCAGATGTTGTTTCCTTCGTACTTAATGGTGCCTTTGCTAACTAAGAATGATCATAATTATCTAAAGTTTTTTTTTTGAAATATTGTAATAGTGCCAATGTTTTGCAGGTGAAGTCGGAGACTGGAAAAACTGGTTCACGGTAGCCGATAGTGAGAAGTTTGATGCTGTCTTCAATGAAAGGATGAAAGGGCTTAACTTTAAATATACATACAGCTTAAAACAAAAATAATAACTCATATTAGTACACTCTTATAAATACCTAGCCCTCAACATATTCAGGAAAATGCCTTTTAATATTCATAATCAATTTATTTTTAACATGTGCGTATGGAGCAATACATTAACTGTTCAGTCAAATTGTCCGCGTGCATGCGTACATGACGAAGGGAATGAGTGCGCGTGAGTTTGTACGTATGATTTATTTCTGTTTAAGGATATAAATGCGTACTTCATTTACATTGGATGTGGTATGATTGTATTTCACTATGAAACTTGAATGATTTAATTATACAAAGAAGGAGAATAAATTTTGAGGTTAAAATTGTGTAGATAACGGTAACAGAACATCGTGTAGTGTTGGATAATTAGACAATGGATGATTGGCTTAATCAGTGATAAGCGCAAATTTCAATCAGAGTAATTGGAATTGAATTTACGTGTAAAATTACGATTTTTTACCTTGTATATTTACAAAATTATTAAAGGTTGAAAAATGTCGTTAAACAGTTAGTAAGCTAATCACTTTTGAACAACTGGGCCCTGGACTTGGGAGGCTTTCAAAATCATCTGCTTAATAGATTTGTATGATTCCATGGTGTAACTCAGCAACTCAGACTCGTCGCACGTAGCTGCAAGAATTAAAAGTAATTATTAACAATATCAATACGTATTCTACATATATTGATGTGATGTTATGAAACATTAACTTCTGTTTAACGCCATTCACTGAAAAAGTAAATGAAATTAAGCAGAGCTCTTGTCAATTAAAGTGATTAAGCACGGCTCCAGGAAAGGAACACTTATGGTTGAATATTTAAGGCGTGACAATAAAAATAAAATTTATTAATAATATATTTGTATTTTATTCAAGGTACAGTCGACTGCTTCACAAAACATAAGTTATGTTTGAGTGTTAAACCCTTTATATAAGTGACATGCTGTACGCATAATATCAAACTTAAATTGTGAGGTAGATTGAATTATATCATCGCATACCGTAGCTAAATGGATATTTAAAACACTGTGTCATACTTACTCTGATTTTATCTGTAGACATAAAGAGGTTTAAATTTTAAAACGTTACAATCAAATTGTATCAGCTTGGTACTTTATCAATCTAAAACTGACTCTGCAAGATTGTAGCTAAATATTCACACTGATATACATAATATCAACAGATAAGGTGAAAAAAGGAGATAAAATGTTATCTTATAGATAAAATATACCATGTGTGCTCACACATAAGTACTATTACCTGTTAGTGAACGTCAAATAGTCATAAACTTATTCATTCGGTCTGGAGAAATCAATAGTGTGATTTATCAAGTGCAGTATTTTGATAACATTGTATTTAAATTGAAAGAAATGCTCATTTAAAAAATTACTGTAAAGCTGCCAAAAACTAACTACACATTGCAAACTTGTTTATTACGGCATGACTATAGCTGATCATTTATTACAGAAAAGAAGAAAAATACTTGCAAGTCGTTTATGAAAACTAATAAATATGAAGAAATAAAACATACATGTATCAACACCAGTGTTTTGATTCAAAATAAAATCGGCGGGATTAGACCGGGATTCGAACCATGGACCTCTAATGGTTATACTATCGCTCCAACAAAATGGAAATGCTATCGTCCAACTGTGCTACAGTTATATCAGGAACGAATTTAGGGAGAGGTTACTGTTTAAACGAAATACCACAGTGCAGTAGGACAGAGATTCCTTAACTATTTTAATGGGGTTTTAACATCCTCGACATGGCTCGGACTACATGGAGATTGGGTCCCAGAGAGACACCAATTACATCAGGTCTATTGGACTATCCAATGGCCCCCTATCAGAACACATGGAAGGAATCCGCACCCGATTGTGCATTGGGGCCAACATTATTCGCCTCTACGAGATGCGTAGTGATACAGCAGGCGTATTCTTTCACCATAACTTCACAAACAGACAGCAATCGGCTGATATGAAAAAATTATATAGTCTATGCACTTCCTTTAATTTACGGGAATGTGTGAGATACAATCTAGAAAATGACTCTGGTCCTTTCGTTTCATTTTTAGATAGCAAGAAAGCTTTTGATACTGTTTGGCACGAAGGGTTACTTCTCAAACTGTACAAAATAGGATTTAAGGGCAAAATTTTGACTATATTAAAAAATATGTATACCGGTTTTGTAAGTCATGTCGCCTTTAAGGGTCACCAGTCATCACCTGTCCTCATGAAGAGAGGGATCTTACAGGGGGGGTTATTATCTGCAAAAATTTACCTGGTTTTTATTAACGATTTACTAAATGATGTCGAATCGTCAAGAAAAGGAGCTTTTGTTATTGATACCAGGGTTAATATCCCCACACAAGCAGATGACATATGTTTGATCAGTAACATAGGTATTGGTTTACAAGATATGGTTACAATTTGCGAAACTATAGTCGTAAATGGAGATTTTCATTATCTGTTGATAAAAGTAGAATTGTTGTTTTTAAAAAAGGCAGATAAGTCTTGGTAAAAGATGTGGATTTATATGGTAAAGCACTACCAGTTCTTGAAAACATTTCGCACGTCGGTGTTGTTTTGAATTTTAAATTATGTACATCGGACAGAACTGAGTCTGCATGCAAGAAACTAAAAAGTGGAACCATGGCTCTTATTCGATCTGGTGCTCATCCTAGGACTCTTAATCCTTTAACAGTTGCAAAGCTGATTAAGGCTAAAGTTTTCCCGTCTGCCATGTACGGGTGTGAACTATGGCAACTGTCTAGAACTGAATTAATCAAATTAGAGCGCGCTCAAAATTTTATCGTAAAATCCATTCAAGGGTTAAACATTAGAACTAGAACTGATATGGCCAACTCCTTAATTGGATGGACCTCCATAGAAGGTTACATTGATATAAGAAAACTTTTATTTCTCGGTCGTCTTTGTAGACTGGACAGTAAATACTTAACTCATACTATATTTCTCAAACGCCTATTCATGCATATTTTGAAGGAGTCCTGTCAAACTGGTTTTATTCCTGATATTGTGAGAATACTTCGCAAGTATGATTTGTTTAATTATCTGTTGCAGTATATATCAGATACAGTTTTTCCAAGTAGTTCATCATGGAAGTCAATTTCCTATAAAGCAGTTTATAATTGGGAAGAATTAATGATGTACGATAGAATGAACAACGATTCAGATTTCACAAGATTTTTGCTCATTCATGATGTAATTTCTCCACATATTTTATGGACAGTAGCATTAAAATTCCCTGAACATCTAAGCAAGATAAGCAATATAGTTCGATTATGTGCTAATTCAAGATCAACAAATATTATTGAATTATGCCATTTTTGTGGTATTTTACATAATGACCGTATAACACATATAGTACTTCATTGTACAAAAACTGAGGTCTTAGAGACGATCTATGGTGTCTTATTAGTACGGCTTTTGATATGGAATTTAGCGTGTTCTTATACTCTTTGTCTGATTATGATTTAATTCATGTATTACTTGGGGGTAGCCTTCCCCACATATTAAGCTCATCTGATTATGTAACCTTTGTACTGCATAGTGCTATTTTTATTGACAAAATGTTGCTGTTGTATCAGCGTTAATAATGAAATAACACGTACAAATGTACGTACAATAGCAATGTCTACCTAATTACTATTTTTTCTCTTATTTTGTGTGTGTTTATATATGGGTAAGCCTGAGAGGACCTTGCTGGTAGGGCCTTCCCCAACCCTTGGAAACCTCAGGATTCCCAGGCATTCTAATTATTTTGTATGATTTGCTGTTAACGAGACCATTCTTTCTGTATTTACTAAACTAATTCAAGATTCATTAACTTCTCTCTTCATCTCTTCTTGAATTCATGAAATTTGAAATGCCTGGATAACACAGCGAAAGCATTCTAAAAAAGAAAATTCTACAGTTAAAAACTATTTCACGCTAACAGCTAACTGACTCCGTTTTAAGTGCGATTTTACCTGACAGTGTATTGAGTGGTATATTCTATAGGAGGGGATTCTAAATTTCATTATCCTTGTAGCAGATCCTTATTAGGCGGTGAGTTACGATCAATACATATTACCTCCACAACGTTAACTGAAAATATAAGTTTTAGGCTAACTGATACGCTCACAACACTTTATTGTAAAGATTGACAAAAAGATGTTGCAAGCACCGAAAAATTCTGAACATACTTTAAAAGGAAGCCAGGATACAAGTTGCTAGACATCAGCTTTTAGAGGTAGAACTCGCTTTTATGTGCGATATGTTAATATAATCTGAAGAGTACATACTTTAATGAGCAAGCATGTTTTAGAACGTTTGACGATCAAATTTTGTTCTAAAGAACATCTGATATCTAAGGCTCCTTACATTCTGCTACCACTAGTCCTCCACCCCTGGGTTGCGGGTTCAAGACCTACGTGAGGCAGCCACCAGGTACTGGCCGTCGGTCAGTAGTTTTTCTCCGGGAACACCGGCTTTCCTTCACCGCCAAAACACGGCATGTCCTTAAATGACCATAGTTGTTAATAGGACGCAAAACACAAACAAACCAAACTAAAGAACAATGTTACCGCATATGATTTCGAGTTCAGATAACTGTAATTGAATCCTGCCTTATTGTATTCCGACATCATTTGTTAATTAAATGTGCTTACTGAGGTAACACGTACCTAGTTCCTGCGTTCAGCTTGAAATGCGGGAGTAAACCGTCATGCTAATTTATATAAAATGTATGCATTTGCTAAACAGATAACGTATTGTCGTTGCTTATTGGTTGATTATCAAATTAACTGACTAACCGGTTACTCAATCGGAAGATTGTTTGAGTAACCTGTAACCAAAATTTGACCGGTTTGACAACCCTAATAGCAATCATATTTGTTTGTTTTTTACTTTAAATTCTGTGACTTCACATGGTTAGTTTCTATATTTTGAAAGGGTAACGGAACTTGGTGAAGATTTTACAAGTTACTTGTTATAGTCATGAATATAATTCAAAGTAAAGAGACACGGTCATTTTGACCTTTCTTAAAATGTTGGTATATACATTCATGAGATATGGCCTGGAATGTTTTTTGAAGCACCAAGCCACAGTGATCTCCGTTCTGTAAAATCCGATAAGACTATTTGAGTTATTCCCCTTTGGTCATGTGAGGTACGTCAGAGTTTTAGTTTAATCTACATCCGTATTTGTCATCATCAAAGGTGACGTTCACGCCCCCGTTGTGTACGTTTTCAGTAAACCATGAGGTTAAATGTTTAATCTAACGGTTATATCATGCAATAACTGATTATTAAGGAAATATGTCAATTTTAGGCAATGTTACGAACAAGTCTCGACTGCTGAAGACAAAATTACAACACAGGATTTTCAAAGATGTAAGTTGATAAAGGCAAGTTGTCAGGTTGCTTTCATGATATCATTGGGAAATACAAGTTTCATAGGTTCTCATTTTGTTTTGAAGACATGACATCAATTGGATTTGGCTTAGATTATTAAAAAAAAATCACCGTATCTGAAATCTGACAGATTTCAGATGAAAACCCCCCACGATATTTATATTGCATCATTATCTTTCGAGCGTAGATTTATATTCATTTGCATTTTGTTGATAAATTAATGCAGAGCCATCGGCTGATATTTTAAGCATCCAGACAAGAGGTCATTATCCCTCACCCCTTTTTCAAAATATTTGTAACTGTGCATGTGTGTAGCTTTCTTTCATAAATCAGCTCCACATAACCTAGTTGATAATGAAGACTAAAATTAAGGCGAAACACATAAAAAATGATAATTACTGCATTGGGTCGCACCTTTCCTTCATGGTGACAAACAAATTGACATTTACATGGGAAATTTCATTGATTTAACATTTTTCGTTGCTTCAACGTAATATATTATTCTGATGTCTATTTAAACAAATGAAACACAATGTTAATATAATAATCATTTTGTAAATTATTTTTGTGTGTACCTTTATATTTTCTTTTCAACACCCGTATTGAAATTAATCAAATATTTATTTTCATTTCGTTTTCAGTGACCTTACTAAAATGGCGTTTAAGACCAACTATCCTCCAAGTAAGTCAACAGAAACAACAAACTGAACTTGGATCTTGCTAAGATATGCCTGAGTAAAATGTTGAAAGAATTTATTTTCACGATCCAACATATGATAAGTTATTAACATTATTCGTTTTTGTTTTGTGAGTTTTTCTTAAAATAATTAATACATTTAATAAATATCCTATATTTATATCGACGATTCAAATGTAAATATATTCAAAAGGTAAAGGAATAATGTCATGATCTACATTATATCCTATTTAAACAGAATTAAAAATACCGCTTGTGACCTTCACTGCTAGTCATTAATCTTCTTGTTTCAGGAATGACGTTCGAATGGTTTACCTATACGAAGGAGTGGAGTCAAATTATAGACAGTAACCAGGATCTACACATTCACATGCTGTATTATGAGGATCTAAAATCGGTTGGTAATGGTTATTTTTTTATTTATTTTTAATACGTTTTATTGTGTTTGATAATAGTTTTAAGATAACAGTATGTTCAGCCATTGCAATCAAGCATTAGAAAATATAGTTTATACGGAAGATGATGCATATTTAAATTAATATATATTTATATTTGTATGATAAACTGGGCTTGTCGTTCTTGCCTTAACAGTCGCTTTCTGGAAGTTGTATGCAATAAACATATCTCGCAGTGTGTTATGATATACAACAGGATCAAGCCTTAAATCAAATGCTCTGATTTTTATTTTGATCTTATAAACTTTATTAATCAAATGATATTTTGCTAAATTGTAACTCGCTCTAAGTATCAGGCATTCCTTTTTTTCTATAGAGAGTTTTATTCTAGGCTAAGGAAATACTTTTGTCGGCATCAAGTCCTGACTTGTTGATATGAGATTCCAGTATACCACGATACATGTTCACCAGTTAATCACTTACATACTACCCTAGGACATCTTAACCAGTGCCACAAGTGGTATTTTTGTGTTGGTTCCTGGTGTCATTTGTTGTATTTGTTGTATTACTTCGAATCCTGTTGCTTTATTTTCGTACAAACTTTGAGTTCTAGATATAGCCTCATGTATTGACGCCGTGATATTGATTTTTAAATTTTTAAATTTTTAAATCAGAACCCTCTTGGAGAGGTCAGTCGTCTTGCAGAGTTTTTGAAAGTGGAATATGATGACCAACTGATCAGAGACATAACAGACAACTGCAATTTTGAAAGTTTAAAACAAGCAAACAAAGTCGTCAAGGCTACAGGCAATCCCAATCCGGAAATGGAAGACTTTCAAAACATGTACAGAAAAGGTACCATACTTTGTTTACAATGTCCTTTGACCTTGAATATGTGTTTTAAAACTTGAACCGTGGAACTCTAGATAATTTCGCTAATCGAAAAACATGTAATTTATAAAGTAATTGTACTGTTAATGACGACACGTGAAACAACTCAATAAAGTCATAGAAAATAAAACACCTAATGTGAAATTAATATTTTGTTCCAAACAGGTGAAGTTGGAGACTAGAAGAACTGGTTCACAGTGGCAGATAATGAAATATTTAATGCAGCATTTGCGGAAAGAACTGAAACACTGACGTTTAACTACACATTTAGCCCGTGAGCGTAATATTATTTCAGGTTATTTTATAATTATCAACAATAAAGCATCGTTGTTTTTTTTTGAAAAGTGTAAAATTGGAATATACAAAATGTGTTGATTCCATGCATATATTTATTTCATCTTTCTGTTTTGAATGATATTATCTGACATAACCAGTTGGCAATGTGACAGAGCCTGATGTATCATTATCCGTTTGCCATACTTGCGAAATTGAACAATTAAATATGTTGGACTCGGATCCGACAAGATGTTTTTAAAGATTATCTTCCCATACAAAATCATGTAATCACCATACAGTGAAACCTGTATTAAAAGACCATCCACGTAGAAACCAAATAATGGTCACTTTTCAGTAGTAGTCTCTTAATACAGGTAGATTAACAAAGAAATCACGACAATTGGGAATATTAAAAGGGGTCTCTTTACACAGGTGGTCTGTAATTAGAGGTGGTCGCATGAGTAGGTTTGACTGTATTAAAAACGGGACACCAATAAATTCAGAACACAACATTTTAATATGTTGGTTTAAAACTTAAACAGCTGAGATTTGTCCATTCAACATCTACCTGTAGCGAGAGTGAAGCCTCTAATAAGGTTGACTTCATCTGTTCCGAAATGGAAATACGGATCGATACTGGGTACAGTACAACAAACGACACGTTTCCCTTATCTGTGGACCCCAGGGTGTCTGCATACTGGTCGTGTTCCTTGAAGTCCAGCCCCAATTCCTTTGCGTTGGGCTCAAATGAGGAGGCTAGAGTTTAGTTTTTTATGACACTTAGACATAAAATTTCTGATAAGTCGTAATCAACCCGTGGAGAAGGGATTACAAGAAACCAACTAAGTATTCCATGTTGACGCATCAGTGATCAGAAATTATTACATCCTTGGTATAAGGTAATTCTACAATGCTAATTTTATCTTTGCTGGTCAAAGTTCAGTACCAATTAGAAATAAACGTGTGTCTGAAATAATGGCTGTATTTCATGTCGACAATATACCTATTGGACATTATCGTTCACTGTTACCTTGCATCCAGTTGCTGTTGCTGCACTTTCAAAACAACCAATCATCTTTTCTCGTAACACATTTAGCTCTGCCCTGCTCGGTGCCCGGATGAAGAATTCCAGTGCAGCATCTTCCGGTATAATAGATGTTTTCAAGCCACCATTTTTTATTATTCCTTTTTGTATAAAAAATGGGAAAGATATATTGTTGTACGCTGATGTAAGGTGATTATTTGAAATAACTAGAAACACATTAAAATTGCATTTTAAATCAAGTGATATGTAACCAGGGGATTTTTATACAAATTTTTGTAAACAAAAATATAAACAGAAGAGGAAGTCGAACTTATGTCCACTAACAAGATAAATGAGATTTCCATTTATTTATTTATTTGTGATGTACTACATGGGTTCTCCATGCCGGCTTCATCTGTTGCCGCATGTACGATACGGTCTGGTACGCATCCAGCGCGTTGATTCCCTCCCAGGGAAATGCAGTGGCGTGACTGGCCTTATCCTTATACGTCACGGTTAAACTGGAAACAGGCGGTAGTGCTCGTCCTGGTGATGACGCGCAAGTGTTCAATAAATTAGTTAACAAATAATTATCCCTTTACTTTTTCATCATTGATAGGACGAACTTCAGTAGTGTGACAAGTAGACGGAGCGGAGGGAAACGTAAGGATATAGATAAGTAAGTTTAACATTTAACATCAGCTATAAAATAAAAAATGTGGTTTTCGAGAAAACGTTATTATATGTATATATCTAAGCTTCTTAATTTAAAGAAGTTGTATTCCCATACCCCTGACAGGCAAGCATTGTTGGCCTCAAATCTTCTGGTCGACGTCAACATTGTCAAATACGTGTTTGTCGATGAGAATAATTTTCCCTCCCACTTTTTTCCGCTGGGGTTCCTAGCACTTTTAGCTATAGCAGGAATACAAATCTATATGGAAAAGGGAAGGAAGTGTCCAAACAAAAAGTTTTATTACATTAATAAAACAATAATTATATGAATGAAAGGTTAGAAGAGACCGGTGTGACAGAAAGCCTAAAATCCAAACTTTTCTAGATCCCTTTTTAAAATACTGTTTGGTGTATATAAAAGCCTTTATTATTAATTAATTTAATTGCCAAGGGAATATCGGACGTTGAAGACCTCTGCACATCAAGATATATCAGCGGTTAGATATTGACAATGACATAGGCGAAACGATGACCTTATACGTAAATACAAGACAGTTGACACCAGCGAAGTAAACGATTGTAATGAAGCTGTTTACATGAGTCCCATATCTGATTGTGACTGGAGTTAAGAAAATGCTATATCATAGCTGATAGCTAAAATAAAATTCACTGATATAAAACTCAACTGACAGACATCAGAACTCCGCTTTTTAGAAATAAGATGATAGATACTTCCTGTTGCCACACTCCTCCTGTAAATGTAAACCACTAGTAGATACATTGGTTTATAGAGAAGAAATAGTAGATGGTCAATTTAATTATTCAACAAACATAAGAAGATGAACAAACTGGTACATATTATGACCAATAAACAAAGATGACAAAATGAATAGATAAACAAATCAATTGATCATCAAATCTATTGATCATCAAATTAATAGATAAAAGACATATTCTTAGATAATAATCCAAAAGTTTAGTAAATTAATAAAACGGTGATAAGATGTTAATCATTCACTGATATGATATATATTTATATATAAACTGGATGCTATGGTCACAACGAGCATGTCAATCGATCATGTAGCGTACAATCTTCAATACATTTGAATATCTATAAATAGTATCTGCTTATTCGTATGACAAATATATCCTAAGTTAGTGTTTAACAGATGACAAAAGTACTGAATAAACCAAGTCTGGGTTGTCACCTTGGATAATCATCGTTTGTGACGTGTAGTAAATTCATGCCCTCATTTATCTATTCAATTTTGAGTTGAAATAAAAATGTGATAACAAATGTCTAGATGTATTAGAGGTAGATCAAAGGTGATTTATGCCCCGACTTTGTTGATATGCTGTCAATAAAGGGTAAGTTAAATGTGATGAGTGTTGTGATGTCAAGATCACAGTCATTGTTGCGTCACAACTTTTGGATAGTTTTACTCATCAATACGTTAATTGCTTGGAATATATAAACCATGATCACTCAATATTTAGGTAATGTGTGTAAATTGCTATAACTTTCAAATCGTATTACATAAAATGAGGAATTAGGAAACGTTTGTCGGTTATGAGGGAATACAATTATTTAAGTGATTTGAGTTTTTCTCTGTGAAATATACGGCTATGATTCGAAATTCATCTGTATTAACCTAAGTTTACAACAGTTATGAAATATATATATATAAACAACTGAGGAAACCTACGTGCTCAGGATAGTGACCTAATATACAATTACACGTTTGATCGGAGAATCGAACCCCGGTCGACTTGGTGAACGGCGAGTGCATTATCTTGTACGCCATCCGACCTCTGCGTGTGAAATGACGAGCCGCACTGCGCCATAATACATCCCGATCAGGGGCGTAACCAGGACCATGAGTATGTGGAAGCATACGAAGCGCGAAGCGCGGAGTTGGGGGGGGGGGGGGGGGGGGGCGAGATTTTTTCGGAATCTGGAACCCATTCTGGTGCAGTTTGTGACATAAAATACCTATCATTTTCATATTTGGCTTGTAGTATTTTATTTATAAAATGCGTAATAATTAGTTCCATATGAACAAGGAACCTTTTCTTTAAATAGTCAATAAAAGAAACAATAAATGAGATAATGAATTCACTGAGGGCCCAGGATTATATGAGTTGTTAAAGTTTATCACATAAAGTTCTACAATGTTATCCTTGTTAAAAGTATACTTGAAAAAATTACGTGGAAGCCCGTGCGTCCGTGCGTACGCCTTGTTACGTCCCTGCCGATCTAATTTGTTTTTCGTATTAATCTCAAGACGATTCTTGGAAACAATGCGCGGCCTTGATACCAACAGCAGCATCCGCGCCCAGTTCCGCTATCAGGTTGTGTCCGCATGCATGGCCAATCTCTAGTGGTGCATCATACTCACACAACACGGCCACGTGCGGACCTGCGCTGTCGTCACCGAATGTGGCTCGAAAGGCAGTGTCCAAAGCCATATATACGCAGCGAAGTAAAATATTGAGCATTTATGGAATCCCAAAGGGAAAAACGTTCTTATTGTTTTCAAAACTCACGAGGTTCAAAAACGTTTTTTTATAGATCTTCCCAGATGGATTTTTGTTATCCTTCATTTGGGAAACATAACATTTTAGTATTAAAAGCAAATGTTTGTCATTGTCCAAGCATCTTGTAAATATATAATATTTAAGCTATTCGTTATGGTTTTTTGTTTGTAGTTTCACGCACCAAATCGTATGATAGAATTCACAAGGCTAGTACGCACGAGTGATTTTGACTGTGGCAGACATATTTGGTTTGAATACGTCGATGGCTGTCATTGCCATTGCTTTCCCTTATGTTATGGTGTACTGCTGGGCGGACGGGGCACCTTTCGTGAAAACATTATATTTTTTTCCATTTAAAAAAAATATAAACCAGATTAGATATCAGAAAAAAGAAACTGTGTGTCAATATTTATTATGAAAAAATACAAAGAATGTATTAAAAGTTTACGCTGAGAGAGAAAAAACCAAAAGGATATATATACCTGGATACAGCATTGCAACAGCTCTTTCAGAACACAATAGAAAACCAATGTATATTCGGAAGGACGTTGTCTCAATCTCATTCTATTTCAAAAGAAGATTCTGATCTGTATTTATATGTTCATTTAAAACTCTACATGTAGCGTCAGTGAAGCCACTAGTGTGGTTGACTTCATCTGAAGGATACTGGGTACAAAATACGACACGTTCCCGATGACTGTTGGCCCCATTGAGTGTTTTCTTGAAACAGAAGGCTTTTTTCTGAACTCCTGCCCCAACTCCCTTGCGTTCGTCTCCAATGAAGAAGCAAACACTTTGTTCCTGACGATTTTATAACAGCGTATCTGGAAAGTCGTTTTCAACGCAAGAAACAACAGAAATTCATTCAGTACTGGCGATCTGGAACTATCCAATACCTGGGTATACGTCCAGTGTATCCAATTTTTAAATTAATCCTATAAAGGAATAAGAAATCTGTCTCCAAAATCCTTCATTGAAACACATGATTTTTTTCTGATGAAATAACAAACTTAAGCATGATCAAACAAAACAAGTAACTGGCTTTAAAGACGATAATCTCATATTCATGTTTAATTCATACATAAGATCATCGTATCATCCGCGCATGACATAGCCACATATACCATATTGCTATTTTATCAGCGCTAACACGTTTTAATAGACCTCATATATTACATATCTCGGAATATTCCACAGGTATGACATACACTTGGGAATTTTAATATATGTACAGTAAGGAAACTTAACGTACCGTTTACCAGGTTAGCTTAGCGTGATGAAAGTTTCGCGTATTTGCTCAGAATTTAATACCAGCTTTTCAGTTTTCTCCCATGGAAATGCTTTTATGTAAGTGGAAGGCATTTTCGGTATGCATTCAACTATTGTGCTGTAATTTTCAGGAATCCTTGCGAATGAAGCAGAAATGTTTTGCTCGCGAAAAATACCTGATCAAAAATATATTCACATACTACAATAGTAATGAGTCCGTTTCAATATATTTGATATTTCGTAAAATAGAGGTTGAATACAAATGAATTCGCGTTGCTAGATTAATACAAAATGAAGTACGTAACCATTTACTGTATGGCTTAAAACAGTTCTTATCACTATAGGAAGATTCACAAGGTATGTAAAAAATACAGAAATATCTAATTGAAACTTTAAAATTGAATTTGTATGACATCCTTACCTAAACGTTGCACGATTTTGAAACAAACATAACTTTTGTTTCACGACATTTATACACTTATGGATACAAAATGAATAAATATAAAATTTTGTTCAACACAGGTAAGACATGAGACGGAAAAAAATGTTCAAATTTTGAGATAAGATTTTTTTTCTGATTCTGCATTTGCATAGAATGAATAGTTTAGTTATATGCCCACGACGACCACTCCCGTACAAATAAGATGGATACATGGTGCATCGCTCGATAGTTTTTATAATCATATGAAGAAGAAGAAGAAGAAGAAGAAGAACAAGCAGTCTGTTTAATCAATTAGATATTTTATTTTTTGTTCATAGTGTTTAGATAACATGGAAATTCCTTGTTACAGAAAATATTTTCAAATCACAGTGGAATAAGAGATACATTCTGTTTAATTCTATTAAAGTTTGCGTGATTTGTAAATTATCAGCTATTGCAATTTCCATCATATTGAACTGAAGACAGCATTGGAATGAATACACCACACCTATTGATACAGTCAATCAGATATGTATCTGTTATATTCTTTATTATGGGTTTGAGTCAGATAATCAAACATAACCATTCAGTAACGAAATATTTCCGGTTTTATTACAAGTTTAATATAAATGTAAAATTTAATAATCAAGTTCTTAATGGATGTATGGTTTTTTTAATACATATATCAAAACATAATCTTAAGGAACAAAATTATATAAGATTGTATCAAAACATTTTGACCTCGCGATTATTATATTCAGAAAACATTTGTTGTTAAGCCTTCCTCTGTGGTTCGTTGTCAAATTCGGTTTTGATTTTCTGAAAAAGTTCTTTGTTAGTGAATACGTCGATAGCTGTCATTGCCATTGCTTTCCCTTGTATGATGGTGTACGGCTGGGCGGCAGGGGCACCTTTCGGGAAAAGAATTTTTGAAAAATGTTAACTAGATTGATCAAATAGAGAAACATTAAAATAATAATTATTGTGAAAATTAAAAGAACATATTAAAAGTATGCGTTAAGATCGGTGAGAAATATATAAACACAATATATATCTGGATACAGCGATGCAAAACTTCGTTCAGATCAAACAGAAAAATACAATGCGTATTTGGAGATGAACATTTCTTTTCCTTAAGAAATTTGGATCTGTAAATGTAGAGACCTAAACAATAATAATAATAATAATAATAACCAGGTTCTTATATACCGCTTTCTCACAACCTAGTTCGTAGGTCGTCTCAAAGCGGTTCACCAACTATTATCCGCCATTTAACATTACCTGTAGCGCCAGTGAAGCCTCTAGTATGGTTGACCTCATCTGTTCCTATGTAAAAGAAAGGATGGATACTTGGAACAACATACGACACGTTCCCCATGTCTGTGGAGCCAAGGGGAACATTGCCTGTAGGCATCGTGTGTTCCTTGAAGTCCAGCCCTAATTCCTTTGCGTTCGTCTCAAATGAAGAGGCCAGAGCTTCGTTATTGATGACATTCAGATATGGCATTTCTGAAAAGTCGTACTCTACCTGTGGAGAGGTGGATAAATAGAATTCCATTATTATTCCGGGTGACGAATTTAGCATATGGTGCTATCTGATACATGGATAATTTTCTATACTATCTTTTTTACATAATATTGTCCAGTGAAAAAGTGCCAGTTCCAAAAATGATTGAATAAAAAATCTGTGCGATAAAACCTCTGACAACATTGAAAATACTTTATCCTTCATTGGTTTACATATACATAGAATGCTTATTTTATTTTATATATCCTTATTTTCTATCTAACTGTTATGTATAAGAATCGCTGAAAATCCAAAGGTGTCTGTAAAAAGTTTGAAGTCTGTTATCCGTGACTCATTGGAGTAAATTGAAAAGCAGAAATAAAATTTCAAAATGTTCTGTTCTATTTTTGATCATAAGCAGTTTCTTGTAATTTCCTAGCAAAGTTAACAAGAAGCATGTAACTGTTTTAACCAACAATACTTACATATTCACATTTTATTTCTAAACATCGTCGTGTGATTTAATAAACCCCCAGATATATTCATATTTTATATTTTATCAGCACAAATGTTAAACTTTGGAATGGTTGCAGTGGATATTTTCTATTTTGTCATGTAGCCCACAAATTTATAAACTTAGACCAGATATGACAGAAATTGATAAAATTAATAATGAAGCTTTCACCAGGATATGACTAACACTTGATTATGCAAAGTCGAACGTCATAATAAAGAGATGATTACGTCCGTGTCGGAAATTGGCAGTTCATTCAGCTAGCAAGACATAAGTATTGCTATAAAACAAAACCGTTCCTCTAAATAATGTGAATAGCAAAACATTTAGCAATACCTTGCATCCTGTTGCGGTGGCCGCACTTTCAAAACAACCAATGACTTTTTCCCGTAGCACATTAAGCTCCTCCCTGGTTGGTGCCCGGATGTAAAATTCCATTTCAGCCTCTTCCGGTATGATATTTGGCCTGACACCACCTTTTGTGATTATTCCTTCAGAACATTTAAAAGAAACACTTATTGAAACTCCATTTTAAACCGGAAGCACATCGTCATTTTGCTCGTATATTGCCGAGTGATTGACCCTCTGACTAACATAATGCCAAGATCTATATATTGCCCACAACGGTCAGTGGACAAATAAGCATTGCTCGGCAAATAATTACGAGAAAGGTATGCTGTGCCGTTAATCTTTCAAGTGATGGAATCTAAATGTGTAATACTACCGTGGACTCTCCATGTCGGCTTCATCTGTTGGCGCATGCACGATACGGTCTGGTAACACGTGACTGCTGCATCGAGCGCGTTGATTCCCTCCCAAGGAAATGCAGCGGCGTGACTGGCCTTACCTTTATACGTCACAGTTACCCTTGAAACAGACGGTGTCTATAATGATTATAGGTATATAAAGTTCAGTAAATGAGTTTACGAGGAATTTTCCCTACCCTTTTTTATGTTTTGTGGTGTTGTAATGTCAAATAGAATAGACTTTGCATATATGTTGGAAGGAATTGACCCACCCGTGATAAATAATGTGGGGCAAAACCGAGGGTCACAGAGGTATTTGAACCTAAATTATGTCTAACCTACATAACTTACATAGTTATGATAGATATATTTGTGTACTTCGTTTACCAACTTATTTGGTGTGTAGCTGCATTATTGTAATACACTGTCAACTTCTTTAATACTGAACACATTTTGAAACTATCTGTACCACTAGGAAAAGCGCATCACACTTATAATGGTAATATAAACTTCAACTTATGAACACGACAGCAATAAATGTAGATAAATAACTTTATCTTGAACTGTAAAATACATTCAAACAGTGCAGCTGGCTGTATGAAGTTTCAATTATTAAGCGATAAATAAGATATATTATTAACAAAAGGAAAACTATCTTTACATCACTCTGGGTGTTCTGATTAAAAAAGCAAGTGTTTACAATATATTTGTTAATATGAAAAACAGAGAATACGTAGATACTAAACATAACGTTCAGCTAATTTGTCCATTTTGCTGTAGATACATTTAATTCGGTATCATTTTATTCTTTGAAATGCTGTTATTGATTTATCACAGATCTAGAGAAAACGCCACTGTGAAATGATTGTATTCGACGTAAATGAAATGTAAGTCGGGTTTAATAAATCACGTGTTAAGAACCGTGTATGACCATCGTTTATGCCGAATATAACGTAACAGTGTCGTCGCATTAAACTGTCCTAATGCGTCGCCCGAGAGTATCCCGAGAGGTCGCCCGAGAGTATCCCGAGAGGTCGCCCGAGAGTATCCCGAATGCGCTCCACTGGCAACGGTTGAGTGATAAAGACGGAATATTTACACCTGACCATTTGTGTTTTGCTGTTGACTTGACTGTCATGCACTGTCGCATGATCTTGTTGAAAATAATGCCAGTGCATGAAGTTGAAAAAACGGGATTAATAATGTCCTCGAAATTTCGCCTTGATAACGCGTCCCATTTCAATTCAATATATAAATTGTACACGGCTACCAACACAAATACCACCCCAGACCATTTCACGACTCTACGTCTCCAGTTACCATGTGACAAGCGAAATCGTGATTAATCTGTAAAATCAGCTTTGTTTCATTGATGAAACCAACGACGGTGTGTACGGGTCCATTAAAAGCAGCTTATACGTTGATGATGTTTAAAAATGGGTGCTGTGCTTTTGACTGGACTATTTCAAACGATTTCGGTTAGTTGGAGCGATTGCACGACGACCAAGAAATGTCCTCGCGGTTTCACTCGCAGGAACAATGCGATAATACTGATATAACAACCGTATCCGGCGGTCTTCCATAGCGGTCGTAACACTGGCCCTGCCACTTTGCGGACGGTGGAGCATTCCAACAACCCTTTCTCTCACTTGTGACAGCTGCGGAATAAAGAAAATGCGTATTTGTTCTTTATGAGTTTTCGGTCGTCATGGGGTAACAGAAGAATTACATTTACCTTTTTGACAAGACTCTGGTGTAATTCCACAGTTATTTGCAAAAACGCCGTAGGAACTCTTTGGCTACCATAGACATTTACTCTTGAATAATTTTAATTAATATGGTGGTAGGTATTGCGTTCCCAATGTTTTGTACCACGAAAACGTTGCTCCATTTTACCTTTAAGGATATGTAGTAAGCAAAAGGAGATGTTAACGTTTCTTTTTTGCTGAATATATCATGGCAGGGATACATACATAAGAAAAAAGCAGTATTAAGATATCGTATTTGCTTGCATGATTACTATATGCAAAACGAATGATTATTCTGTTTCTTAAACTGACCAATCTACTGCCATCATGTTTGCAAGTACAGAGTCACCCGGTCCTGGATGAGACATCAGAGCAACGTCAATTTCCCTTAATGCCCCTTTCTGTAGCAAAATAAGTTTACCTCCTTTGTTTTCTTCATCTGGTGTCCCCAAAACTGTGATCTGTCAAAAATAGCTTTCATATCAAATATGTTACCGGTGAAGAGGTCATTCTAGGTATTTTGAGTAGGCCAGGTTAAGAAACAGAAAGGAAAAGCCAACAAGCTGTTTCGGAAGCCATTGTTAGTGAATGAGTTGTACGCAGGCGTAGGTAAGAAGGGGTATTATGGAAAATATAAAGATATCAATAGGAAAGTCATGCGTAGCTGTTTCACATAAACTTCACAGGTGTCGACTGCACTTGCATCCTTAGAATGTTTGATGAGATATTTCTATTCACTACTAATTTTAACAATAAGAAGGGATATTTCTATCTTGGGTTCCATGCTCAGCATGTCCATCTGATAGTGAAGTTAAATGCAAGCAGAAGATACAAGGTTTATTCAAGGCAGTTTGGACTCGCTGGTTATCATTTGCATGCAGCCGTTGCCTAAAATTATTTAAGCATTCTACAGAAGCTGTAATTTCCAAACCTCTGACGGGCCAGCATTGTTGGCTTCAATATAACCCCTGGCGCCGGATGTGACATCATAGCAACGTCAATATTGTCAAATGCACGTTTGTCATCGAGAAGAATTTTCCCGCCACCTCCTTCTTCAGCCGGAGTTCCCAGCACGATTAGCTAGAGCGTGTGTAAAAATACAGGTGGCAAAAGGAAGGACGATTTAAGATAGCATTTCCATGGAGACTAAGCTGACATGTGAACGACTGCCAACACAAACACAAGACAGTTGACACCAGAGAAGTTTGCGGTTGTGGGGAAGATTTATAGAAGAGTATCATATTTGGTCGAATATGAGAATATATTATGTATTATAGATGATTGCTAACGTACAAATCAACTGCTATAAGATTCCTTGGGCGGACATCGTCGTATGCAAACGGATGTGACATCATAGCAACATCAAAATAGCTGAAAGCTCCGCTTTTTAAAAGGTGCCCCTTCCCGTTGCCACCTTCCTCTGCCGGTGTACCCAGCAGGCACAACTAGTAGATAAAATAGCCACTAAGTAAAAGCTAGAATATCAACAGTTAGGTGAATCAAGAAAAAACAGTAGATACTCAAACTGAAAAATTATCAAATAAGCAGATAAACAAACTAGTACATGAGTAAACATATTTGATCAACAAATCATTAGTTAAACAGTCTACCTGATTGATAAACAATGTAATCTTCGTATTGCTTAATAGAACACTGCTTACATGTTATAGACATACTTAATGTATACCTATTTCATGTTAACGTTCTGAATACCAGGCCTCAGCGAGAGCTTCTTACAATGTATTCATCAACATGCTTATTTATTCAAGTAAGATTCAAGGGATAAATTGGTTTGCAAGGGATTATATCTTACAACGTTTAACAGGAATATATTGTAATTATCGCGTACTTAGATATCAAACGAAAACTAATTTTACTATTACCAATGTATAAAAAGCTGTTCTTATCCATAACGTGCGTGAATATATTGATAGTTACAAAATGTGCAGATTTTGATGATACACTTTCAAAACAATTTTAATTTCAGTGTTTGGCAGCGAACTATCTGACATTCACATTTTGACGGATTAGCCAGGATATGTTTATATTATCACTTTTCAAACATTTACTCAACACTCAACATAATTACCATCCTCGATTCTCCAGGAGCTAGCAAAATTATAGACAAAGTTTGACCCACCTTGTGGATGAGACGAGAAGACTAATTTGATGTACATCAAAATAATAATTTGGTCGTGTAACGGTGAAATTCATTGGCTTTGAAGTTGGGTAATGCTCCTCTGTGATCTTCAAAGGACAGGTATTAGCCTTAGCGATCAGTCTATGGTTTTTTTTTTACCTTGGACCAATCAAATAACTTATATCTCATTTTATCCCCATCGCCTACCTTCCCTATAGGTTGCCCGGATGCTTCCATAGCGGCCTTTATCCCAACGCCGGCTGCCACGCCCAGTTCCGCTATCAGGTTATGTCCGCATGCATGGCCGATCTCTGGTAGTGCATCATACTCACACAACACGGCCACGTGCGGTCCTGCACTGTCGTCACCGAATGTGGCCCGGAAGGCTGTGTCGAGTTTGTATTTCCTCTCCACGTGAAATCCTTGATTCTCCAGGAAATCCGTCAGTACCGAATGAGCATGGTGCTCGTTGAAGTTCAGCTCTGGGTTTTTCCATAATTCCTGACTAATATTGTTCAATTCCGATGCTACTTTGTCGATTGCTTCACAGGCAACTTTCTTCAATTCGGCCATGTTGGTGTCTAGAAGTGACTAATACTGTACCCTGCAGACGATAACTTATATGTGACCCAGTAAGTACAGTCGTGTGTTTACATAGACTTCTCGAGATCGGGTATGGAGTCCCGTTGGGATAAACTGTTTCATGCGTGTCGACGAAGGTATAAATAAATAAATCATGTTTATCCGTTTAAATGTATACTTACAACTTCAAGGAAATAAATCGGCATATTTTCCCATACGTTGAAGTCTTTTCTGGATTACTTAGTCGTTATCATTTGTTTCACTAAAACGTACAGGTAAGTACATGTAAGTACGGTAAAGACATGCAGCTTTTCGGATCAATGTTATAAGTTTGAGGACATTCGGTTTCCATAGCAAACGCATTGAGTGAAAATAAGTAATGCTTACACACGCTTCTGTTAACACTGGTGCATATTATGACCTTTTATACATTACGTCTTATCATTAGCCCAATAACACTACAACCCATGACTGTGAATAACATTCAGTATGTATAAGAAATAAGAGAGACAGTGAGCAAGCATCTCTCTTTGTGGAGAGAGTAGATACAACAGTGCTAATATGAGCGTTGTATACTTAATTTTATCACATACCTGTTATACAAGCAATTTTCAGACCATGAAATACAACGTTCTAATGTTGTATTTACTTACTAGCCAGAACTACTTTTTTTATTGGAATCCCCTTGTCATGGCGACCTAAGTTACAAGTTAAAAAAAATCTTGGATTTTTTTTTTATAAACTACAATCTCATATTCATATTTTGTTCCTTAACATCGTCATAACATGTGTGCCTTGATATACCCGGAAATATAGATTTGATATTTTATCAGCACTTGAAGGTTTTTAAAAACCCACGTAAAAGCCGAGGAATGGTTCCAGTGGATATTTTCTATTTTGTCATGTAGTCCCAACATTTATAAAGTTAGACCAGATATGATAGAAATAACTTACATTAATCAACTAATGCAGTTTTCACAACATATTATCAACACTACATTATCTGGAAAATATGCAAAGTCAAACATCACAATTAAATTTATCTTTATTGCATACCATAATTGAAATAATATGCATGAAGATGCGATGACCGCATTGATAAACATCGTATGTACATTTAGAATAAGGTAAAGCTGATTGAATATTATTTTGAAATAACATGTTTGCAGTTTCATATTTCCTTTCATCAATTACACACAGAAATAAGAGCAAATGTGACAGAATCTGCTAGTTTCAACTTATGCAGCATTCCACCGGCTTATCTAAAGATGGACCAGCAGTAGGTAGGTGTAGTGGGTTATAGTGGTTATGGAATCATTTAAAGATGGACCAGCAGTGGGTAGGTGTAATATGTTATAGTGATTATGGAATGATTTAAAGATTGACCAGCATTGGGTAGATGTAATAAATTATAGTGGTTATGGAATGATTTAAAGATTGACCAGCATTGGGTAGATGGAATGAGTTATAGTGGTTATGGAATCATTTAAATATGGACCAGCAGTAGGTAGGTGTAGTGGGTTATAGTGATTATGGAATCATTTAAAGATTGACCAGCAGTGGGTAGGTGTAGTGGGATATAGTGATTATGGAATCATTTAAAGATTGACCAGCAGTGGGTAGGTGTAATATGTTATAGTGATTATGGAATGATTTAAAGATTGACCAGCAGTGGGTAGATGGAATGAGTTATAGTTGTTATGGAATCATTTAAAGATTGGCCAGCAGTGGGTAGGTGTAATGGGTTGTTAAAGTGATTAAGGAATCATTTAAAGATTGACCATCAGTGGGTAGGTGTAATATGTTATAGTGATTATGGAATGATTTAAAGATTGACCAGCATTGGGTAGATGTAATGAGTTATAGTGGTTATGGAATGATTTAAAGATTGACCAGCATTGGGTAGATGTAATGAGTTATAGTGGTTATGGAATGATTTAAAGATTGACCAGCAGTGGGTAGGTGTAATGGGTTACAGTGTTTATGGAATCATTTAAAGATGGACCAGCAGTGGGTAGGTGTAATGGGTTATAGTGATTATGGAAGCATTTAAAGATTGACCAGCAGTGGGTAGGTGTAATGGGATATAGTTATTATGGAATCATTTAAAGATTGACCAGCAGAGGGGAGATGTAATGGGTTGTTAAAGTGATTATGGAATCATTTAAAGATTGACCAGGAGTGGGTAGGTGTAATGTGCTACAGTAATTATGGAATGATTTAAAGATTGACCAGCAGTGGGTAGGTGTAATATGTTATAGTGATTATGGAATGATTTAAAGATTGACCAGCAGTGGGTAGGTGTAATATGTTATAGTGATTATGGAATGATTTAAAGATTGACCAGCATTGGGTAGGTGTAATGGGTTATAGTGATTATGGAAGCATTTAAAGATTGACCAGCAGTGGGTAGGTGTAATATGTTATAGTGATTATGGAATGATTTAAAGATTGACCAGCATTGGGTAGATGTAATGAGTTGTAGTGGTTATGGAATGATTTAAAGATTTACCAGCATTGGGTAGATGGAATGAGTTATAGTTGTTATGGAATCATTTAAAGATTGACCAACAGTGGGTAGGTGTAATGGGTTACAGTGTTTATGGAATCATTTAAAGATGGACCAGCAGTAGGTAGGTGTGATGGGTTATAGTGATTATGGAATCATTTAAAGATTGACCAGGAGTGGGTAGGTGTAATGTGCTACAGTGATTATGGAATGATTTAAAGAATGACCAGCATTGGGTAGATGTAATGAGTTGTAGTGGTTATGGAATGATTTAAAGATTGACCAGCAGTGGGTAGGTGTAATGGGATATAGTTATTATGGAATCATTTAAAGATTGACCAGCAGTGGGTATGTGTAATGTGTTATAGTGGTTATGTAATGTTTTAAAGATTGTCCAGCAGTGGGTAGGTGTAATGGGTTATAGTGGTTATGGAATGATTTAAAGATTGACCAGCAGTGGGTAGGTGTAATGGGTTATAGTGGTTATGGAATGATTTAAAGATTGACCAGCATTGGGTAGATGTAATGAGTTATAGTGGTTATGGACTGATTTAAAGATTGACCAGCATTGGGTAGATGTAATGAGTTGTAGTGGTTATGGAATGATTTAAAGATTTACCAGCATTGGGTAGATGGAATGAGTTATAGTTGTTATGGAATCATTTAAAGATTGACCAGGAGTGGGTAGGTGTAATGTGCTACAGTGATTATGGAATGATTTAAAGAATGACCAGCATTGGGTAGATGTAATGAGTTATAGTGGTTATGGAATGATTTAAAGATTTACCAGCATTGGGTAGATGGAATGAGTTATAGTTGTTATGGAATCATTTAAAGATTGACCAACAGTGGGTAGGTGTAATGGGTTACAGTGTTTATGGAATCATTTAAAGATTGACCAGGAGTGGGTAGGTGTAATGTGCTACAGTAATTATGGAATGATTTAAAGATTGACCAGCAGTGGGTAGGTGTAGTGGGATATAGTGATTATGGAATCATTTAAAGATGGACCAGCAGTAGGTATGTGTAGTGGGTTTTAGTGGTTATGGAATCATTTAAAGATGGACCAGCATTGGGTAGGTGTAATGTGCTACAGTGATTATGGAATGATTTAAAGAATGACCAGCATTGGGTAGATGTAATGAGTTGTAGTGGTTATGGAATGATTTAAAGATTGACCAGCAGTGGGTAGATGTAATGGGTTATAGTGGTTATGTAGTCAGTTAAATATGGACCAGCAGTGAGTAGATGTAATGGGTTATAGTGGTTATGGAATCATTTAAATATGGACCAGCAGTAGGTAGGTGTAGTGGGTTATAGTGGTTATGGAATCATTTAAATATGGACCAGCAGTAGGTAGGTGTAGTGGGTTATAGTGGTTATGGAATCATTTAAAGATGGACCAGCATTGGGTAGGTGTAATGTGCTACAGTGATTATGGAATGATTTAAAGAATGACCAGCATTGGGTAGATGTAATGAGTTGTAGTGGTTATGGAATGATTTAAAGATTGACCAGCAGTGGGTAGGTGTAATGGGTTATAGTTATTATGGAATCATTTAAAGATTGACCAGCAGTATGTAGGTTTAATGGATTATAGTGATTATGATATCAGTTAAAGATGTACTAGCAGTAGATAGGTGTAATGGGTTATAGTGTTTATGGAATCATTTAAAGATGGACCAGCAGTGGGTAGGTGTAATGGGTTATAGTGATTATGGAATCATTTAAAGATAGACCAGCAGTAGGTAGATGTAATGGATTATAGCGGTTATGAAATCAGTTAAAGATGTACTAGCAGTAGAAAGGTGTAATGGGTTATAGTGATTATGGAATCATTTAAAGATGGACCAGCAGCGGGTAGATGTAATGGGTTATAGTGGTTATGGACTCAGTTAAAGATGGATAAGCAGTCGGTAGGTGTAATGAGTTATAGTGGTTATGGACTCAGTTAAAGATGGATAAGCAGTAGGTAGGTGTAATGAGTTATAGTGGTTATAGTATCATTTAAAGATGGACCAGCAGTAAGTAGGTGTGATGGGTTATAGTGATTATGGAATCATTTAAATATTTATAATAAGCTTAGGTGGACATACAGTTTTGTATGAAACCATCTAAAAATAGAATGGTAATGTGTTGGTGCAATTGACTGAAGTATTTCAAAGCCTTTTAACCTCCACTTTTACGCTCATACGTAAAACATATTAACTTATATATATAAATAACAGGTGCTGTCTTTCTTTGCTATCCCATGCCAAATTCAATGTTTAACTGCCGATTATCTCCCTTTGACCATAAACCTTACTCATTTATAAAATTAATAATCTTTACTCAAGAACGGACTAGAAAGACAAACTTATACATGCGTTGTTACTTTATTCACGACTGATGAAAGAAAAAGAAGGTAAGACGACGGCAGAAAGTAAAAGGAGAATATGTTAACCTAAGTGATATATTTATACACATACTCTGATCAAGGATACTAGAGATGGTTTAAAGATTTGAAGTATTGCCCCATGACTAATGATGTATTATCAAAATATCTATGAATTGAAATATAAACGGATATGAAATTTGAACTCGTATATTTTTTTTTATTTCAAACATTTCGAAATGAAGCCAGGATCATTTGCCTTTTTACGGAAATGTCGAGAATTTGGGATATCAAAGCCAGCATGCATACGTATGCAAATGCATAACAAATATGTTTTTGTAGACACGGATTGCATAAGGATGTTGGGTAAAGTTCAGCTGTTTGGCAGTAGGCAAACTACAACACATCACAACATCATTCATCACTGCAGGCGCTGGCACATATCCTACAATGGACAGACATTCAGCAGCGCAATTTACCTTCAATTGTTCTTAATCAAACACTTATTAGCCGGTGGAATTGCTAAGAGGAGAGGAGTGGTCATTGTTAAGAGTAGACAAAGTGGTCATTGCTAAGGGAGACAAAGTGGTCATTGCTAAGAGGAGACGAAGTGGTCATTGTTTAGAAGAGACAAATTGGTCATTGATAAGAGGAGATAAGTGGTCATTGATAGGAGGAGATACAGTGGTCATTGATAAGAGGAGATAAAGTGGTCATTGCTATAATGAGATTAAGTGGTCATAGCTAAGAGGAGATAAAGTGGTAATTGCTATGAGGAGATAAAGTGGTCATTGATAAGAGGAGACAAAGTGGTCATTGCTTAGAGGAGATACAGTGGTCATTGATAAGAGGAGATAAAGTGGTAATTGCTATGAGGAGATAAAGTTGTCATTGATAAGAGGAGACAAAGAGGTCATTGCTATGATGAGATAAAGTGGTCATTGATAAGAGAAGACAAATTGGTCATTGCTTAGAGGAGATACAGAGGTCATTGCTAAGAGGAGACGAAGTGGTCATTGTTTAGAAGAGACAAATTGGTCATTGATAAGAGGAGATAAAGTGGTCATTGATAAGAGGAGACAAATTGGTCATTGCTTAGAGGAGATACAGTGGTCATTGCTAAGAGGAGACGAAGTGGTCATTGATAAGAGGAGATAAAGTGGTCATTGATAAGATGAGACAAAGTGGTCATTGCTATGATGAGATAAAGTGGTCATTGATAAGAGGAGATACAGTGGTCATTGCTACGATGAGATTAAGTGGTCATTGCTAAGAGGAGATACAGTGGTTATTGCTATGATGAGATTGAGTGGTCATTGCTAAGAGGAGATACAGTGGTCATTGCTAAGAGGAGATACAGTGGTCATTGCTAAGAGGAGATGCAGTGGTCATTGCTAAGAGGAGATAAAGTGATCATTGATAAGAGGAGATAAAGTGGTCATTGCTAAGAGGAGATAAAGTGGCCATTGCTTAGAGGAGATAAAGTGGTCATTGTTAAGAGGAGACGAAGTGGTCATTGTTAAGAAGAGATAAAGTGGTCATTGATAAGAGGAGACAAAGTGGTCATTGCTAAGAGGAGACGAAGTGGTCATGGCTAAGATGAGACAAAGTGATCATTGCTAAGAGGAGATAAAGTGGTCATTGCTATAATGATATAAAGTGGTCATTGCTATGATGAGATAAAAGTGGTCATTGCAAAGAGGAGACAAAGTGGCCATTGCTAAGATGGGACAAAGTGCTTATTGCTTAGAGGAGATAAAGTGGTCATTGCTATAATGAGATAAAGTGGTCATTGCTATGATGAGATAAAGTGGTCATTGCAAAGAGGAGACAAAGTGGTCATAGCTAAAAGGAGACGAAGTGGTCATTGCTAAGAGGAGACAAAGTGGTCATTGTTAAAAGGAGATAAAGTGGTCATTGCTAAGAGGAGATAAAGTAATCATTGATAAGAGGAGATTAAGTGGTCATTGCTATGAGGAGATACAGTGGTCATTGATAAGAGGAGATAAAGTGGTCATTGCTATGAGGAGATAAAGTGGTCATTGCTATGAGGAGATAAAGAGGTTACTGCTATGAGGAGACGAAGTTGTCATTGTTATGATGAGATGAGGTGTTCATAGCTAAGAGGAGATAAAGTGGTCATTGATAAGAGGAGACGAAGTGGTCATCGATAAGAGGAGATAAAGTGGTCAGAGACGAAGTGGTCACGAGGAACCATGCCGGACAGGAGAAATACAGCTGACAGAAGACACGGACGGAAAACCCTAATGACGACTCATCTCACACAGAACAAGATAGTTAGCACTTTAAACCATAACGAGTCAAACATCATTTTGAGTAATAATGGTTTACGGTAGTTGAATTAAATTAATCACGTTTTGTAGACATTCTTTCTTATTTAATGTTCATAAAATCTGTCAGGTGTAACAGGTGACCTTGGTGATCAAGGATAGCGTGTGTAATGGATAAACATGACACATACATACTGTAATTTCACGTTTTATCGATAGCTTATTTACATTTATCCGGAACTCGGGGCCTTTTTCGTGGTGAGTAGAAAAACTCAAGGTGTTCCGAATGTTCCTAATGTTTTCACCTACGGTACATATTGTATTATATGTGTTTGGATGCAGCTAGTACAGGTAAACTGACCTTATTTATTGTATATCATCTTTAAACGTTATTAACTATGTCTTTAAACTAGTTCGTCTGGTGTTTGTATATTAGTGTATGTCATTCCATAAAATCCATGACATTGGGGTTGCCCAAGGTTATAGAGGTTTTGACTGTTCCCGGCGCCATCTTTCACCAGAGGTCTAGTGGTTAAACCTTTGAATCTTGACGGCTTAAGGACGTATTTACCTATAACAATATTTACCAACATGGGGAACAGATGCAAACAACTAACCTACCTACTATTCCGTCTAAAGACGACATTCTAAATCCTAATCATTCGCAATATCATAAGTTTACAAACGTGACCCCTTGGCCTACGGATGGTTAGACGACGAAAAGTGCGGACAACATCAATATATATATTTTATTCATTCAGAGTCACTTCCTTTTCTAATTTTTCAAAAGCTTACCTATCGATAAATGCAGCGTTGTTGAACGGCTACAACAGATAAGTGGATGACAACACGAGCATATGAGTACATTGTAGCCGCGATAACGTAGCATTCGGACAACGAGAAATTTTGTTTATATATTGCGCCGGCCGGGTATTTAAATAAGTACTAGCATATGAGGTGTTAACCATATCTATTTGCAAAGTGCTGAATCATTTATTTCATTTCAAAATATTTTATTGTCAACACAAACAAAGATAATTACAAGTATTACAGAAGAAATATAACAGTACATGTTATAAACAAAGGGATAAGACAACAGGCTAAGCCTTATACGTCTCTTCCTATAGATAACCAGTATCAAATTATTGTAATATCGTTAATAAAATAAGTTGTTGTTGGTAGATAGTAGGACAATAAAGAAAAAATAATTTATTAACTATAATGACTCTCAAACTACCAATTGTAATTGTTATATTTTATACTGAGGCCATTATATGCAGAAAGATGACTCCCTACAGGCTACTACTCCTTTACAGCTGGTCGAAAGTTACAAATATGTTTTCAGTTTAATGCACTTCTTGTGCAATTATAACTTTAATTGGATTTGTGTTTCCTGCATTTAACTGACCACTTAATGTGATAGACCGGTGTGAATGTAAAACATTACAGATCACACAATTACACATGGGCTTTAATCATGGATTTATCAAATCTTTATATTGATTTGATGTTGTTATTTAGCCTCAGACATATTCAAATAAAGTAGAGATTTTCCTATTTGCTTCTATATCAGTAGTACCAATTTAATCTAGAGTGTTGTCTTATTTACAGTCATGTCATTTTCACATTTGATTTTCTTTTAAATTTTCCTTTTTTAGATAATTCAACTTAAATTCAATACTTGTTCTGAAGGGAACTTGATGGTCCCCATTTTTTATGTGTACGAATTTGAAATTTACTTATTGCAGCTTTATTCACAGGTTAGTTAGAAGACAATCAGCAAAGGGAATCCTTTGATTGCAGCACTTCACTCTTTGTCTACATCTTTGATTGGGAATATAAATTAAAATGCTAAATGTATCAGCAATTTTCCAAGAGTTACACAATATTTCACACCATCAAAGAGATTTATCTGATATTATATCTGACAAGATTTTTATTTGATGCAGTTTGATGGAATTTCTTTTCATACAAGATATGGGGAGTCATTCTTAAAAACAATATTTCACTGCAATTATTTTGTATGGCAAAGAACAAAATGGCATTGTTAAACACATTAATCTGAATAACTTGTCAAACCTCAAAATAATAACAAGTCAACACATATGTAGAAAAATATTTTTAGATGATTATTTAGAAACAAATAATGCATTTTTAGGATTTGATTATGTTTCAATGGAGATATAACCAACCCTAGAAGCATCTAATGGTAAAGATTACATTGAATGTGTGAAATTTATAATAAATATTGGTAAACTGCATAGGTGGAAATGGTTTATAAAAAGGATACATTATGACTGTATATTTTATTCCTACTTTGTTTTAACAGTGCATAAATGCACAAATTGAATTGCTTTTCACATTCAAGGTAGGTGCTATTAATAATTTTCAAAGAACAGTGGCAGCTTCCAAGTGGTTTCACTTCATTATTTCATTTGTATGTCACACAAATAATACTAATCACAAATATAGATGTGGATGAAAGATAAATTCACCAATGGCTGTCCGGAGAAAAAAAAGAAGACATTTTCTTCATCCAAGACAAATTGTTAATCAAATCCAGCTTTTTGAAGACATTCGTTTGTAATTGTTTATTTTTCAGAGATTTTGCATAATACGTAAACATGTCATTAGTACATATTCACATGCACAAACACACATGCTAGTTTTTCTCATTGGCATCATCATCACCATCTTCTAAAGACCTCTTGTTATACACCAGAATATTTCTTATAAAAATTAGTTCGTGGCCAATGCAATGCACTAACCGAGAGGTAACAAGTGAATGCACCAAAATCTTGCATGCATCTGCAATTAGAAACTGCCAAATACAGCCGATGTTCCTGATCTGGTAGTAACAGGATTTGGTAATAGCGTTCACTTGTTTCTCCATGTTCGGAGAACTGTCAAAGTATACCCCTAGGTTTTTAACAGCTGGAACAGTCTCAATGGTTCTTGCACTAACCTTGAGCTGGAGAGCCATTGTTTGCTGATACTTTGGGGGAAAGACGATTAGTTCCGTCTTTTCCTGATATGTTTAAGCATGTAGACAAGCTTCCAGACTTTCTGAGACTGTATTCCAACTGTCCTGTGGTTTTATGACCATGTAAATTTGTGTGTCATCGGCATAGCAATGATAGCGAAGGCTATGGCGACGACAAATCTCTCCAAAACTTCAGTGTTGGTAAATAAGTATATTCGTGAAAAACACAAAATTTGTCAGGAGCCTACGGAAGCAAGCCTCATCAGGCGCTAACCGGAGGTCCTTTAAGTTTTAAACTTTATAGCCATAATTATGTGTAATGTGTAATGTCATTTCTGGTCGAGGACTGTGTACTTTATAAAGCATTTGCACCAATGCATTTTAACCATTCTTATTCTTAATTTCATACATTTAATATTATTTTTACAATGAGATGTTTCTGGGGTTGGTTATAATTATATCACATTGAAACAGATTCAAATTCTGCAAAATCATTGTATGTTTCTAAATAATCATCTAACACTATTTTTCTACATATGTCTTGACTTGTTTTATTTTGATATATGACAAGTTATTCAGATTATTTTATTTAGCAATGCCATTTTGTTCTTTGCCATACAAAATCATTGCAGTACAATTTTATTTCTGAGTATGACTCTTGTATGAAATGAAATTCCATCAAATTCCGTCAAATGAAACACTTGTCAGATATAATATCAGATAATTCTCTTTGATGGTGTGAAATATGTTGCAACTCTTGGAAAATGGCTGATATTTTTGTCATAATGATTAAAAGATGAAGACCAAGTGTGAACTGCTGCAATCAAAGGATTCCCTTTGCTGATTGTCTTCGAACGGACCTATGAATTAAACTGCAACAAGTAAATTTCAAATTCGCACACATAACAAATGGAGGACCATCAAGTTCCTTTCAGAGGATGTATTGAAATTAAGTTGAATTATCTAAAAGAAAATTAAAAGAAAATCAAACGTAAAAATGACATGACTGTAAATAAGACAACAATCTAGATTCAATTAGTACTACTGGTATAAAAGCAAATAGGAAATTCTCTACTTTGTTTGAATATGTCTCAATCAATACAAAGATTTGATAAATCGATAAATAACGTCCATGTGTAATTGTGTGATCTGTAATATTTTACATTCACACCGGTCTATCACATTAAGCTGTCAGGTAAAATGCAGGAAACACAAAACCAATTAAAGTTATAATTGCACAAGAAGTGCATCACACTAAAAATATGTTTGTGACACAATGTGTGTATGATGCATATATATGTCCCAGGACATGACACTGTAGGGGATACATGGATTTGCCCAGCTATAAAGGAGCAGAAGCCTTAAGGGAGTCATCTTTCTGCATATAATGTGTTCAGTATTAAATATAACAATTACAAATGATAGTATGGGAGTCTTTATAATTAATAAATATGTTTTCCTTTATTTTCCTACTATCTACCACCCAAAACTTGAATATTTTATTAACGATATAACAATTATTGGATACTGGTTATCTAATAATCTTTGTTTGACAATCAAAAAAAAAAAAAAAAAAAAAAGGGTTCAGCACTTCATATGCTAGTACTTATATCAAAACCCGGCATCCTTTGCCCCGGTCGGCGCAATATATAAACAAAAATATCTCGTCGCAGGAAAGCTACGTTATCGCGGCTACAATATACTCATATGCTCGTTTTGTCATCCACAGTAGAACTGCTCGCTCTTGGGCTTTATCTGTTGTAGTCATTCAACAACGCTGCATGTATCAATAGGTAGGCTTTTAAAAAATAAGTGAGTTTGATTATATAAAATATATACATTGATGTATTCCGCACTTTTCGTCGTCAGGCCATCCGTAGTACAGGCCTACCAGGCCAAGGGGTCACGCTTGTAAACTTATGCTATTGCGAGTGATAAGGATTTAAAATGTCGTCTTTAGACGGAATAGTAGGTAGGTTAGTTGTTTGCATCTTTTCCCCACATTGGTAAACAATGTTCTAGGCAAATACGTTCATAAACTGTCAAGATTTAACAGCGCTCAATCGCCACGAGTGCGAGCACCGCCATATTGTTTACAAAAGTTTAACTGCTTGACCTCTGACCCAACATGGCGGCGCGAACAGTCAAAACGTCTATTCGTGGCAGTCACGTGAATTTGTCCATGTCCATGATGAGTCCCGACAATATAAGATAATAAACTCGAAAAACTTACCTTTTCCATGTGTTAACTAAAGAATGTTTCTACATATAGGAAAGTAAGATATAAAAATCTAGTTTAACTTTGATAGTCACTCAAATTCTGCCAAAGATAGCGCTTATCTGCAGATTCACTGTAGCTATGGTAAATCAGATGTCTGGCAATATACATGTTTATTGACAGACGCCCTTAGCTGTATTATGCATCAAAAGCCGACTTTTGTGGCACACATTTCCGCAAATTTACATACACTGAAGAAATAAGTGCATGTGTAACCATGAAAATATAGATAATCATTTGTGATAGTGTGTTGTTCTTAAATGCTTTTTAGTTTTCACTTAAGTATTCATGAGCTGTTAATCTTGTCGCGGAGAAACCACCCATAGGTGTTTAATGGAGAAGACGTGGGAATTGTGAACAATTATTCCATTAAAATATAGGAATTGTACCGCTTTCGGGAAATATAATTTGAAACAAACAACTTACCTCTTCCTAATGTCTCCCTTGACAATGCCTCACTTTAGCTGAGCGTTCCCTGTGAGGAAGGCTTTGGGTTCTGGCCCCGAGACATACCAGAGTCTGTAAAAATAGTAGTTTCTACTCCTGCTTAACGCTCAGCAATTTAGGAGTGGGACATCTGGTTCGCCCGTTGTCAGTATAATGTAACCGGGTGGAGTGTCCTGCTGGGTGTCATCGGCAGTATGTTTTGGTGAGGTAGCACTATAAAGTCGGCACCAGTTCCGCGCTATCACAAGGAGACAAACACGAACATATCGCAGCCACCGAGAACACATACGAATACACTACACGCATGCATCTTGCACACATGGGAGGCCGTCTTTAAATGACCATATCTGTTGATAGGACGTTAAACAATACTAAACCAACCAAACCTTGACTTAACGATAGTCAGTAAGATAGGAACTGATGAACAATGAAGTAAATCATTCAAGTATTTCTTTAGAGATATTAAGGATTTTCACTGAAGAAAACAAGTACAATACTGAAAATATTGTGCTGCGAAAATCTGCGGGAGTTTTCTTCGACCGCCGAGAGCTCATTTTTTTCCATTTTTTACAATAATGAAAAGCCAGTAGGATCGTGTCAGAAAATGTCTCAAAGCTTTCAATAACCTTCACATCATTTTTATTCGGGTGTAATTAATACCCCTATATACAACGACATTCCAGGTCATATTTCTATTGCTTCTGTATTTGACACTAAATGATATTTGTTTTATCTGTAAACTTGATTTATCGTTTATTTGATATGTTATCACATGCATAGCAAAGTAGAGTATGTGCTATTCAGGGGAATACAAAGATAACGATATTATGACCGCCATTTACATACTGGAAAGTTATACATATATTTATTATTAATTTGCCTTAAAAGAAAAATGCAATGATAAAATATTCCTTGAAGCTGATTTGTATTTTCTTTTTTCCCCCCCAAATAATCGGGTACGCTTGAAATGTATGTCTTGGTAATTTGAGTATAGTGGCGGGAGCTGTCATTTATTTGGATAGAATTATATTGGACTATGTTTAAAACTGAGATATGTTTTTGTGTACTTTCATTAACACATAGACATAGGAATCATTAATAGATCAGTTTGGTCCTATATTAAGAAGTAAGGGTCCAGTGGCCCAGAGTTATTCCGTTTACATTTCGAACACTGTTTTATGATTTTTGGTGACCTACATTACTAAGAAACATCTAGTGTAGACGATACATCTTTTGTTGTGTGGAAGAACACTTAGAAATCAAGTGTTGAAAACCATACAGTCCCACTCCATACGGTGGCCCCCTTCGTCCCTATTTTAAAATCCACTAAGGGGCGGAATGGGCAAACATGTTATCCGACCCCTGAAGGCTTCAGTATAGCATTGCAATTTGGCGAAGTGTTCCCCTGCTTTTTGACAGCTTTTCTATTGCTTTCTGTATTTGATACTAAATGATATTTGTTTTATATGTAAACTTAATCTATCGTTTATTTGATATGATATCTCATATCTAGCAAACTGATGATTGATTAAGCAAATTAAAGTACAGCTATATCATGAATTATTCAGGTGAATACAAAGATAACAGTATTATGACCACCATTTACATACTGGAAAGTTATACATTCGTTAAAGCTGATTTGTATTGTTATATTTATTTTCCAAAAATGAATTATATCTTTTGAAAGCACATGACTTTGAAAATCGTGACGGTTTGTTTATCAATTTATATGCACAATAATATCCGCATGAAAGCATCTTGTTTGGAAGCATTTTGAGACGACCCCTGAATTCATATGATATGTCTGTGTAAGATTGGATGAGCAAGTGGGAATTATTAGAGCGTTACCCACGACGTGTGTATAGCACTGAATGGTTGTGCCCTTTCAATTTGAAAGGACAGGAATTTGAGCTCAAACATACGGTAAGGTTTACACGTACTGATTCACGTAAAGCAATAAAAAGTCATTTTACAGCTTTCTTACAATGTAATCAATTAATTTAATTGCAATCGCTTCGTTCTTTATGTACTGATGAAAGATATATTCACAATGTTCCGATAATATCTTTTTCACAAGTAACAATAAAACTACTTAACTGGTAAGACCATTATGTATTCTGATCAATATATTATCATTATGAATAAACATCAGGCAAATTGAACAATTAGAATTATGATGACACGTCAGTGTTCAGAATAGGAAATTAAAACTTATTTTTATTTAAGACTAAGTTTGTTTTGAACACAAACAGGAATTGAAAACACAATTTGCGAGCTTTCTAAATCGTCAGTTTCCTTTCTCAAGCAAAGAATCAAAAGACCGGTGTCTCGACTCTTAACCGCTGAAAACAACTCACTAAGCCTCAGTGGGCCGAATCAAGTAAAGTCAGCTGTCAAAAATCATAGAGACATTTCGCCAAACTGCAATCTCATACTGCAGGCAGTTAGGGAGACGGATAACATGTTTATCCATTCCCCAATTTATTAAAATTGCAAAATTAGTTCCTCTTCCCTCTGTAAATAAAAAGATGTCGTCATTTTTGGCAAAGTCATGTCACGTACGTCATTTCCTACTCCGAGCCAAGTACGCGGTTTCCGGTCACCGCGTTCCCTGGGAACAAGTTGTTTCCACGAAGGGCCCTTACGGACTAGGCTAGTTTCCTGCTGCTTCCAGTAACAAATAACGTCATTTTCTGTAAATGAACGGTCAACAAATATGAACCAAACAAGTCAGGGCCTACAACACACTTCCCGTTGGTCAAACCACTAGTTGGTCGAGGTAATTTGTGTCAAAATCGATCATCAAGCGTCTGATTTGCGTATACCTCATATAGTTAGTCTTGTCAAAATGGCGTCCAATAATGATGATGCTATCGGGAAACACAATGCTGCAGTGTCTTTCCAGGACAAAAGACGAAACATACGTATTTTTGATATGTGAATACATGCTCGACTGGCTGGCTCGGATGCAACCCAGTTATTTTAAAATAATGGCTCATGCGACACTTTCCCAATTGACCCTGACTCTGAGGTCGTTTGATACCTGTTCCGCCGAAATACGTCGAAGGGATATAGGGGGAAAAGACATTCGTTAATAATCGGCAAAGCCCGTAAATGGCGGCAATAAATATAAAAGCGATCGTCGAATACTTACTGTAATTACCGATAAGATCAATTGGGTACACTGGAAAATGTATGTGTCGGTATTCTGTGTATAGTGGGGGAAAAACAATCATATTTGTTTTGGATAGATTTATATCGGATTATGTTTTAAAACTGAGATATGTTTTGTGTATTTCCATTAACACTTTGACATTGGAATAATTACATGATCAGTTTGGTATTATGCATGTTTTATCATCACCAAAATTTCTTTTCGGTTCACAGATGGCTTCACATGTAAAAATAAACAACTGAATTTGTTTAACGATTACGAAATCATTCCATATAACTAGGTTGAATAGATGTTTATATCGTTAATTTGTATAAATTATTTCATAGTGTTTACACAGAATACTTATTTTGATTTAAAACAAATGTCATGGTACTTCCTAAATGTTCGATTTCGGTGACATCCATTTAGTACACTGTGTGTCTTTATTTGAAAAATTAGAAAAAAAAAGTTTCTCAGTCGCAATATATAAGAATAAATTGTAAACTGAAAAATAACATTATATGCGATACGTATACCTGTATAACTTTTGTAAATCAACAATAAAGGCGCCCTCATCCATATTCATATTTGCACTGGAAATATCTCTAATACTGACAAGAAATATAGTATAGGTATATCTGATGCGCTCGTGGGATACAGTTCTAGAATAAGTGATGTTTGAAAAATAACTGTATTGTTGGTATTCTACTTGTTGCTTATGGATAAAAATGTCAATGATTTAGTGATGTATACAAATATAAAAAATTGTATCAAAGCAACAAAAGACAGAACATTTGAATAGTCATGACCTTAAATATTGTAGACCTACCTGTGAAAATATATATAGATCAAATAAAAAAACGCAATGATGCATGGATACACTAATTATCTAAATATTGCTTACATGGATAGATGTGTAATAGCCATACAGTGTGAAACAATACCCATCCTATGTGTCCAGCTCTTTGATGACTTGTTTTGACCAAAAAAATGAAAACAATGCGCAATATTTTACTAGTTAAAAATGTTACATAATTATTTACAGTTATATTACTCATACTTTTAAATAAGAGCTTAAGATATTATAAAATTTATTCTTTCAGATAAAGAACAAACAATTGGTGTAGCTTGAAGGTGTTTTTTGACTACCTCTCAATATGTGGAAAGACATGTGGAAGAGAAAGAAAAATAGGACGTGCTACAATCCTAACAACATTTCCCCAACTTTCCAGGATCAATGGTCCAGTGACTTTAGTCCTTCTAGTAGTCGCCATAGAGATACTGATATTTTGAAAGTGGCAAACTCTCAACAGAATGACTTATCAGTTGCTGTAACGGAACTTGAAACATGTTATGTTTCTTCCATGAAGCACACAACCGGGAACCCTTTGGTTTCAAAAGATGACACTTACTATGACAGCAAGCATGCCGATGCAGAATTGAAGGATGCAGTGACTTCTATGAAATGTAAGATATGCGATGATTATCCAAGTGAAAATGAACAAAGAAGTTTCCATAATGCCAAACATGCTAGAAATAGTTCAAACGATGATACAACGGAAAGCAAAAAAATGCATATAGCTTATAGAGCAAAGAGGTATATCGGTAAAAGGTTCAAAAAATTGTTCCTTTCCAGTGAGAGATTCACTCATCCAATACAAGAGACATATACAGAGGATACAATAAATACTTGTCCTTCAACCACGAGGGGTGCGTACTTTGAACATCATTCTAGTACAGAAGAAAATGATTTGTGTGTATCCGAACCCGAACACTGTCAATTCAAGGACCAGAAAAATAAGACATTACTGGTTGCGCAGCCAGAGGAGGATACTGACGAATGTACAAAAAACCTTACGTTAGTATCAACTGTGTCCACAGAAAAAGTAAACAGAATGCTAAAAACCGGTAAAGAAGAATACAATGAAAACAATGTGCTTTCGGATATTTCTTTGCTTAGCCAAAGCTGTGAGTGTTCTCTTATATCCATTGACAAAAGCCCAAGCATGCCTGAATTGGAGAATAACGTACCATGCCAGAATAAGCTCGAAAGGTCAGATCAAACCTTTACAAAGGAAAGACATCTCTCTCCTAAACCAAATGTTCCCTGGTTGCATTATCAAAATCAGAAAAATGAGAAAAACGGCAGAAAAACGGACCAGGAAGTGACTACAGTATGGGATAAAGTGAAGTCTGATGAAAGTCATTCTTTGGAAACAGCATGTGTTCATAACATCTCACAGATGACTTCATTTGAGAACTGTGTTTCTGCAACGACAAAGCTGTCATTAAATAATGGACATTTATATCGGGACATTGAAAGTACATCCACAAATAACAACATACAAAGTGCAGATCTGTATAAATCGGAACTTTCTGATAATAGGATAAGTAAAGCATCCAAAAGTGTCACTGTGAACATTAATGAATCATCAGCAGACAAATATGGGTTGATGGAAGAGATCAACACATGTCTAACACTCCAGGATAGCCGCACAAAGCAAATATGTGAAAACACCCAAGCCAGTTCAATACAACAAATGTGTACAACAAAGCCATCTAGTCCAACAACCAAAACCAGCTCAAAAACTCAATTATGCTCAGCAAACCAGGGAAGCCCTTGTTCATCAAACCAAACTACTGTTGTGGGTAAATATCTTTCAGTTTGTTAGGTCTCTGTTGACCTAACGCAATTTTTATTAACGCAATTTTGTCTTTTGTCTATCGTTTGGTGTCCTTAACCGAATATCATTTTTGACCTCTTCTCCATAACCACTTAACCAAATCTAATTAAAATTTGCAACAAAAGGTTCAATGGTCATAGGCAAGTCAAATATGTGAATTATATGGATCTACCCCCACCCTTCCAGGGGCCTGAGGGGCAGGGGCGAATAGGTTCAAATTGGCAACAATCTTCTCCTTTAGACCTAGATATCCAGAAATCAAAAACTCTTCATGGATGAAAGGTATCAAGCTGTAGATGCCGATAAAAATTGCGGATTTCATTGTCCCCGGTCACTCATTCTCCCAGAAGGAGGGAGCTAAGTTTATATATTAAAGAAATTAACACTTTTGGATATATTTTGCTTCTTCTCTGTGGGATGTAATTCAAACTTGGTTGGAATTAAGAACATGTGATTGCAGTTGATGGTATGACTCATCCGAAGAGCATGGGAGTGGGGTCTAAAGGGTTTCAATTGGCTCAAATTTTACCAATATTCTTCTCTCGACCCAGATATGCTGCAAACAAGTACTGTTCATTGAAGGAAACTGCTTTAGACGATTTGTCAATAGTGTAACTTTCATTACCTCCCGCATCACCCATTTCCACCAGGAGAGGGGAAACTTTGGCTATAGTTATGTAGGGAATTAACACTTTTGTGTATAACTGTTTATTTTCCGTGCTTCTTTTCTGTGGGATATAATTCAAACTTGGTTGGAGTTATCATCATGTGATTACAGCTTGATGGTTTGAAAAGTTAGAACCTTACTCAACCCTAAGGCCGGAGGCGCAGGGCCAAAAAGGGTTTAACTGGCTCAAATTTCAACAATCTTCTTCTTAAGACCCATATATCCTAGAATAGAATCCTCTTTATCGGTTGAAAGTTCCTAAAGTGCTTTAACGAAATGTGAATTTTACAACCCATGTTTTTTTCATTCCTATCTAGGAAGGGGGGTAAATTTACTATATTACCTTATATAATCATTTTATTATTTCCCTTTTTTCTGACAATATCACAACAACAATAACAGTTATTGATAACAACGCAGGTGATCGCAGGTGACCGTTGACCGTTGACCGTTGACTCAGTACCCCTAGGATTCTTGTTTAAAAGAAAAGCAATTAACACATTATCTTGTAAAAGTTAAGCTGAAATAAGAAGTATTCAAACTGGTTTTGATAATCATAATGAGATGGCAATTTGATGGTATCAGAAAGTTATAATTGGGCCCACCATTTGGCTGGAAGTGGCAGGGTCCAAAGGTTGAAAATGGCAAAAAACTACTTCCTCAGACTTTGATGTGCTAGAATAAAATGGTCTGTATCGATACAGACTATTATCTAGAATGTTAATTTTATAAACCCTAGGCAATCTGTTGAACTTAATGAAAAGTAAATTAACGTTTACTATGTAATCTATCTAGGGAATTCACATTTTTAGCCAATCGCGATCAAACTGGCTAAAAGTTCAGCAAATGTTCTTCTTCAGACTCGTAAACGCTGGAATCAAATACTCTTCATGGGTGTATAAGTGTTAAGGCACTTTATCAAAAGTGTGAATTGCATAACCCCAGGTCACCCATTGCTCCTAGGGGGATAAAGTTACTATAGTTGATATAGGGGAATTAACACTTTTTGGTATTTTTTGCTGACTTTCTTGGTGGCAAATAATTCAAATTTGGTTGGAATTATCAACATGTGATTGCAGTTTGGTGATATAAAATTTAAAACCTGACTCATCCCCAGGGCCTGAGGGGTGAAGTCAAAGCTGAAAAGGGGTCAATTTGGCAAAATAAATCAACGATCTTCTAAGTAACACCCAAATATGCTCGAATCAAATACCCTTCATTGATGGAAAAGATCTAATTTCGATACCCCCGGTCACCCATTTACCATTCGGAGGGGGTAAACCATACTACAGTTTATATTAATGATTAGCATTTCTGGGTATATTTCGAATTTTTCTCCTTTGTTTTTAATTCAAACTTGGTTTGAATTATCATCATAATATTGAAATTTGATTTTATAAGAAAAACATACCCTAACTTACCCCCGGGTGTCTTAGTGGTACGGCCGAAATGTTAACATCAAATACTCTTCATGAATGGAAAGGTCCTAAAGTGCTTTTGTATTTTGTAACAACAAATTACCTTTTTCTTTTACATTGTATGTGACTGTCAGGGTCCATGGGCCTGTTGTCGAATAATTTATGTAATATCAAATCTATATTGTGTACAATTTTTGTGCTATATATTTAATAGAAAGTTAGTTTAGAAACTAGAACAGTTTGTTAATAATGTTCAGCATTTTTTAGGTAATAAGCCGATCCGAAAATCCAATAAAGCCACCTTGGCCTTTCAGTTGCAGAGATTTTTTCACCGCTTCTAAAAAAACCAGTTGTAGTCATGTGAGTGTGAAGGTACATTTAGCCACTTCTTTGGCACGTTTTGTGCATTATTCTGCAGGAAATAATTCAAACTTGGTTGGAATAATTATGATGGGATAGCAATCACATTGTATCAGAAATTAAGATAATAAACCTGAAATGCAGTTTAACATGTTTATCCATGTGGTACCACGGTTTATGTTGGTAAATTGGCATACAAGGAGTGTACTGCCAATTTTCATGACGATAGCGGCATTTCCAAACTTTTTTCAGCTATTGAAGCTGTCTCTCATTAATTTCTTAGGACATTCTTTTTCAAAACCAAGTGCATCACAAGATAGAGTGTCATAATTTCAAAAAGAAATATTTCGGATAAACCATCTGAATTCTTTGGATTTTAGCTTTATTTCCAGTAAGAATAAAGTTCCCTGCATATTATTAAAATACTGTTGAAAATGTTTCTGTAACTGATAGCATGATATCATACAAAGAGGGTTCACAATTGAACACAAATATATTTCTGTTTCTGAGATCAAAACAATTGCATTTGTACGAATGCATTCAAACTCAAACAGTTTTTTGAGGAAAGTCATAAGTGACTTTCTCCCTCGCTAAGAAAGTATATTTAACGTCTCTGACGTTTCAGGTTCAATTGCACACCACCATGGAGCTCGTCATGGAGGTGAAATTAGAAGCAATGTTCAGCATGAAAACGGTAACACTAAGGAAGTAGACATACACAATACTGACATGACATCAGTCGTCTATGAAAAATCCTATTCCGATGATGACACACCATGGCCTGGTTTTGTTGGAGTATATAGCAACGAACAGCAGCACGAATCAACTATTGGTGATAGATACACAATCAACAATATGATACCGGCTGTTGACGCTGGCATTTGGGGAACAATTTCAAGGCAAAGACTGTGTCTTGGAGATGAAAACAGAAGGAAAAAACAGCATAGGTATAGTTATATAGAAGGAAAGCAAAATGACATCAGTAAAAAGTCAGACTTCTCAGAGATCGACAGAAGCAGATCATGTTACAGAATATTTCGTCCAAAAACAATCTTAGATGGGGAATGGCCGAATTTTGAGAAGACTTATCAAGGAAAAAGCAATGAAACCTCCCAACAACACGTATGTATTACTGAAGTCGGAGACATTGTAACTATTGCTGAGATACAAAAAGAGGACTCAAAAATGGATGAAAGGAGCATGATCGACCTTTCTCGTCAAAGCTGTGTTGACTGCAACAACGACGAATATGGCAATGGGGAAAATGTATCGCATTCAAGAGAAGCAGGTGATAAAGCAAACAATAGTCCAACGTGTGACATCAGTGGTGAGAGAGGTCGTAGAACAGGCATAGAATGGCTATCAGGGGACCCCGATAATGCATGTAATGCCTTCAACACGATTGAAGAGAACACAGTCAATGAAATAGAGCAAGACTATCACAAATTTCTAGCACCAAGCAGCCAAAAAGAGCATATTACATTTTGTGGCGTTTCGAACAGAATGAATGCACAACGGAGAGCTGCTAAAAGTATGCATTATATCAATTCCTATTCCTCAATGGATACATTTCACACCGACAAAGAGAGAAATACATTGTGTGATTGTGAAAGAGACACCTGCATAAACCAGGGGGAAGGTACTCAAGGTACATATACTGAAAGGATCGAAAATAGAATTCAGCAAGAAGTCACCCTAATTGACCGAACGAATAGAGAAGGATACAAGTTTGATGCGAATTCGGAAACTAATGGTGGTCGAAGAAAACATAATAAACAGGATTTATTGCTTTCTAACAGAAACAGCTTCACGACAAAAAACGATATGTCATCAAACTGTTCTGATAATATAGAAACAAAGGACAAGGTCAGTTGTCAGAATGCTTACGGTAAAATAGAGATGGAAGACTATGATGAGAAAGAGATGACAAATAGCTGCAAGGCCATGCTACAACATGGAATGCTTTCAAATACAGGATTTTTCAACGCATCAGACATTAAGATACCGACCAATGAGTATGGCTTCTTACAGCAAGCATCATTAAGTTGTACCCAATCTGATCGAACGTTCCCAGAAAAACAACCAGAAGACTCTGACACTGACAGTATAGCGCATCATTACGATTCATCGGCTGAAAGATCTGATCCCGGAAAAAGCAAAAACAAAAGTGAAGATGACGGTAGTACCAACGAGTGGGTCACTGTACACAGCAAACATAATGGAAGAGACGAGAAAGAAAATAAAACTCGCCAAAGAGACTCCAAAAATTACGGAGCTGTTGAAAACAAGTATCTTCCGACTGCGCTCAACGACAATTTTGAAAAAGGGTTTGGAAACTCTTTAAGACCTGAAAGCGGCGGGCGAATTTCTTACAAAATAGAATCTAAATGTACATCTAGTAGTGAAGGAAAAACCGACAAAATATTGAAACATGAGGAACGAATAGATGAAAAGGGCTATTTGAACAGTTCGGACTGTAAGATGAAACCGCAAAGTATAGGTGAACGACACACAGGACAGCACCCATCAAGAACATGCGTCAATGAAAAGGGCTATTTGAACAGTTCGTACTATAAGATGAAACCGCAAAGTAATGGTAAACGACACACAGGACAGCACCCATCAATATAGATGAAAAGGGCTATTTGAACAGTTCGGACTGTAAGATGAAACCGCAAAGAATAGGTGAACGACACACAGGACAGCTCCCATCAAGAACATGCGTCAAAAGTCAATCTGGAGATCATCCAGTGGCCTCTGACACTAACATCAAAACAACAAACGGCAAAATGAACTGCAACAAATGTTCTGATGCCAGATCAGATTCTGGAGAAGACACAAGTAAAAATCGTTCAAGATATGATGAAAATAATGTCAACAAAGAGGCCACTGGCCACAGCAGAAATAATAAAAAAGATGAGACAGAAACTGAAACTAGTCAAAGAGACTCCAAAAATAACGGAGCTGTAGGATACAACGACGATCCTAATGAACACAACGACAATAGTGGCATAATTTCTGGGAACTCCTTAGCATGGCAAAGAAGACGTGATAGCGGCGGAGGAATCGATGACAAAAACAGATCTTCATTTGCATCTAGTAGTGAAGGGGGAAATGCCGAAAGATTGCCACATGAGAAAGAGTTTAATGGAAAAGGCCATTCGAACAGTTTGGACTGTAAGATGAACCCGCAAAGTAATGGTAAACGACACACAGTACAGCACCCATCAAGAACATTCGTCAAAAGTAAATCGGGAGAGCATCCAGTGGTCTCTGGAACACAACGACAATAGTGGCATAATTTCTGGGAACTCCTTAGTTTGGCAAAGAAGACGTGATAGCGGCGGAGGAATTGATGACACCAACAGATCTTCATGTGCATCTATTAGAGAAGGGGGTTTTCCCGAAAATTTCCCCCATGAGAAAGAGTTTAATGGCAATGGCCATTCGAACAGTTTGGACTGTAAGATGAAACCGCAAAGTAATGGTAAACGACACACATGACAGCACCCATCAATAACATGCGTCAAAAGTAAATCTGGAGAGCATCCAGTGGTCTCTGGAACACAACGACAATAGTGGCATAAGGTCTGGGAAATCCTTTGTATGGCAAAGAAGACGTGATGGCGGCGGAGGAATCGATGACAAAAACAGATCCGCATGTGCAACTAGTAGTGAAGGGGAAAACGCCGAAAGATTGCGAGATGAGAAACAGTGTGGACTCTGACACTAGCATCAAAACAACAAACGCCAAAATGAACTGCAACAAATGTTCTGATGCCAGATCAGATTCTGGAGACGACACAAGTAAAAATCGTTCAAGAGATGATGTCAATAATGTCAACAAAAAGGCCACTGGCCACAGCAGAAATAATAAAAAAAATGAGACCGAAACTGAAACTTGTCAAAGAGACTCCAGAAATAACGGAGCTGTAGGAAACAACGACGATCCTAATGAACACAACGACAATAGTGGCATAAGTTCTGGGAAATCCTTAGTATGCCAAACAAGACGTAATAGCGGCGGAGGAATTGATGACAAAAACAGATCTTCATTTGCATCGAGTAGTGAAGGGGGATATGCCGAAAAATTGCCACTTGAGAAAGGGTTTAATGGAAAAGGCCATTCGAACAGTTCGGACTGTAAGATGAACCCGCAAAGTAATGGTAAACGACACACAGGACAGCACCCATCAAGAACATGCGTCAAAAGTAAATCTGGAGAGCATCCAGTGGACTCTGACACTAACATCAAAACAACAAACGCCAAAATGAACTGCAACAAAATTTCTGATGCCAGATCAGATTCTGGAGAAGACACAAGTAAACATAGTTCAAGAGATGATGACAAAAATGTCAACCAAGGGGCCACTGGCCATAGCAGAAATGATAAAAAAGATGAGACAGAAACTGAAACTAGTCAAAGAGACTCCAAAAATAACGGAGCTGTAGGAAACAACGACGATCCTAATGAAAACAACGGCAATAGTGGCATAAGTTTTGGGAACTCCTTAGCATGGCAAAGTAGACGTGATAGCGGCGGAGGAATTGATGACAAAAACAGATCTGCATGTGCAACTAGTAGTAAAGGGGAAAATGCCGAAATATTGCGAGATGAGAAACAGTTTAATGGAATAGGCTATTCGAACAGTTCGGACTGTAAGATGAACCCGCAAAGTATTGGTGAACGACACACAGGACAGCAACCTTCAAGAACCGGTGTCAAAAGTAGATCTGGAGAGCAACCAGTGGACTCTGACACTAACATCAAAACAACAAACGGCAAACTGAACCGAAACAATTCTTCAGGTGATGGATCTGACCCTGAAGAAAGTGCAAGGAGAAGGCCTTCAAGTGATGATGACAATACGATCAATGAGGGAGCCTCTGACCAAAGAAATGACGGAAAAGATGACACAGTAACTAAATCTTGTCCAGAAGACTCCAAATATAACGGACCTATTGGAAATGAGTATCATCCTACTGGTCAGGACCCTGAGCAAAGCCGTTTGGATGAAAAACATACAGATGCCTCAACAGAACTACAACCAGTGGACCTCGCGACTGAATCAGTAAGTAGAAATTATATGATTTTATTATTTTTTTATGTTTGTATCATTCTAACAAATGTCGATACGTTAAACTCTATTTAGGTTATTTCTAAACAATTGGCCTATTTGTCTCCATCTTAGAGCCACGTATGATTAAACTTGCACCACGATTTTCTTACGAACCGAAGACGTCTTAAAAGTTGTTCTAATAAAGATAAAAGTCATGGGTAATACCGTATTTTTGCCTATGNCTGGGAAATCCTTTGTATGGCAAAGAAGACGTGATAGCGGCGGAGGAATTGATGACAAAAACAGATCTTCATGTGCAACTAGTAGTGAAGGGGGATATGCCGAAAAATTGCCACTTGAGAAAGAGTTTAATGGAAAAGGCCATTCGAACAGTTCGGACTGTAAAATGAAACTTCAAAGTAATGGTGAACGACACACAGGACAGCAACCAACAAGAACGTGCGTCAAACGTAAATCTGGAGAGCATCCAGTGGACTCTGACACTAACATCAAAACAACAAACGGCAAAATGAACTGCAACAAATCTTCTGATGCCAGATCAGATTCTGGAGAAGACACAAGTAAAAATCGTTCAAGAGATGATGACAATAATGTCAACAAAGAGGCCACTGGCCACAGCAGAAATGATAAAGATGAGACAGAAACTGAAACTAGTCAAAGAGACTCCAGAAATAACGGAGCTGTAGGAAACAACGACGATCCTAATGAAAACAACGACAACAGTGGCATAAGTTCTGGGAAATCCTTAGTATGCCAAACAAGACGTAATAGCGGCGGAGGAATTGATGACAAAAACAGATCTGCATGTGCAACTAGTAGTGAAGGGGAAAATGCCGAAAGATTGCGAGATGAGAAACAGTTTAATGGAAAAGGCCATTCGAACAGTTCGGACTGTAAGATGAAACCGCAAAGAAATGGTAAACGACACACAGGACAGCACCCATCAAGAACATGCGTCAAAAGTAAATCTGGGGAGCATCCAGTGGACTCTGACACTAACATCAAAACAACAAACGGCAAAATGAACTGCAACAAAATTTCTGATGCCAGATCAGATTCTGGAGAAGACACAAGTAAAAATCGTTCAAGAGATGATGACAATAATGTCAACAAAGAGGCCACTGGCCACAGCAGAAATGATAAA